GATAGCAGTTTGCTACATGGCTTTCCCCCACAAAATTAGGACAACAAAACAAGTCATTTTGTAACACTGCCAGATTTACAAGATTCAAAGGAGTCTGCAGCCCACACCTGCTCCTGGTTAACTTGCCATTATTCCAGTACACTTGCTCTCATCAAGACCTGGTCATTACACTGTGCAGTGCAAATGCCTGTTTGTTTCTACAGGCTTTATCTGGAGGGTGCATTTACAATGGCCTCATATAAAGTCTCTGATAAGGATTTATGCTATAAAAGGCAAATATTTCCTCATAATACAGGCCTGTATCCTCAGAGCACATTAAGAGTTGTATAAACATCCACAAAGAGCACCATTACTGGGGTTTAGTAAGCCTGGACCTGGTTTGGTAAAAGCTGGCATCCGCTGCTGACATGGTTCATCACCTTCTGCTTCAGCTGGGCCACTTGCTCCCTGAGGACGCTGGCTGTGGAGGCCAGCTCGGTGTTCTGCGTTTTCAGGCTCTTGACCTTGTCCTCCAGCCGAGAGATCCTCTCCAGTTTTCTCTTGCGGCATTTGGAGGCGGCTATCCTGTTCCGCAGCTTTTTCCTCTCCGCCTTGATGCGCTCCTGGTTGTCCATGTCAATGGGGGACAGCGGGGGGCTCTCCCCAAAGCTCTGCATGTCTGGTACAGTCTGAGGCTCGTCCTTCACCAAGCCGGCGGACTGGAGTCGTGACAGAGCAGCTGCAGCAGCAGCCTGTTGCTGCGCGCTGGCCAGATGAGACGGAGGCGGCGGGAAGGGGATGGTGTCCGTGGAGTAGTTGATGGTGGTGGCTCCGAGCGGACTGGCCGCATAGCCGTTCAAAGTAGTGTAAACAGGAAGGTCTGATGTCTGAAGTCCGGAGGACCCGACGGTGTTGGCGGAACCGAGGAGCTCCAGTCTGTCCACGGAGACGCAGCCCGCTTCGCTCAGCTGATTCTGCTTGTGGAGATCCTCCAGCGCCTTCACGAAACCCTCCGCGAACTCCTGCTCGTCACTGGCTGACTTCGGGTAGAGGAACTGGGAGCTCGGGTTGGCGGTGGTGACCAGACCGTTTGACTGGATGATAAGGCGCTCCAGGTCCGGAGAGGTTAGTTTCAAGAGTCCCAAGTCTGGGGAGTTGAGGAGTCCGTCTGCGTCCCGGAGCGGGTTTTGTTTGAGCTCGGAGTTATGGTCTTCCAAGTTCAGATTAATGTCTTTCTTCATCATCGTGCTCTGGGGATAAGTGCTGGAGACCCTCGGAGTATTCACCACGGTGCCTGGGTAGAGGGTTGTTTCCATTCTACACCCTCACATGAGGGAGTGTTGAGCGTTACGCATTGACGACTGTTCAGCAATCATATCCAAACATGAGGAAATCAGCTGATCCTTATTTTTCTACGCGATCCTGCTTCCTTGTCCCCCTTCTTGTGTATCAGCCACTTTATCAGTCGACCACTTGAACTGCTGTGCCTGAGGGGCTCTGATGTGTCTCTTCAGCGCGCGGGTGATATTGTCTTTTCCCGATGGCACGACTGCTATGCGCAGCGCCAGACCTCGCTCGCTTTCTAGCCCTAAAAATTCCATTATGTCACTCCAGAGCGCGGAGATTGGCCCAAAATGACGTTGGTTTCCGGTTCAATTTGAATAAGGGGCCGAGCCGGTCTTTATTGCCATGGAGACTTTAGGTAAACTACAAACAGTGCAATGCATTGTGGTTTGATGTCATAGCATAAAAAAGCTCAGGGTCGCCAAAAGAGAGCAGAGACTGGGCGGGGAAGGTGTAAGAGGCGAGGGCCAAGGAAAGAACAGAGGAACAGGCCTTACAGAAAATATTCCTTCAACCCAGGCGGGGTAAGGCAGTTTTAAAACACCTCAAGAGTAGAATAGAATAGAGTTGTCAGCTTCAGATAATGTCAGGGTTGAGTATTAACACACAGGACCTGGAGCAGGACAAACTAGAATCCTAATTAGGCCTTAAAGTAGGTGTTCAAAACTTAATTCATATTTTATTCCAGTTCATCAAGACTCCTAGCACTAACCACGGCAACACCTCTTGTTCCAGCTCTTTAAGTATCAATGGTCACATTCAGCCCCTCTCACAAGGCCAAGCGACTTGAAATGAGGTGTTACAATGTGCTCTGAAAGTGTTCCTGGGGAAACTGAGCGTACACTAGAAAAAGGGGAAGGAAACAGTGACAGTAGAATGAGGAAACTATGTGTTTTCTGTGATTGAAAGTAGCATGTGGAAAGGTTAAAGGTTTTAATGGCTGCGGCTGATGGGCTGCCCTTGCTCTCTGTATTTATACTGTTTGATCCAAAGTAGGTGCTCAGGGTTTAGTCATCACAACAATGGGACGTAGAGCTGTGAAATCTCAGGCATTTAGGCATATTCATTCATGCTGACAAAAAATAATTGACAGAAGAGAGACAGAAAATTATAGACTAGAACAGAAAGTTACAGAATAGATTAAAATAGATGAGCACATAATAGAACACTGTACAATATAATAGAGCAGCACATTACACATTAGAGCATTATAAATACAACAAAATAAAACATTATAGAATAGAGTGATATGGTCAAACTATATCCCATATGTACAACAGTCATGGCCACATTTTTTGGGTATTTACAATTTAATAGCTCCCTTAAAGAATGGCTATATATATATATATATATACATACATACATACATATGACCAATTACCAAAAAAATAAATACAGTATTTATTTGTATTGGGATTTTTTTGTATTTATTTATTTATTTATTTTGGTAATTGGTCATGCTCGCAATTAACCCTTTAATAAAAAAAGAATAGAGAATGACAGAAACATATAGGATAGTGTACAGCATTATAGAATAGAATAAAATAAAACATTATAGAGTAGATGAGAACATTAGAGAATATAACAGAGCAAACAGCAGAATAGAGCATTAGAATAAGTCAAGTCAATTTTATTTAGATAGATAGATAGATAGATAGAACTTTATTGATCCCAAACTGGCACATTCTTGTGTTACAGCAGCAAGTGATCAAACAGTATGTGGACATTAGAATATAGAAATATAAAATATATACAAAATAAGTAGTACTAAAATTCAAAATATGCAAGAGAGTGAGGTAGAGGTTGTAAAAAATGTGCACAGTAGCTACAAATATGCATTTGGCAATAGCAATATAGCACATTTCATACAACAAGCGTAAACTTGACGGCTTAAGATACATCTGACATGACAAACATAAAATACAATATAAGATAATAAAGTACTACATTTATAAAAAAAAACAGTCAGGACATGATAAGAGGGTAGGTTATTATCATGATTTTTTTTTTTAAAAAAAAAGGGGGAGATAATAATATTAATACTAATTCCTAAAACAAATAAAATACACGAAAAGCATAAAGCAAAAAAAGATACATACAAGAAACATGATTGTGTAGAGCGTTATAGAATAGACTAGAACATTATAGAGAAGACTAACAGAATAGAGTACAACATTATGGAATAGAGTGTTATAAATAGAACAGCATAAAACAGTATAGAATAGAACAGAGCGCTATAGACTAATGAAACACCATAGAATAGAGCATTACAAATAAAATAGAACAAAAATATAGAATAGAAAAGAACAGGATAGTGTGCATTATTGAATAGCATAGAATAGAATAGAATAGAATAGAATAGAATAGAATAGAATAGAATAGAATAGAATACAGTAGAATGTTACACACTAAAAAAGTTTCAAAAAATATAGCCTTATAGAATAGAGTTGAACATTATAGAATAAAGTATTATGAGTAGAATAGAATAAAGCAGAATAGAGTAGAAGAGAAAATAATAGATACACAGAATAGAACAGGGCATTATAGAATATACATTAAAAGAGACAAATACAGTGTACGTCCATATTTCTTAGTCTGGCCCTGTGGTGGAAACTACAGTAGAATATTGTTATTCCGCCCATACACAGTGGGGATGTCAGCAGACCGTCTGCATCAGCACCACGGAGCAGAGAGGGCATCATTAGTTTCCATGGCAACACTGACATAGCGAGTGACGCAGGCGAGATACGGAGAGGGAGAGAAAGGTGAATGGGCGGACGGAGAGGAGGGAGAGGAGGGGGAGAAGGGAGAGGAGGGGGCTGTCAGCGACTGCAGTGCAGGTTGTGTAGGTGGCCAGTGGAGGTGTTAGAGTGCGTGCGTGTGTGTGTTTGTGTGTGCGTGAGGATCAGAGGCAGAAATCAAGTCTGTAAGCATAGAGGCATGAATGAGAGACTTTTTTTAAACATTCACTTTAAAATACTCTTCCAAGAAAGAAAAAAAAATCTCCACCCTATGGAGAGCATATTTTCTCCACCGTGCCAGTTTGGAGCCACATAGGGTGCAGTGTCCAGAATGTGTGAGTCATTTCGCAACCCATGGGTGTGGACGGCACCAGGAATAAAAAGAAAAGGGCTGTAGGGCGATATTAGATTAGCTCTGCCTTCATGTCAGCAAACTGGGAGGAAGGTTTGCCATCTAAACTCAGGTAATGGAGTGTGTTAAAGGTCGTGTAAGATACAGTTTCTCCCTCCTCAGCCAGAGAAGTGTCCTTTGACTTTAATCCCGCGGGGGAAGCAAACCGGGCACACACCCTGTGTCACTCTCACAGTGCATACATTCACACCTGGGAGCTGCCCAGTAAAACCACTAAGCAGCTCAACTGGAGCAGCTGGTTAGGGGTTAAATGTTCACTCATGAGCCGCCTCAACAGCTCCTATTGACGGAGGGGAGGTTGTTTTTCATTCACTCTAGCTGGCCACTCACAAGACGGCTCCTCTAACCTTTAATCCGGGAATGCAGTGCAGATGCTGGGTTTCATTTTCAGCGCACACATGGCTTGAATTACACTCTATTGCATTAAAAGAGTTGGATTAAAAAGATCAGCTTTCATCCTCTCCTGTCCTCTTTCCAAAAATGTCTTGCGCTGCATGTCAGAGGAATACAAATGCACAAGTCTGCTTTTGTTGATTTTTTTTTTTCACTTCTTAGCCAAATGCATTTGCTGGAGGCTGAGCTGCTGCGGAGGATCACATGCCCGTACAGTAGATGGCAGTATGATTCACTCAGATTTGGTGTGTCACTTCCTCTCAGCTGTGAGCCAGAAGAAGACAGCAGCAAGCGTAGACAATCCTGGAATTCCTGTTTGGTATATTTGATCCTCTTATTATACATCTATGACAGCTCCTGTCATAACAGCCGAGGATAATGGCCAATAAGAAGAAAGTAATAGTAACAGGTGAGAGGTTTTAATTGGTCTGGAGAGAGACAGATGTGTCTTTAAATTATGTCTTTATTGTCACCACAGTGCTGTTACAGCTCTTAGTTTTCCACTTGTGTCTGAGCTGCACTGATGGGTGTGTTTATATTATAGATATGTGATTATATTGCTTTAAAAAATAATGTTCTGCAGACAGAAATGTTGCTGTCAGGGGAGAAGTGTTCAGTCTGCTGGTTCAGATAATAAAGATACGCATAAGGAGGATGTGAATGACACTTAATGTAATCTTTGTATTGTGACTGAGAAAGTTATGTGTCCCTCCTGTGCTGCTGGAACAATTAATGTTTAACTTGCAACCTTTGGACTTTGAATTCAGAGTCCTTTTTTACATCCACCCTTATCACTTCTCTTCATGACAGATAAGCATCCTCACTGTCTCTTTTATTTACTTTGCTGTGCTGTATCTCGAATCATCTTTGCTGCTCTTGTCTCTGCAGGGTTTGAGCCTTTTGGTGAGCATGCAGTGAACTCCAGCTGGGTGGCAGTGCAGGTAATCAGTAATCAGGTTGTACATTTTTAACAGGGATGCCACAGGGAAGTGCATTTTATAAGTAGCTTGATAAAGGAAGTGGAGGAGGAGGGCCAGCTAGCTCATGTGGTGGAGTGGATGCCCCATGTGCAGAGGCTGTTACCCTTTTTCCATTGTCAATCTTGGCAGCGCTGATTTGCATTTCCATTACCAGTTTAGACATACCGTGCCACACCAAGCGATGCTGGAGATGGACCTTCTCACGAGTAGTATGAGACTGTACCCACCTCTGCTGCATGAGACCAGAGACCAAAACTGAATATATACCACACATAGCAACACAAAACTGCTTTGCTAGCTCAATCATGTTGTAACTAAGATATCCGCTGGAAAAAAAATATTTTTTTCACGGGCCATTTAGTGAGGTTTTTTTACATGGCGGCGTAAGCTATATGAACGAGTTAACCCTCGTCTGCTGAGTTTTAAAAATGCCGGCTATTTTGTTGCTTTCTGTTGACATCACATCCCTCCTTGAGTATATCCAATCAGCACCACGTAAATCCCAAGCCCCAGCCAGGAGTCTTTTGGGGCCGTTCTGAGTACCTACCCCGAGGCAGGGACTTGTTTAGCCCCTGTAAAAGTTCCTGAACTCTGTCTTTTTGGGGTGGTTCCTGTGGTGGAGACACGCACCAACGGCCCCGGCCCCGTAAAATTACCCCGAAGTTCCTGCAGTGGAAACGGGCCTCTATCGTGATATATTTTATGGCATTACTCAGCAAATCGCAACATATTTAAAATGGCAATAATATTGTATCATGGATCCTCTGGTGATTCCCACCTCTAGAAAATGATATTGTATATTAATTGCTCCGTTACATTGAATTTGTGAACAAAGCCTTGGTTTTCTCGCCTGCATTCTGCGTCCATATAGCAAAGCTTTATCAAAACGTCAGTTTACAAAATGTCACACAACTCGTGCAGTATAATCCAAGTCTCATTTATCCAGTCGTATGCTCAGTGCTTCCGAAACAGGCAGCCCTTTCTGACAGGAACTGAACTAAAGTTAAAGCTTGTCTATGCTCGCCTCAAAGCCAGACCATTGACAAAAACAATAATTTTACCTCACTGAACACGGGAGCTGCTGGTCTACCACTGATCGAGGCAGTGGTAGACCAACAGCTCCATTTTCAGAGAAGTAAAATTACTGTTTTTGTCAGTGGAGTATTGCTGTTTCCCCCACGCCTCCATGGTAAAAGAACAATCCAAAAACTAAGGAGATTATTAATGAGTTGTTTAACAACAGCAAAACAACTCGTGCAGTATCATCCAAGTCTCATGTATCTAGTCATGCTCATTACGTCCTTATCACATGCATTTGTTGCTAAATTCTTACTATTTAAATCACTTCTGCATAAACAGTCTCAAGCACGGCAGTTCAGTTCTATATTTATGTTTCCTGTGCTCACAGGAACTGGAGCGATTAGGGCTGGGTGAAGCAGTCGACCTTCATGTGTGTGAGGTGCCTGTTGAGTACCAGGCTGTTCAGACCCTACTGCCATCTCTGTGGAAAGAGCACCAACCAATGGTATTCAATAAATAACACTATACTGTACATGAATAACACCTTTCTGTTACATTGCATATAAAGTGTTGATAAAATCCATCAATTAATAAAAAAACTTTTGTCTTTTGGGGTCCTGTGTGCAGTTGGTGGTCCATGTCGGTGTTTCTGGGTTGGCCACCACTGTCACTCTGGAGCAGTGCGGCCACAACAAAGGATACAAACGCCTGGACAACTGCAGCTTCTGCCCAGCTTCCCAGTGTTGCATGGACAGCGGCCCCGACTGCATACAATCAGTACTGGACATGGAAACAGTCTGCAAAAGGGTCAATGACTCTGGCCTCAGGGTCACTCTGTCTGTATCTAAGGATGCTGGAAGGTAAGTGACGTTATTCCCACATGAGAAAAATTCACACATACGCACACTATAAACGTGTTTGACAAAACTATTGTATGAAGCCAAATACTGGTCTCAAACAAGTGGTATCTTCTACAGTAGGGCTGATAAATGAAGCCAAGGTGGAAATGCCTATAAACTGCAGTTCCTCAAATGGCCACTTGAGGCTGGCTCCAAGAGCAAGTCAATCCCCATGGAATGTGTTAGAAGTTTAGAACTCACCCATTTACATTTATCAAGGCTTAAAGATATGTTAAATTAAGGGCGACAGGCTGTTAGCGAGATGTTAGCACTTGACCAGATGTGGTCACTTCTGGCTCCAAAAAAAATCAAAATGATGACAGCCGAAATGCCAAACTTGAGGCTTCAAATGGAGTCTTCAAACCAATGGGTGACGTCGCAGGAGCTATGTCCATCATTTTCTTACCATCTATGGTCTCAGTCTACTCTCTGGGTCCTGACACATGAAGCCGTCAGTTCGTCATCGGTCAATGATGGGCTGTCGGTGAGCGCCTGTCACCCTAGTCAGCTGATGTTGGATGTTTATCGGCCACTTCAGCATGTTGAATTAGCGTTGGAGATGGTGGAGCCAGCTGTTGAGAGACATCGCTCTGGTTGGCAGTTCAGCTCAGTGCATGAGAAGAGAAACTGAAATGAGGAAAGCTAACAGCTAAAGCTAAAGTCAAGAGGACATAAGATCAAAACAAACTTGTTATATTAGGTAAGACTACTTTTTTTTGCCATTGAGCTCTTTCATAGAAACAGTTTGTAATTGTTTGTGTTATGATTCCTTAGTAACTGGTAAATATTTGTTCTTTCAACAGTGGGTTTTGTTGTTAATGTGCTAACTGGCTAACCTGCATCCTGAACCTGTCCTGTCTGTCTTCCAGTTTTCCTTTCTATTGACGAATACAGACTGGACTAACATGCATGCTAGTTGGCTGTTGGCTGTAGTCTTTGCGGTGTGTTCAAGCGCAACTTTTTGTCCAAGACACAGGTGACGTTATGTTATGCAACAGTTGGCATTTGTTGACACCAGTTCTTTGATGTTGGTTTGGTGCCTCTAGGCCTAAAGGCCTTTTCACAGCAGTAATTTAGACTAACTGTGATCGTAGCAAAAGTAAAGGTGTTACTCATAACATTAATGCTGGCTCTGCATTATTCAAGTGTCCCAGTAAGTCGTGACTGTGTGACAGTGAGCCGTCATGCTCAGGGATGAAGATCAGGACCCTGAAACTAACGCAGCTAAATGAAGTTCAGCCAACATTAATGTCATTATTTACACCTGTGTTTTTCCTACTGTGTCCTCCGTTAAGTTGTGTCTTGACTTGTTTACTCCATACAGAAATAAATAAAATGAAAATAGAAAAAAAAAATCTGTGAAAAATCACATGATCAACTGTAGTAACAAAGGTCATGTGATTGTTTTCTGCTTCTTGATCTGTGGAGTTTGGTTTAAGATTTCTGCCTTCCGCTCATAAATATCCATGCCTACATGTGCAAATGTCTTTATACAGTGGATAATTTTAAATGAGCATGATAATAGATTGTCTTATGACTCATTTTGAAATGTTTTCGTCTTAACAGCCAGGGACACCTACTGTTTCGCAAAGTTGACTCATAGCCTCAGTCACACGCATTCCCCTCAAAAACTCACCACCTTGTTTTCTGATACTCTCTTTTGTCTTTTTGGCAAAGTAGTGCAACCTTTACCTTACATCCACCCTTTGGCTCCTTGGCAGGTATCTGTGTGACTACACCTACTACACCTCTCTGTACCTGGGGCAGGGTCACTCTGCCTTCATCCACGTGCCTCCCCTTGGAAAACCCTACAGCAGCCAGGACCTGGGTCGAGCACTTCAGGCTGCCATTCAAGAGATGCTGACAATGCTGGAACTGGATCCTGAACACAACAAGCAGTGCATTCACGAACATCAACACCAGCACAACCACTAATGACTTACAGCACGAGCAGTAATGACTCAAGATAGACAACCATTAGCTCCAAAGATTAATGGCATGAATTTCACATTCGAGAATAGGAGCTCGTGTCTGAATGGGGTGCTTTTATCTGTAATATCAGTGCCAAGTGTAAACCATGTGTTGTATCTTAAAAATATTGAGGGTTTTACAAGTTTGTTTTGACTACAGCATCTGTATATCTGGGTCTTTGCATGTGTGGGTTTGAATGTGTGTGTGGGCATCTGTGAGCGTTAGTCACGTCTCTACAATTCTGCCTCTGAGAAGACTGAAAATTGATGTCAGCAACAATTATGGATGTGTTAACATTGTATCAAAAGGGGGATTTATGTGACTATATTACGGTAGTACTTACAAGGTAGTAGCTAAGACTACAAGATGTATATGATGACACACTGTGGAGCATTTACAATAACTCTGAAGCCACATCCTTCCCCTGCCACCTGTGGGTCTGTCCTCAGTCTCCCAGGTCCTCTTTGTATGATTTGGATGTTATGCTTTAACCCCGTTGTGTTGCTTGTATTTGCACCAGAGAAATGTGATGACATTGAAATGACTTAAGAAATTTAAAGACTCGCACTAAAAATGATTTGTTTAACTCAGGGAATATATTGCACATGCAATCAATATTGAGTAATTTGATCACTTTAATGTCTGTGCTGTGTATGTAGTGCAGCTTAAAGCTGTGTATAATTAAAACACTTCACACAGGCTAATTTTTCATTTGTCTTTGTCAGTGTGAAATCTTTTGCCAGATTAAATACTGCTTGCACTTTCACTGCTTATACTTTGAATACATTTATTCAGATAATGTTTTTGTTTAACTCTCAAAACTAAATATTATGGTTTATAATTTGCTTTTTACATTCGCACATGTGTGGATTACTGAAAAGGCCTACTGGGCACGGGCCTAGGGGCCCAAAGTGTCACGGGCCCCCCTGGCAAAATATCACTCAAATGAACACACACCAACAAGGAACTTCAAAGAGACACAGAAAAACCACAAAGAGACACACAGTGGTTACAAAGAGACACAAATTGACAAAACAATACAAAAAATGACCTCACAAAACAACCACAAAGACACACAATGACCAAATAATACAAAACATCCATTCAAAGACATATAAAACGATCTCAAAGAGACATAAAATGACCAAAAAAATTAGAACATGACTTCAAAGAGATACATAAAGGTTCTCAAAGAGACACAACACCAAAAAAGTACACAAACCAACCACAAAAAGACATCAAATGACCAAACAATACGAAAAACATGACCTCAAAGAGACACAAAATGACTACAAAGAGACACTGAACAATCACAAAGAGACACAAAACATGACCTCAGAGATACAAAACAACCTCAAAGAGAGACAAAACAATCACAAGAAGACACAAAATGACCAACAAAAGAAAACATAACTTCAAAGAGAGACAAAACAACCACAAAGAGACGCAAAATGACCAAACAATACAAAACACGACCTCAGAGAGATACAAAAAGGAGCTCAAATAGACACAAAACGACCAAAAAATACACAAAACAACTACAAAGAGACACAAAATGACCAAACATTACAAAACATGACCTCAGAGAGATACAAAAAGGAGCTCAAAGAGACACAAAACGACCAAAAAATACACAAAACAACCACAAAGAGACACAAAATGACCAAACAATACTAAACATGACCACAAAGACAAACAAAACGGCCTCATAGAGACACAAAATAACCACAAAGAGACACAAAATGACAAAACAATACAAAAAAAACGACCTCAGAGAGATACAAAACGACCTAAAAGAGACACTAAACAATCTCAAAGAGACACAAAATGATCAACAAACCAGAACCTAACTTCAAAGAGATACATAAAGGATCTCAAAGAGACACACAACAACCAAAAAATACACAAAACAACCACAAAAACACACAAAATAACCAAACAATACAAATATGTCCTCGAAGAGACATAAAACAACCTTAAAGAGACACAAAATGACCAACAAAACAAAACATAACTTTAAAGAGATACAAAACAACCACAAAGAGACACAAATCGGCCAAAAATCATAAAACATGACCTCAAAGAGACACAAAACAACTAAAAAGAGACACTAAATTACAAAACAATACAAAATATGACCTCATAAAGATACAACATGACCGAAAATAGATACACACACACATAAAAATACACAATACAGCCACAAAGTGACGTAAGATAACTGCAAAAAGACACAAAACAACCAAACAATAAAAACAAAACAACTTAAAATAGATACTAAACAACTAATAAAGTGTGTATTGCTCCTGTTCAGGAGGGGTGGTGGGGCCTATTGTCTTATAATTCACTCCTGCATTTATGAACATGCCCCGCAGAAAACAGTTGTGCATTTTGTATCGATTTCTTTTGTGGGGATAATATCTGTGAATAATCCTAAAGACACTCTGTTCAGTTTTCTAATGTTCAGATCTTAAACACACAAATGTTATTTGACTTAATGTGTTACACAAAGAACCACACCCATGAAATGTCAACTAAAGAAAAAAATTATGAGCATCCTGCCAAAGCATTTTATGATCAGTGATCACAAAGCAACTGCAGAACATTATGTACTCAGAGACTCAAAGTGTGAAGCGCTTTGTGCTGCTGTTTTAAGTTATGGCTAAATTTAGTAATTCAGTTCACTTCTCACCAAGTGAGCGCATAAAAACCTGAAAGAGGAGTAAAAACCTGTATGTTGCCATTGTTGAGATACACCTGAAAAGGCGAGGCAGCGTGAGACAAAAAGATTAAAGGGATTTCAGACAGATCAGGACAAGAACACAACAATAATTTAGGATTTAATTCTGTATTTTTATAGACGTTTGATGTTAGAAAGGCAGGTGAGTGTGTGATGTTTCCTAAGACAGTGAGCATTCTTGTGCAGTGAGGTGTCAAACATAATTAGGAAACTATCCACTGCTCTATCATGTGTTGTTATCCAATAAATTCTTTGATACTTTTAATATTTACTTTCAGATTCCTGTGGTGCAGAGCGAGTTACAGTAACACTGGGTGTAGTACATCCTGGTTCCACAGACCTGCTGAACTTGTTCTGACCTGACAGATCTGGTGCAGGACTGAGTGAAAGGAACATTATGTTACTAGGACATTATAAAGGTATTAAAGTCAGCTGGAACACCCAATATCGAGGACTGTATTTACGCAATGCCTCAAAACAGGAGGCTGGTCCCAACTGGTCATAAACTCCCACATGTGATGCATATTTCATCCCACCAGCAAAACCATTTTGTCACCTCTGTAAACCTTTAAGTACCAGGATTAAGGAGAGCATCAGAGCTGTCCTAACCTGTTAGGAGGGGGTAAATGAGGACAATGCTCCAGTTGTGGACACAGCAGTATAGCAGTAACACTAATTTGTACTGGAGGGATTGTGAACAGGTTGGAGATCACACACACACATATTTTGGGACTGTCTGAAATTGAGGAATTACTGGAAAGGGATTCATTCACAGATATTGGCCATTTTGAACATTTATTTACTATTAGATCCATCTTTTTTTTTTAGGTGCAATCCCTGATGGAGTGATGCATAGGAGAAAGGTTTACCTGTTGAATATTCTTTTACTGGTCGCAAAAAAAAAAAGATGACCGCAGCTTCCCAATCTCCCTCTATGGCAAGACAGGTTAATGAAAGTGTACTCAATGGAAAAGGTACCAGCAAAACTCCATGTAAAGACAGACGGGTTTTTGATTCTATGGGTTCCTGTAATTACATATTTTGGATTATCAAAGTTATAATGCACTGATTTAGTTGTGAATTTAGCCAAAACTGATACTGACTTATTTGAATGTATTTTTATTTTACTTTATATGGCTATACCAATTAATTAAGTTTTATTTGTTAGACTATGTGAATGTACGTATTGCCATGATTTATATTCTTACAATTCTTATACTCATACATGTTGAATCTAATGGTCTACCTGCTTCTTAGAAACAAATAATTTCAATAAAAGATAAGATTCAGAATAATTCAGGGAGTGAAAAACTGGACAAGTGTGAATTGTACAGTAGGTATCTGTTGTTTAATAGACATTTCTAGGCTGTTCCCACTTGAACATAATTTGGAGGTCAGCTTTGAGATCTTCTAAATGTGTAAGATATAGGATTATACAACATAAGACTCTGTGCAGAGCATATATTACTCCTGTTAGGGCGCATTCACACCAGGATAGTCCCAGGGGACTCGGTTCGATTGGGTGGGGAATGCCGAAAAACTTCACACCTTCATTTGGTTCGGTTTGGTTCACACTGCACTTTTTAAAGCAGACCAAACTGCTTGGACAACGTCATGCAGTTACAACAGCTGCTTGTTTGGGGGGCGGTATAGAGCTTGTAAGTTGCGTGCTTCCATTTCCGGTACATGGGACCTTAAAAATCTCATTTCTCATAATGTATTCCAATGGCTAGATGAAAATTATTTTCTGGTCCTGTTTGAATTGTGCCATGAATTTCACATATGTTGTTTGTGAATTTTTAATATATTTTTTCATGCAAAGAAGGCTACAATTTAGCAGGAAGAAGTTTGATACTATTAAGTTTTGTGTGAGAGCGCTTTGTGGACTGCAGCCCTTCGCCGCTATCAACGCGTATGATATACGTCACCACTTGCACTCGTAACATGGCTGTGTCTCTGGTACGCCTCACCGCCTTGAAAGATAATCTAAAGAAAGAACAGCCGTTCTTGTTGGAATGGTGACATTCGGGTATGAAATACACCGGCATCTTGACTGGCTCCGTAGATCGTGGCAGAAGACGCAGCAGCAGCACTGTGAGTTGAGAAGTGGAGGGAAAGTGTGATGATGTGACGTCACATAGGTGACATGTAGTCTTTCTCATTACGTTGTTTCCACAGCCTTTAAAGGTAGGATCTGGAGGATTTTCAAACAAAACAAAATATAGACATATACAAATGAAGAATCATACAATAAACTGTCAAACTCTTAACATGAAAAAATATTATTTAGACCCACACAAAACATTTGTGTAATCCAAGGCATTTAATGACTGGGACCAGAAAATAATAATTTTCTCTCCACTGACTCCCATTCATATTTTCTGAGCCTAGAGGTCTGATGGGGGTCTACCGGAAGGGGCGTGACTTACGAGATCTATTGCCTGAAACGACCACTGACCAGGAAGAAAAAAAGCATGAGGAAGAAGCTCATTGATTGGCCAGGACCGAAAGCGTAAATCCTTCCCTTTCAGCCAGCTTGGTCACCACAAAAATACCAAACACCAAAATGCACTGTGCTCTATGTCATTTCCTGTCTTTGGTTTGCTGCGGACCAGGGTTCGAATGCGCATTCACACCACTCCAAACGAACCGAACTACCCGTGAAAGCGGACCAGGGTTCGTTTAAAGCAGACCAAATAGCGGCAGTGTGAATGCGTCCTTAGATTATCCAAGATGGGCAACAAACATCATGATTTATGCAATCTAGGATCTTTATTCTACTTGCTCTGGGGCTGTCCAGCTGCTAAAACACTCTGGTTAGAAGCAATATCTCTTATGTCAGAGTTTTTCAATGGTAATATCCCAGTGTGCCCCAAATCATGCTTGCTGGATCTGAAGTTGGACAATAATGTTTGAGTTACTGTCGACCACTATGGACGTTGGGTTGTTATCTCTACTAAAAGACCATTTCTTCTAAACTGGAGGGAGTGTTACACAGCCTGCTTCACAAGGGCCTGGAAGACCACTGAAACACTGTCTGTACACTTATTAAAACAGCAGCCTCAAATATATACATATAAAATGAAATAAATACATACAATAAATATATACAACCATTTAAAGGTGCAGATTTACACAGATTTTTCCCACATAGTAAGTACTGTCAATTGGATCTCTACTTTGCATTGTGTTTTTACTTACCATGTAGTAAATGCATTGGTTGATGTGAACGGATTATCTTGTATATTTAATTATTCATTATGTTGCATGTACATTTTAATTTATGTCAGTCTATTCTATTTTTAGCAGGCCTTTTGTAACTTCTGTTCACAGACAACAGATTATGATTCACATTCTAGTCTAACTCTGAATAATTTACTGTTCTTTTTTCCCCCACTAATCACTGAACAGTAACACTGTTAAATAAAGTAACAAAATAAAATAATAAATAAAAACAATAAATAAAATTATAAAAATCTAAAATAATTAAAATGAAATAAAATAAAAATACAAACAATAAATAACATTAAAAAATAAAAGAAAGATAATTGAATAAAATAAAATAAAAATTTGAATAAAATGTAAATATGGTTCATATCAGAGTTTCAGACAGTCTGAGTCTTATTTTACCTGTCAGCAGCAGCTATAACCCATAATTAATTTATTCTTTACATTGTAAAACTGTACAAAAGGCGATACTGACTTGAAGCCCTCTACATTTTTATGCAATAATAACTCAACTATTACAGTTTTCTCTTATTGAATATTTAATCCTTGCCTATTCTACTCTTGCGTTTATATGTTGCACACTTGTGGAACAATGCACATATTTCTACATATTTCATATATTCCTATTTCTTGTACATTACATATTGTAGCATAATGCACATTTTTCTTGCATACTTATGATCTTATTTCTGTTTCTATATTTTTCTCATAATTTCTCTGTGTCTGTATAATTTAAGAGCACCTGTAATGTCTTTCAGCTTCCCCCTGGGGATCAATTAAGTTCTCTGAATCTCTTTATTGCAGCTCCCAATTCTGTTGCACCCCTATGTCTTAATAGTTAGGCAATTAAAATGACAGAGGGGACTTTTATGGCCTGGGAGAAATTAATTCTCTCACATTAAATTCTGCACACGTATGTCTCCTTGTCTCCTTTGCTATGCTCGCTTCCTGCAGGTAACTTCCTGTAGGAGACAAGTGGTAATGAGAGAGGAGAGGAAACGTGCGGGGGAGAAAACAAACGGAATGCAGCCGTAGTCGAGGCTCCCTCTATCTCTCCCACCACCAGTGTTTGTAATTTTCTAATCAGTGGTGTGTCTCCGTTATTCCGTGTCTTCTGGAAAAGCAACAGTTTGTGGGAATAACCGTCGGAGCGAACAAACACCGTTGATAAGAAGACAGAAACATGAGTGTCGAGGCGTACGGGCCGAGCTCGCAGACTCTAACGTTCCTCGACACCGAGGAAGCCGAGCTGCTGGGAGCGGACACCCAGGGCTCCGAGTACGACTTCACCGATTTCACCCTGCCGAGCCAGACCCAGACCCAAGGCCAGACCCAGAGCCAGCTAGACAACCAGGTGCGTGCGGTTATCCGTGACAGCTCGGTGTCAAAATGTGTCTCCTCCTGTGTTGACAAAATGAGAATTAGCTAACGTTAGCTAACAACACCGCTGGCTATCTCCGGTTAGCATGATGACGCCTTCCATCTGTTACCATGCCTTTATCCCGCTAATTGGCTAGCATGCTAGCTAGCTAGCTTGCACTGTTAGCTTGCTGACAGCACAGTTAGCGTGCTGACACAGCTAGCATGTCAATGCAGGACTTTATTGCCATACAAACCAGGAGTGACAGGCGGTTGTTTGGGCGGTGTATTAGCTTCAAGTGTCCGTATTTATACTTACCATCGCTTATATGGACTTCACACTGACAGTATGCACTGACAACAACAATCACAGCGGTTGGCAGATACAGTTACTTGGATACAGTGAGTGTGATATTGCTGACAACAAACCATTTGTTGATATGACAGACACCAAGCAGGTTAAATATATAACCATATATAGTTTTAGTCATCTGGTTGGCTGTCCATCTGTTGCCTATCTGTGACCCTTCATTGTTAGTTTATCCCACATAATGTTGACATTAAAGGGCAACACCACTTACATTCAGAATTGTAATAATTATTTCCATGACCTGTTAAAGTTATATCAGTTGACCTTTTACACAGCAGACATTTTGACATGTCACAGTAGGAAAGGCACAGGTGTATTAATGGGAGCTGCATTCCACTTCAGGGAGGCCCTGGTATTGTGGAAAAGCTTACATCAGGCATGTCCAAAGTCCAGCCTGGGGGCCAATAGTCTGTGAATCAATTTTAAATGACATGTGGCTTGTTAATACACTATATGTGGCCTGCCACACGTGTTCATTATGTATGGAAGATCTCTTTGCATTTTTTCCATTCACCCCACAATGGCAGAGCTATCATACAGTTCATACTGTTTGTAGACATAAATCAAATAGGATCCACAAAGGCCAAACAAACGGTTACCTAGCAGCAGAGTTTTCCTTCGTGGTCCCAACAAATAAGCATAGTTGGCAGTGGAAAGTTGAATAATTTTTCACTGAAAGATGAAACAGTTGCTTTTGTCCCTTTTTTATGTGACACTTTTTTTTAATAACCAGCTGGATGTGAGAAGCAGCTGACCCCCAAGTATTTTCACATTATCGTATCTGGCCCCCATTTAAAAAAGCCTTACATTGACACCTAACAGAACTGGACCATGTTAATGTTATCCATTTCATCTGTGCTTTTCCTGCTATGACACGTGAAAAAGGTCTGTATTTGTGAACATGAGCTTCTTTCTCTCACAGCGAGAAACTGGAGAAGTCAGTCTCAAACTTGTGATGTCATCGGGGCATAAAGTGTAGAGCTGCTCCATAGACATTAAATGGGAGCCTGGCTTTGTGGAGCCACAGAATATATTTCTTTTTAATACACAAATGAGCTTTATTCTGTTGTAGTGATCTCAGTTGTCAAACAGAAAATGTACCCATATATTCAGAACATCCCCCTGGGTGCTGTCCGTGTCATCTATAAAAATTATCCCATTCATTGTCTATGGAGCAGCTCCGAACTCTGTACGCTGTGACATCACAAATTTGAGCTTTAGCACCCTAGTTTTTGGATTTGAGAGTGAGTTGTTTATGAAGACTAATATTTTTGGACTGTGTTAGACCATAGGAATAACGTGTGAATTTTGAAAGTGGGTGTAGTTCTCCTTTAAGGTTGAGTTTATAGTTTAATCCTCAGGGAACTGTTTTTCCTGTATCACGGTAATAATATTATTATTATTATTATTATTATTATTATTAGTTACAATGATCCTTAAAGGGATGAAAACAGAAGGTTTTTTGGTTGAACACTTATTATAACTGAACCCTGAAACCATGTTTTTTTAATTGAAGTATATGTAAAAAGCCTGTCAGGCAGTTGAAGAAGAAAGGAGATGCATGTGCGCATATGAGATTATCCGTCCAAGTGTGTGTTTTTTTTCCAATGCCTCCAATAAGCAAATGTGCACAGCAGCCATCAATTTTCATACCGCTGCAACCCTAATGGCACTACATGTTTGTCTTTCGACTATGTTTGTACCCTCTTGTATCTTGTTCTGTTCCTGATTTTATATCTTGTTGTTTTCATCTCATGTTCATTTGTTCATTCTTTTGTATTGCACTGTGACCAGGGACACACAATTTCTTTTCTCTATGTACTCTCTATGTAAAGTCTCTCTTATCTTTTATGATTCTACATGTGTGTATCCTCAGGTTAATGGCCCTGACGGCGTGCTACAGAATGGAGACGACCCTGTGGTAAAAGCCAGTCAGCTGCTTGCAGAGTTGAACTTTGAGGAGGATGAGGAGGACACCTATTACACCAAGGATCTCCCGATACATGCCTGCAGGTACAGGATCGGATTATTGAGAATGGTGGTCCCGTGGCTGTTATCAGAGTGGAGAATAATTGATGGTTGTTGTCATTGGATACAACTATACACCCCACTTGTTATACTTAATTAAGTCTCAGTGGTTGTGGGCATTTTTGTCGACCATAATGTCTTAAAATAATTCAGTATATTACATCTCAATCAGCTGGTTTCTGTCCATCTTGTCCAGTTAGTGGTTTACTGTCCATTGTAGGCAACACACACGCTTCTCTACAGACACTCACTCACTCCACAGATGGAACATGAGCCAGATTATCAGAACATCTTGCATCACGTCAAATGTCAGCAATGGTTAATCATTATTATTGTTATGTCATGCTAAGCGATGCTGCTCTTCTCACACTCACAGCTTGTATGCTGTCTAACTAACAAGTTGGCTGTCAGCCGTTACTTTGGCTGTGCCAAAACCGTCCTGTTGAGTATGTCTGACATCCCTGACATCCTCCATTGCCCATCTGGATTGTTTTTTCTGTCAGTTTGTTGCTATAAAAGTAATGTATTACCATATCTTTCAAGTTTGAAGTTTGGCAGTGAAAGCAGAGTTTGTTGGACAGAGAGCGAGGGCCTCAATTTCTTTAACAAATGTGCCACCATCTTCTTGCCAATATTTTTATATAAACTTTGATACCCGTCAGCAACATGCAGTTTGATTTTGGATTTTTAGTCATGCAGCTAGATCCATTACTGTCAATAATTGTGACCAATGATTGCATCAGACAGTTGAAAAATAATTCTGACATCACTCTTTGTTGGGCAAAGTATAGTGTGGTATCAATATTTTAAAACTTAGTGTATCTTTGGCATGTCTGTACTTCAATTTCTTGTCATTTATCGGCAATACTGATCTGCAGTAAGCTAATAATGTTGATATATTGGCTCTGCTCATTTATTTCTTAGGCTTATAAGTCACTCTAAGTTGTTTTTTTTCCTGAAAAGAAAAATCACTTTATGTTGCATGTGTTGTTGCTGTTGCTGTAAGCGACTATAAAATGACTACAGACGGATTGCTGCATTATATTTGATTTTACTTGAATCACAAAGCACAGGTTTGCAACACCAGAGATCCTAAAGTGCAATCTAAAATGAGTTTTGTGCTTATTTGTCTGGTTTAGTTCTATGACATTAGATTTTAAACATCTCCATAATACTAATGTTTTTGACTCGCTTCTGTTTCAGTTATTGTGGTATTCATGATCCAGCCTGTGTGGTCTACTGCAACACGAGCAAGAAGTGGTTTTGCAATGGCCGTGGAAACACATCCGGCAGGTAAGATACGGTGACTCTCAGGTTTTTATTTACCCTTCCTGTCAGTGTACTTAGCTAAATGAACTGAGAGAGGATCATTTTACAGGTACAGTATAGTCATAGCAGGAGTACAGTACACAGCAACTGTAATAACGAGTCTTTGTTGTGTTCAGAGGCCTCGGTCATAAATGGACAGCCAGTGTTTGGGTATATGTTTACTGACTTTTAATGGACACTGAGGTCAAGCAAGTTATCTTAAGCAAAAAGGTATTTGTAAATCTTCATTTGAAGTAGTTTATTTTTTTCTTTCTTTCTTTTTTAAATCTTTATTTAACCAGAAGTAAAAGACTGACTGAGATTAACAAATCTGTTTTTCAAGACATGAGTGTCCTGGCAAAGACAGGCAGCAGCACTAATAACATAGTTGCAGACAATGAAAAAACATAACAATCTAAAATTAAAATAAAGAACAACTTACAGAAATTATAAAAAAAAAAAAACTTCTGTAATCATTCAGAACATTTACAGGCAGGTGTGACTGTCTCTAAGGGGCCGTCACTTGCTGCGTATTTAACTGCCTAGAAAATGTGAGGTCAGGTGGTACCCGCTACTTTTGTGCCTTTTTTGAGCCAGCTTTCAAGAGCGTGGCAGCAGAGCTGATCTTCTTCCAGGCGCTGTTTATAAGTGTGTGGGCATATTGTCCGTGGAGCAGATGAAAAGCTTCGGGTAGCTCTGCACCAGAATGATCAACTTTTCCATATTTATCACAGACTGATATTTATGGAAGAAGGGAAAGATATCTGTCTGTGATTGGTTGTTCCTCGTCACATGACATGCAATGCATGCGCAGGAACGTGTGCGTGCTGCAGGGGTGTCACTCTGGCGTTTGAGCATGCCTGCCACACGTCTACATTGAAAACAATGAATTTGAGGGTGCAAAAAAACACAACATCTGTACGGCCCCTTTGAAAACACTTTGAATGCATCCAATGACACCAGCTCCTAAAGATTTTGGGAAGTTTGCAACTGATTCCAAGCCAAGGGAGCAGCACACTTTAACAGTCTTTTTTCCCAGTTTATTTTGGACTTGAGGAACAGTTAGTGAGAATAAGTCCAGGGAGCGAAGACAAAAACTTCCCATACTTTTTTGTAAGATGTAGATTTGTAGCTTAGAAGGTTGCAGACAATAACAGCCTTATGAATAGGTGGACAAGGCAGGCCATCCAACCCGAGCACACACAGAGCCATGGTGGGTGAAGGCTTTGAGATTTGTAATAAATCTCAGTGCTCTGTGGTAGACAGTATCCAGTGTATATAGGCATTGTTAAGAAGCATGCATGTGTAAAACATCATCATAGTCAAGCACAAACATAAAAGTAGCGGTAGCATCATTACTAGATATCCCTTTGAATCAACCTTGTAATGAACCAAGGAACTTTGGCAAGATACTGTTCATTTCTGTGAATCAGAGGAATGTCTATAATTACCTGCTGTCCTTAAATATATACAGTAACTGAACTTTGAGACATAATTGGCAGCTAGAAATCAGCCATGTACGGTCGATGCTGCCTTAGCCACTTCATGCTCTGATAGTTCTGACACTGTAGACTGCAGCTGGTAAGCTCAAGGCAATTAATAAGATAGTAACACATTTGGTGTGAATCCTCTTACAATATTTTTGCAGAACTTGTGTTTGTATTTTCTGTGTGACAGTGTGCTGGTTCTCTGTGTTTAAAGCAGTTTTAGTAAACACAAACAGTGTAGCAGATGACTGCATCATGTGTTTTTTGGGGTCATAATTATGTAATAATGCTAATTTCTAGTCAGTGCATCTTGGAGCTATTTTTGCTGTATTCTCGTGCAGTCATCTTTTATTAAAGTTTGAATGAAATAATGTCAGGATGCATTAGTAGTGTACAATACACCTGCACCCTACGCAGGACTGTAGTTTCGCATTTTCCCCTCTTAATTGTCATTCTCTTCACTTGTAGCCACATTGTAAACCACCTGGTGAGAGCAAAGTCCAAGGAGGTGACCCTGCATAAAGATGGCCCCCTGGGGGAAACAGTGCTGGAGTGCTACAACTGTGGCTGTCGCAATGTCTTCCTTCTGGGCTTCATCCCTGCTAAAGCTGACTCAGTAGTGGTGTTACTGTGCAGGTGAGGGTGCTTGTTTCTGTGGCTGACCTACACACTGACCTTCCTGCTGATTGGGGGGAGCAATCAAAGCGAATACAGAACTTTGAAGTTTGAATTTTGTGTTTGTACCACAGGCAGCCATGTGCCAGCCAGAGCAGCCTGAAAGACATCAACTGGGACAGCTCACAGTGGCAGCCTCTCATCCAGGACCGCTGCTTCCTGTCCTGGCTGGTGAAAATCCCGTCAGAGCAGGAGCAGCTGAGGGCTCGTCAGATCACCGCCCAGCAGATCAACAAGCTGGAGGAGCTCTGGAAGGTATGCCGGTGCAACTGTCGAGGCACACGCCCGCCATTGCACTATGTAAATATGCTAAACCCGCATAGCTTGAAGTTGAGCATGGGTTGGGCTTATCTGTACAGTTGACCAGATATAGTCATACAGTTGGGCGTGATGCAAATAACTTCTCTGTGTTTGCTGAGGGTTTTTTTTTTCTTTGTTTCACAGTTGCACTGCCAGTTTCATGCATGTTTCTATTTTTTTAATAATTTCCTGTTGTATACAAAGCAGTTATAGTTCTGTATTTTTGATTGTTTTTTTGTTTTCACCCTTTTTTAATTTTTGTTTTCAGTTTTCGTTAGTTTCAGTTAGTTTCCAGAGTAAGCTTGCTCATTTCAGTCTAGTTTATTCTTTGAAAACACTTGTTTTAGTTTAGCTTTATTAGTTTCAGTATTAGTTTTAGTTTTTTATTATAAAATGGGGATTATGGGGAGTACAAAAACAACACTGTTTGTAGGCAACTCATAATCATGCAGACATCCCAGTCTCAATGAACATATGCACCTGTGCCTTCTTTTAGTAAACTATAAAAACCTTGATACAAAGTCACATATACCCAACAGTTTTTTTATGCATGTATTTCTTCTCTGTGTTCTCATTGGCAGTTTTTAGAACATTCTAACTTGTCATAGTAAAAGCGCAGGTGTTATAAATAACTTTAGTGGTGGCTCAGTATGTCATGACAGAGTGAAAGTCTGTCGGCATGCACGATACCAACACTGTGGAAGTTGCAGGAACATAGAGACAAACAACTTCTTTCTTTGACTACACAAACTCGTGCCTTTTATTCATAGCACAGCTAACACAACAAAACAAACTAACCCTACTCCAAAACCAAACGTTAAAAAGACGCCACTCCCTGAAAAAACCTGCGTTACTATAGTAACACACTGTAAATTAAGTGACTGTAAATGTGTCTTGTTAAAACAACATAGAGAAGGCACAGAACATAACTGCTTGTGTTGAACCACAGTTAGTGGTGAATTATGTCCGTAGAGTCCACTACAGCACTCTGAAACTGAAGCAGCTAAATGGAATTCAGCCATTGCTCATTTTATTATATACACCTGTGCTTTTGTGACTGTGATGTGTAAAATTGTGTTTTGAGAAAAGGGCCTATTGTCTGAATCTCTCCAAGTAGGAATATAGGAGATTTGAGCATCCATATGTTAAACTGTCTCTCATCCTGTATGTGTGTGTGTTTCCTCTTTGCAGGAGAATCCCACTGCGACCCTGGAGGACCTGGAGAAGCCCGGTGTGGATGAGGAGCCCCAACATGTGCTGCTCCGCTATGAGGATGCCTACCAGTACCAGAACATCTTTGGTCCTCTGGTGAAACTGGAGGCTGACTACGATAAGAAACTCAAAGAGTCTCAGGTAAAAGAAAAATTCAGAAAATTGTGAATTAACAAACGTGTCCTGTTTGTGTTGTAACAAAGAAAATTGTCAAAGTAGTTGATGAGTAATTTTACATTGATAGATAATCAATTTGTACCAAACTGATTGACTTGAATTTAGTTTATTCTGTAAGGCTGGAGCTAAATGAAATTGTGCTGTTAAAATCATCGGTGCGATATTCAGATTCAGCTTTTTCCACCATGGTTTTTTACCTGAAAACTGTACACTTATTTTGACTTTAAATGGTTTCTGCTGCCATTTAAATATAAGAAATATCTTTTCATGTTGCATCCTAACAGACTCAAGACAATATCACAGTCAGATGGGACTTGGGCTTGAATAAAAAGAGGATTGCTTATTTCACTCTTCCCAAGACAGACTCAGGTATGTTTTTGTGATTTTGGTTTAAGTTTATTGTTCTCAATGTCATCATGCTTTCTCTATAAGTCATATTTTAAATGTCATCCTGACCACACTCTGATAAAAGTGTCAAAAAACTTGACTTTCCAATGTCATTTAAATATTTGTATACACAGCTTTTACTTACAGAGGTGTGTCATTTTGTATTTTAATTGTGCCTTTACTCTATGCAGTGATGTGTACTTAACACAGTTGTCTCTTCTGCCCTGCAGACATGCGTCTCATGCAGGGAGATGAAATTTGTCTGCGGTACAAAGGAGACCTGGCCCCTCCATGGAAAGGCATTGGACATGTCATCAAAGTCCCTGATAGTATCCTTACGACTGTTACAAGAGATGTACTGTATTTAACAGGAGAACACTTTTTATCCACATTACCTGTAATTCACACATTTATCACTTAGCTCAAGTGTGTCACAGGCAGGGAGGCCTTTAATTAAGTTGAGCTTCTCTTAATCGTGTTATCAGTAAACTTAGTCTTTAGCAACATCTAGTGGTAGCTGTAGGAAACTACAACAATGTATGCAAACGTGTCTTTTTCTGCAGTCTTAAATGGTTTTTGAAAGCACAGTTTTTATTTAGATTTTGCTTATACAGCCTACCACCTGTTTGTTAACAGTACAAATACAGTAGGCTACTCCGGCAGTAACACCAGAGGCCTATTATCATAACAAGGTTTGGTGCATATACCCAGTAAGTCTACGTTTTACTCTGAAAAGTATCAATAACTCTGCTATAAAGTACAAACTAGCACTGTTTTAGCTAGCAGTAAAAACATAACTAAATATTTCTGTGCCTCATTTTCAAAGTTTCCTCTAGACAGGGTTTGTATGATCAGGAAAAACCTGGAAAAGTCATGGAATTTGAAAATGGCAATTTCCAGGCCTGGAGAAGTTTTGGAAAAATAAGTAAACCCAGAAAGTTTTGGGAAAGTCATGGACATTTGTCTCATATATACCTGTATAATAGAGTATATATACTGTATATATGGTATTAATGTTCGGGCAGATCAGTCACTTGATGTAACGTTGTTCTCCTCGTGTGTAATGTTAGACTCTGACCTGAGTTATAGCTTGTACTTAGTTGAGATTGTTAATCCACACAGTGCCCCCCCCCCCGGAAACTGCTGATTTCATAATATCTGGCTTCACTTGGACAAGTATAAGTCATTGCTTTAGAAAGACTAGGACCTGGGACATGCGAAGTGTTGACTATGTAGTTAAACCTTCGACATTTCAGATATGGAAGAGGCAGTGCTAGCTAGCTATGCTAAAGGAAGTAACGTTAAGCACCTGGCTGCTGCTGCGCCATCAGCTTTTTTACCCCAGTGACCATGTGACACCCACTGCCAGCTGCAGGGATTCCTTCTCCTCTGCTGTCAGACAAGGGACCAGTTTGGGCACTGTGTCCAGAAACTGAGCCCTAACTGCGCTACTTATGTTATTCCTACAAGTCATTGCAAGACACAAGCCAGCTTTTTCGGGTCATAACTTTCCTGAAAGTCAGATAGCTCCCAGATTTGCATGCCAAGTCCACCAGCAGATGAGTGGAGAGTTCTGGGCGCTAGTGGCACAGGGGAAGCCAAACACTGTTCATCACTGTGATGGCACAAAGCTGGTTAAAAGGCGGCAAAATTTCCCTTGATTCCTGTATAATCTGACAAATGGCTGACCCATTACTTTATGCAGCTAATCTTAGTTAGATAGGTACTACACAAGTTGTCTTACAACTTGAATGTCAGTTCTGCATCCATGTCTTACAATTTGCAACTTGAAATGTCTGCAGCAATTTAGGGTAATAAATAAGTAACTGGTATTGGTCACAAACACTTTGTGCAGTAAATCAAATCATCATCAAATGAAGCACATAAGTCATGCTGTCATAGCAGTTACTTAATATATGTTAATAACTACAGTATTGTATTCCAAGGTTGTGCCTCTTCCTTGACTTACTGCACCAGACTATGGTGATGAGATTGCCATAGAGCTGAGGAGCAGCGCCGGAGCTCCGGTGGAGATCCCACACAACTTTCAGGTCGACTTTGTGTGGAAGTCCACTTCCTTTGACAGGTATTCACAAGAAAAGTCGCACACTCTTGTCTCTAACAGTGATATGTGTGAGCAAGTCCTGAAACTCAACTTTATGTATCAGTTAAACTCGTCTTAAGTTGAGAGTAGACGCACACAGCCAGATATTCCAGCTTTAAACTGAGAGGCTACAGATCAATTTCCTGTTTAAGGTTATGCAATAGTTAATGAATATTTAGTGAAGAATGGCTTTAAAGAGCTTTGTGCATTTCACCACTACAGTGAGTCTGGTGTCTGAAGCTTTTCATTGTGTCGACTTTGCTCTGTATTCAGTGTAGTATTTTAGTGACACAGTTTGTTGAGAAAGTAAATTGAAATCTTGTCGGCAAAGTCCCTCATCAGTAGAATAATTTGAGGCTTTTGGGTTCAGCAAAGGTTTTCTACGAAATGATGCACCTTGTTTTTAGAAAGCAGGCGAAAGCTAGCCAAGTAGTTGTCACGCAGCAGCTTTCTGTAGCAGATATCTATAACAGACAAGGTTTGCTGAAGGCACGGTCGATCTTGGCCAGCTCTAACCACCCACTTCTGGAGGAATTCATTTCTTCTCCCTTTTTGGCAGACAGACAGAGTCCCCAGGGTAAAAAGCAATAGGTTTAAATTTTCCTTTGTGCCAAGTGCAATAAATGCGTTTAATTTGGACTAAACCTTGACTGGACTGCTCAGTCAATGCTACCTTCCAATGCTTAATGAACAGATGCATCTTTTTTATTTGGTTGTTTGCTGTAACTGTTTTGATAAATGTTCCATGTCCTCTTGCATGCTGTGTTTGTGTGTTTGACCCTTACTGTAAATCAAATTTACCCTCGAGGGACAATAAAGAACTGAACCGAACCAGATCCAGCTTTAAACTGTCTGTCAATATTCCTGTCTTCATCATTCAGGATGCAGAGTGCCCTGAAGACGTTTGCCGTGGACGAGACCTCAGTGTCTGGTTACATCTACCATAAACTGCTGGGACATGAGGTAGAGGATGTGGTCATCAAGTGTCAGCTGCCCAAACGCTTCACCGCTCAAGGCCTGCCTGACCTTAACCACTCACAGGTGAGTAAGTGTGACGGGAAAAATGTCAGTGAGAGACTTTTTCAGCATAGAATCAGAAAAGTTGCACCTACCTGACATTACAAATCACACAAACAACATGACAGAGATCATACAGTTTTGAGAGTTCTTTCACACTTACCCGTGGTTTCTCAGCACAAGTTCAAGGGATATACCTGTTTCTTATAGAGACTATATGAGACATGGATTCAGATTTATATGGTTTGTTGTAATGCAGGTGTATGCTGTGAAGACGGTGCTGCAGCGTCCCCTCAGTCTGATCCAGGGTCCTCCGGGCACAGGGAAGACAGTAACCTCTGCGACCATTGTCTACCACCTGGCTAGACAGGGCAACGGGTAAGACACATACAGAAGACTTTTATTACTCTTTTGTTTTCAAAGGAAGCCCTGGCTAAGTGTCATGATTCCTAATGGTATTGTGTCATTTCTCCTTCTAGGCCAGTGCTGGTGTGCGCACCCAGCAACATCGCCGTCGACCAGCTGACAGAGAAGATCCACCAGACAGGCCTCAAGGTGGTGAGGCTGTGCGCCAAGAGCAGGGAGGCCATAGACTCGCCTGTGTCCTTCCTGGCTCTGCACAACCAGACTCGTAACATGGACAGGTAACATATAACCGTTTATGAGTTATAATAATTTTGCAAGGCCTTTTTTGTGCGTGTGTGTGGTTAAATGTGAGCATCAGACATGCTTATACTTGTATACACACCATCACTCAGAAAAATGTGTCTTTGAGAAAAAGTCAGTTATTGTTCCAATAATAATTAATGTCTTAAGTAGGATAATGTTGTTAAGCAGTCTCATCTCTAATAAGTCCTGTCAGAGCAACATTGGCGTGGGTTTAATACTGTGAAGCAACACAAGGAAATCCAGGAATTACAAACCCCTTAGTAATACAGCCATTACAGTTGTAAGTCTTTGCTCACAAGCACACCATTAAACTCCACTATTGAAATGATTTTATACCTGCAGTATGCCAGAACTTCAGAAGCTTCAGCAGCTGAAGGACGAGACTGGAGAGCTGTCCTCCTCAGATGAGAAGCGCTACAGAGCTCTGAGACGCACCGCTGAGAGGGAGCTGCTTATGGTATGAAGTCGGGTCTTCCTGAGCTCACTGTGCTAGTAAATATTTTCCTTTTCCTATTGTCTACTTTATTCCTTTGCTCTTCCCCAGAATGCTGACGTGATCTGCTGTACCTGTGTCGGGGCGGGCGATCCTCGTCTGGCCAAGATGCAGTTCCGCTCAATCCTGATTGATGAGAGCACCCAGGCCACCGAACCAGAGTGCATGGTGCCTGTCGTCCTGGGGGCCAAACAGGTAAGAGCTTCATGAGTTGAAGTACATCTGCTGAAACTGCTGCCATCTGCTGTCCATTAGTATTTATTGTGTCTTGATGACTTGTACTCTTAACTTTGTAATCATCTGTTTGTTCTGTAGTTGATTCTGGTGGGTGATCACTGCCAGCTGGGCCCTGTGGTGATGTGTAAGAAGGCAGCTAAAGCAGGCCTGTCCCAGTCTCTGTTTGAGCGTCTGGTAGTTTTGGGGATCCGGCCAATCCGTCTGCAGGTTCAGTACCGTATGCACCCGGCTCTCAGCGCCTTCCCCTCCAACATCTTCTATGAGGGCTCTCTGCAGAACGGAGTCACTGCAGGTAAGATGAGAATAAACCTTTTTAAGAATCAATTTTGTGATGCTCAGTTTCTTGGCCTTCCCTTTTTTAGACAGTTAAAGCTTTTCTGCCCCCAGACAGTTTGAAAAAGACCTTTATTGTCCTGTGACCCTGTTAGATGTTGGAAACATTAATAAATCTGTTTAAGAATGTGTAGAGAAACACATTTACCTCATGTTTTTCCTTGTTGTTTCCATGCAGTCCAGCGTAATGTTTTACTTTTTCCTGTTTGTATCCATATGAACATGAAGTCTGGAGCTGATCCTGTCAGACTTATTCCACTTAAGTCAGTGTACACTTGTCCTGAGTCCTATCCCTTTGTCTTTCACAGCGGACCGCGTGAAGAAAGGTTTTGACTTCCAGTGGCCACAGCCTGACAAGCCGATGTTCTTTTACGTCACCCAGGGCCAAGAGGAAATAGCAAGCTCTGGGACATCCTATCTCAACAGGTTTCAACGTTTCTGATCATTATGTTGAACTGATATTTACATTTGTCCTGCAGTTTTATAGTTAGCAGTAACATTTGACAGTTCAGTCATCAGCTGATTTGAAAGTACATTAATTTATTTGTGGTGGCCCGTCGCAATATCAACATTGACAGCTACATATTGCAATTTTTTACGACTTAAAATGGGTAAAATCTTACTTCACTGTAGAACTAAGCGCAGCACATTTATTCGCTTAGCCCGTCCTTGCCCTGCCTGATGAGACATGCTAAATGAGATAAGCTGACTAGCTGGTGCACCCTGTGGTCCCTCTGCTTCACTCCCCACTGCTTGGAGACTACTTTGGGAGGAGAGCGGACGGCAGCTCCAGAGACAGAAATTGAGGTTGCAGGATTTAAGAAGCTGATTGAAACTCCAGGGTAGACTGTTCCTAAAAGAGACACCATTGCAAAAAAGGGAACAAATGGTCGAATCTTGTATTGGACAGCCAGATTCTGATACAGTAGTACAGCCATATCTCAAGTTAATCTTGAGAGATTTTTACAGAACAGCAGTATTTCAGTCAAGCACAATTAATTTCTGCACTAATGTCAAATAATATAAAATGTTCTTGTCTTGTAATCACGCTGCTTGTCTGTGCAGGACTGAGGCAGCCAATGTGGAGAAAATAACCACAAGGTTGCTAAAGGCCGGAGCGAAACCTGATCAGATTGGCATCATTACGCCCTATGAGGGACAGCGGTCCTACCTGGTCCAGTACATGCAGTTCAGCGGCTCCCTCCACACCAAACTCTACCAGGTATGGTTACAAATATGTTTGCAGCTGAAATATTGTATTTTGCACTTCATCAGAAAAAGTTCAAGCATAAGGCTCTACAGGCAAAGTAAAAGTTAGAGTGTAGAACGTGAAAAATTATTTGGGCAAAATATGTGGGTTTGCGTTTTATGTTTAAGACAGAAAATGAGGAAAAGCATAATAAGTCCCCTTTAAGAGGAGGCTAAAATGGCTCCATAAACCTATAGTCTGGAGCCATTTGCCTTAAACAATACCACATTATGAAATTATATATTATAATTAGTAAATATATTATTCTACATTAATTAGTTTTTTTCTCCACAACTAAATTCTCTTTCTTCTTTGGGTAGGAGGTTGAAATAGCCAGTGTGGACGCCTTTCAAGGCAGAGAGAAGGACTTCATCATCCTGTCCTGTGTGAGGGCCAATGAGCACCAGGGAATCGGCTTCCTCAATGATCCCAGACGTCTCAATGTGGCACTCACGAGGGCCAGGTAAAACTGAAGCCCCACTGGGCCCTCTGTGTCTAATTTCATCACTGTGTTTATATTCTATACATTTAGCATTTTTTGCATATTAAATATGCTTTCACACTGTTTTTATTCTTGATTTCTCTTAAGTATATTGATATTTTGATATCACACACATGATCCTACACATTCTCAACTATAACTTTGAAACAATAAGTCATCTCCTGCTCATGTCACGTAGGTATGGTGTGATAATTGTGGGAAACCCTAAGGCCCTGTCCAAGCAGCCTCTGTGGAACCACCTGTTGAACTACTACAAGGAGCAGAAGGTCCTGGTTGAAGGCCCCCTGAACAACCTGAGAGAGAGCCTCATGCAATTCAGCAAGCCACGCAAGCTTGTCAACACCATCAACCCTGTGAGTTTAGTGTGTGTGTGTGTGTGTGTGTGTGTGTGTGTGTGTGTGTGTGTNAAATAAGCATAGTTGGCAGTGGAAAGTTGAATAATTTTTCACTGAAAGATGAAACAGTTGCTTTTGTCCCTTTTTTATGTGACACTTTTTTTTAATAACCAGCTGGATGTGAGAAGCAGCTGACCCCCAAGTATTTTCACATTATCGTATCTGGCCCCCATTTAAAAAAGCCTTACATTGACACCTAACAGAACTGGACCATGTTAATGTTATCCATTTCATCTGTGCTTTTCCTGCTATGACACGTGAAAAAGGTCTGTATTTGTGAACATGAGCTTCTTTCTCTCACAGCGAGAAACTGGAGAAGTCAGTCTCAAACTTGTGATGTCATCGGGGCATAAAGTGTAGAGCTGCTCCATAGACATTAAATGGGAGCCTGGCTTTGTGGAGCCACAGAATATATTTCTTTTTAATACACAAATGAGCTTTATTCTGTTGTAGTGATCTCAGTTGTCAAACAGAAAATGTACCCATATATTCAGAACATCCCCCTGGGTGCTGTCCGTGTCATCTATAAAAATTATCCCATTCATTGTCTATGGAGCAGCTCCGAACTCTGTACGCTGTGACATCACAAATTTGAGCTTTAGCACCCTAGTTTTTGGATTTGAGAGTGAGTTGTTTATGAAGACTAATATTTTTGGACTGTGTTAGACCATAGGAATAACGTGTGAATTTTGAAAGTGGGTGTAGTTCTCCTTTAAGGTTGAGTTTATAGTTTAATCCTCAGGGAACTGTTTTTCCTGTATCACGGTAATAATATTATTATTATTATTATTATTATTATTATTAGTTACAATGATCCTTAAAGGGATGAAAACAGAAGGTTTTTTGGTTGAACACTTATTATAACTGAACCCTGAAACCATGTTTTTTTAATTGAAGTATATGTAAAAAGCCTGTCAGGCAGTTGAAGAAGAAAGGAGATGCATGTGCGCATATGAGATTATCCGTCCAAGTGTGTGTTTTTTTTCCAATGCCTCCAATAAGCAAATGTGCACAGCAGCCATCAATTTTCATACCGCTGCAACCCTAATGGCACTACATGTTTGTCTTTCGACTATGTTTGTACCCTCTTGTATCTTGTTCTGTTCCTGATTTTATATCTTGTTGTTTTCATCTCATGTTCATTTGTTCATTCTTTTGTATTGCACTGTGACCAGGGACACACAATTTCTTTTCTCTATGTACTCTCTATGTAAAGTCTCTCTTATCTTTTATGATTCTACATGTGTGTATCCTCAGGTTAATGGCCCTGACGGCGTGCTACAGAATGGAGACGACCCTGTGGTAAAAGCCAGTCAGCTGCTTGCAGAGTTGAACTTTGAGGAGGATGAGGAGGACACCTATTACACCAAGGATCTCCCGATACATGCCTGCAGGTACAGGATCGGATTATTGAGAATGGTGGTCCCGTGGCTGTTATCAGAGTGGAGAATAATTGATGGTTGTTGTCATTGGATACAACTATACACCCCACTTGTTATACTTAATTAAGTCTCAGTGGTTGTGGGCATTTTTGTCGACCATAATGTCTTAAAATAATTCAGTATATTACATCTCAATCAGCTGGTTTCTGTCCATCTTGTCCAGTTAGTGGTTTACTGTCCATTGTAGGCAACACACACGCTTCTCTACAGACACTCACTCACTCCACAGATGGAACATGAGCCAGATTATCAGAACATCTTGCATCACGTCAAATGTCAGCAATGGTTAATCATTATTATTGTTATGTCATGCTAAGCGATGCTGCTCTTCTCACACTCACAGCTTGTATGCTGTCTAACTAACAAGTTGGCTGTCAGCCGTTACTTTGGCTGTGCCAAAACCGTCCTGTTGAGTATGTCTGACATCCCTGACATCCTCCATTGCCCATCTGGATTGTTTTTTCTGTCAGTTTGTTGCTATAAAAGTAATGTATTACCATATCTTTCAAGTTTGAAGTTTGGCAGTGAAAGCAGAGTTTGTTGGACAGAGAGCGAGGGCCTCAATTTCTTTAACAAATGTGCCACCATCTTCTTGCCAATATTTTTATATAAACTTTGATACCCGTCAGCAACATGCAGTTTGATTTTGGATTTTTAGTCATGCAGCTAGATCCATTACTGTCAATAATTGTGACCAATGATTGCATCAGACAGTTGAAAAATAATTCTGACATCACTCTTTGTTGGGCAAAGTATAGTGTGGTATCAATATTTTAAAACTTAGTGTATCTTTGGCATGTCTGTACTTCAATTTCTTGTCATTTATCGGCAATACTGATCTGCAGTAAGCTAATAATGTTGATATATTGGCTCTGCTCATTTATTTCTTAGGCTTATAAGTCACTCTAAGTTGTTTTTTTTCCTGAAAAGAAAAATCACTTTATGTTGCATGTGTTGTTGCTGTTGCTGTAAGCGACTATAAAATGACTACAGACGGATTGCTGCATTATATTTGATTTTACTTGAATCACAAAGCACAGGTTTGCAACACCAGAGATCCTAAAGTGCAATCTAAAATGAGTTTTGTGCTTATTTGTCTGGTTTAGTTCTATGACATTAGATTTTAAACATCTCCATAATACTAATGTTTTTGACTCGCTTCTGTTTCAGTTATTGTGGTATTCATGATCCAGCCTGTGTGGTCTACTGCAACACGAGCAAGAAGTGGTTTTGCAATGGCCGTGGAAACACATCCGGCAGGTAAGATACGGTGACTCTCAGGTTTTTATTTACCCTTCCTGTCAGTGTACTTAGCTAAATGAACTGAGAGAGGATCATTTTACAGGTACAGTATAGTCATAGCAGGAGTACAGTACACAGCAACTGTAATAACGAGTCTTTGTTGTGTTCAGAGGCCTCGGTCATAAATGGACAGCCAGTGTTTGGGTATATGTTTACTGACTTTTAATGGACACTGAGGTCAAGCAAGTTATCTTAAGCAAAAAGGTATTTGTAAATCTTCATTTGAAGTAGTTTATTTTTTTCTTTCTTTCTTTTTTAAATCTTTATTTAACCAGAAGTAAAAGACTGACTGAGATTAACAAATCTGTTTTTCAAGACATGAGTGTCCTGGCAAAGACAGGCAGCAGCACTAATAACATAGTTGCAGACAATGAAAAAACATAACAATCTAAAATTAAAATAAAGAACAACTTACAGAAATTATAAAAAAAAAAAAAACTTCTGTAATCATTCAGAACATTTACAGGCAGGTGTGACTGTCTCTAAGGGGCCGTCACTTGCTGCGTATTTAACTGCCTAGAAAATGTGAGGTCAGGTGGTACCCGCTACTTTTGTGCCTTTTTTGAGCCAGCTTTCAAGAGCGTGGCAGCAGAGCTGATCTTCTTCCAGGCGCTGTTTATAAGTGTGTGGGCATATTGTCCGTGGAGCAGATGAAAAGCTTCGGGTAGCTCTGCACCAGAATGATCAACTTTTCCATATTTATCACAGACTGATATTTATGGAAGAAGGGAAAGATATCTGTCTGTGATTGGTTGTTCCTCGTCACATGACATGCAATGCATGCGCAGGAACGTGTGCGTGCTGCAGGGGTGTCACTCTGGCGTTTGAGCATGCCTGCCACACGTCTACATTGAAAACAATGAATTTGAGGGTGCAAAAAAACACAACATCTGTACGGCCCCTTTGAAAACACTTTGAATGCATCCAATGACACCAGCTCCTAAAGATTTTGGGAAGTTTGCAACTGATTCCAAGCCAAGGGAGCAGCACACTTTAACAGTCTTTTTTCCCAGTTTATTTTGGACTTGAGGAACAGTTAGTGAGAATAAGTCCAGGGAGCGAAGACAAAAACTTCCCATACTTTTTTGTAAGATGTAGATTTGTAGCTTAGAAGGTTGCAGACAATAACAGCCTTATGAATAGGTGGACAAGGCAGGCCATCCAACCCGAGCACACACAGAGCCATGGTGGGTGAAGGCTTTGAGATTTGTAATAAATCTCAGTGCTCTGTGGTAGACAGTATCCAGTGTATATAGGCATTGTTAAGAAGCATGCATGTGTAAAACATCATCATAGTCAAGCACAAACATAAAAGTAGCGGTAGCATCATTACTAGATATCCCTTTGAATCAACCTTGTAATGAACCAAGGAACTTTGGCAAGATACTGTTCATTTCTGTGAATCAGAGGAATGTCTATAATTACCTGCTGTCCTTAAATATATACAGTAACTGAACTTTGAGACATAATTGGCAGCTAGAAATCAGCCATGTACGGTCGATGCTGCCTTAGCCACTTCATGCTCTGATAGTTCTGACACTGTAGACTGCAGCTGGTAAGCTCAAGGCAATTAATAAGATAGTAACACATTTGGTGTGAATCCTCTTACAATATTTTTGCAGAACTTGTGTTTGTATTTTCTGTGTGACAGTGTGCTGGTTCTCTGTGTTTAAAGCAGTTTTAGTAAACACAAACAGTGTAGCAGATGACTGCATCATGTGTTTTTTGGGGTCATAATTATGTAATAATGCTAATTTCTAGTCAGTGCATCTTGGAGCTATTTTTGCTGTATTCTCGTGCAGTCATCTTTTATTAAAGTTTGAATGAAATAATGTCAGGATGCATTAGTAGTGTACAATACACCTGCACCCTACGCAGGACTGTAGTTTCGCATTTTCCCCTCTTAATTGTCATTCTCTTCACTTGTAGCCACATTGTAAACCACCTGGTGAGAGCAAAGTCCAAGGAGGTGACCCTGCATAAAGATGGCCCCCTGGGGGAAACAGTGCTGGAGTGCTACAACTGTGGCTGTCGCAATGTCTTCCTTCTGGGCTTCATCCCTGCTAAAGCTGACTCAGTAGTGGTGTTACTGTGCAGGTGAGGGTGCTTGTTTCTGTGGCTGACCTACACACTGACCTTCCTGCTGATTGGGGGGAGCAATCAAAGCGAATACAGAACTTTGAAGTTTGAATTTTGTGTTTGTACCACAGGCAGCCATGTGCCAGCCAGAGCAGCCTGAAAGACATCAACTGGGACAGCTCACAGTGGCAGCCTCTCATCCAGGACCGCTGCTTCCTGTCCTGGCTGGTGAAAATCCCGTCAGAGCAGGAGCAGCTGAGGGCTCGTCAGATCACCGCCCAGCAGATCAACAAGCTGGAGGAGCTCTGGAAGGTATGCCGGTGCAACTGTCGAGGCACACGCCCGCCATTGCACTATGTAAATATGCTAAACCCGCATAGCTTGAAGTTGAGCATGGGTTGGGCTTATCTGTACAGTTGACCAGATATAGTCATACAGTTGGGCGTGATGCAAATAACTTCTCTGTGTTTGCTGAGGGTTTTTTTTTTCTTTGTTTCACAGTTGCACTGCCAGTTTCATGCATGTTTCTATTTTTTTAATAATTTCCTGTTGTATACAAAGCAGTTATAGTTCTGTATTTTTGATTGTTTTTTTGTTTTCACCCTTTTTTAATTTTTGTTTTCAGTTTTCGTTAGTTTCAGTTAGTTTCCAGAGTAAGCTTGCTCATTTCAGTCTAGTTTATTCTTTGAAAACACTTGTTTTAGTTTAGCTTTATTAGTTTCAGTATTAGTTTTAGTTTTTTATTATAAAATGGGGATTATGGGGAGTACAAAAACAACACTGTTTGTAGGCAACTCATAATCATGCAGACATCCCAGTCTCAATGAACATATGCACCTGTGCCTTCTTTTAGTAAACTATAAAAACCTTGATACAAAGTCACATATACCCAACAGTTTTTTTATGCATGTATTTCTTCTCTGTGTTCTCATTGGCAGTTTTTAGAACATTCTAACTTGTCATAGTAAAAGCGCAGGTGTTATAAATAACTTTAGTGGTGGCTCAGTATGTCATGACAGAGTGAAAGTCTGTCGGCATGCACGATACCAACACTGTGGAAGTTGCAGGAACATAGAGACAAACAACTTCTTTCTTTGACTACACAAACTCGTGCCTTTTATTCATAGCACAGCTAACACAACAAAACAAACTAACCCTACTCCAAAACCAAACGTTAAAAAGACGCCACTCCCTGAAAAAACCTGCGTTACTATAGTAACACACTGTAAATTAAGTGACTGTAAATGTGTCTTGTTAAAACAACATAGAGAAGGCACAGAACATAACTGCTTGTGTTGAACCACAGTTAGTGGTGAATTATGTCCGTAGAGTCCACTACAGCACTCTGAAACTGAAGCAGCTAAATGGAATTCAGCCATTGCTCATTTTATTATATACACCTGTGCTTTTGTGACTGTGATGTGTAAAATTGTGTTTTGAGAAAAGGGCCTATTGTCTGAATCTCTCCAAGTAGGAATATAGGAGATTTGAGCATCCATATGTTAAACTGTCTCTCATCCTGTATGTGTGTGTGTTTCCTCTTTGCAGGAGAATCCCACTGCGACCCTGGAGGACCTGGAGAAGCCCGGTGTGGATGAGGAGCCCCAACATGTGCTGCTCCGCTATGAGGATGCCTACCAGTACCAGAACATCTTTGGTCCTCTGGTGAAACTGGAGGCTGACTACGATAAGAAACTCAAAGAGTCTCAGGTAAAAGAAAAATTCAGAAAATTGTGAATTAACAAACGTGTCCTGTTTGTGTTGTAACAAAGAAAATTGTCAAAGTAGTTGATGAGTAATTTTACATTGATAGATAATCAATTTGTACCAAACTGATTGACTTGAATTTAGTTTATTCTGTAAGGCTGGAGCTAAATGAAATTGTGCTGTTAAAATCATCGGTGCGATATTCAGATTCAGCTTTTTCCACCATGGTTTTTTACCTGAAAACTGTACACTTATTTTGACTTTAAATGGTTTCTGCTGCCATTTAAATATAAGAAATATCTTTTCATGTTGCATCCTAACAGACTCAAGACAATATCACAGTCAGATGGGACTTGGGCTTGAATAAAAAGAGGATTGCTTATTTCACTCTTCCCAAGACAGACTCAGGTATGTTTTTGTGATTTTGGTTTAAGTTTATTGTTCTCAATGTCATCATGCTTTCTCTATAAGTCATATTTTAAATGTCATCCTGACCACACTCTGATAAAAGTGTCAAAAAACTTGACTTTCCAATGTCATTTAAATATTTGTATACACAGCTTTTACTTACAGAGGTGTGTCATTTTGTATTTTAATTGTGCCTTTACTCTATGCAGTGATGTGTACTTAACACAGTTGTCTCTTCTGCCCTGCAGACATGCGTCTCATGCAGGGAGATGAAATTTGTCTGCGGTACAAAGGAGACCTGGCCCCTCCATGGAAAGGCATTGGACATGTCATCAAAGTCCCTGATAGTATCCTTACGACTGTTACAAGAGATGTACTGTATTTAACAGGAGAACACTTTTTATCCACATTACCTGTAATTCACACATTTATCACTTAGCTCAAGTGTGTCACAGGCAGGGAGGCCTTTAATTAAGTTGAGCTTCTCTTAATCGTGTTATCAGTAAACTTAGTCTTTAGCAACATCTAGTGGTAGCTGTAGGAAACTACAACAATGTATGCAAACGTGTCTTTTTCTGCAGTCTTAAATGGTTTTTGAAAGCACAGTTTTTATTTAGATTTTGCTTATACAGCCTACCACCTGTTTGTTAACAGTACAAATACAGTAGGCTACTCCGGCAGTAACACCAGAGGCCTATTATCATAACAAGGTTTGGTGCATATACCCAGTAAGTCTACGTTTTACTCTGAAAAGTATCAATAACTCTGCTATAAAGTACAAACTAGCACTGTTTTAGCTAGCAGTAAAAACATAACTAAATATTTCTGTGCCTCATTTTCAAAGTTTCCTCTAGACAGGGTTTGTATGATCAGGAAAAACCTGGAAAAGTCATGGAATTTGAAAATGGCAATTTCCAGGCCTGGAGAAGTTTTGGAAAAATAAGTAAACCCAGAAAGTTTTGGGAAAGTCATGGACATTTGTCTCATATATACCTGTATAATAGAGTATATATACTGTATATATGGTATTAATGTTCGGGCAGATCAGTCACTTGATGTAACGTTGTTCTCCTCGTGTGTAATGTTAGACTCTGACCTGAGTTATAGCTTGTACTTAGTTGAGATTGTTAATCCACACAGTGCCCCCCCCCCCGGAAACTGCTGATTTCATAATATCTGGCTTCACTTGGACAAGTATAAGTCATTGCTTTAGAAAGACTAGGACCTGGGACATGCGAAGTGTTGACTATGTAGTTAAACCTTCGACATTTCAGATATGGAAGAGGCAGTGCTAGCTAGCTATGCTAAAGGAAGTAACGTTAAGCACCTGGCTGCTGCTGCGCCATCAGCTTTTTTACCCCAGTGACCATGTGACACCCACTGCCAGCTGCAGGGATTCCTTCTCCTCTGCTGTCAGACAAGGGACCAGTTTGGGCACTGTGTCCAGAAACTGAGCCCTAACTGCGCTACTTATGTTATTCCTACAAGTCATTGCAAGACACAAGCCAGCTTTTTCGGGTCATAACTTTCCTGAAAGTCAGATAGCTCCCAGATTTGCATGCCAAGTCCACCAGCAGATGAGTGGAGAGTTCTGGGCGCTAGTGGCACAGGGGAAGCCAAACACTGTTCATCACTGTGATGGCACAAAGCTGGTTAAAAGGCGGCAAAATTTCCCTTGATTCCTGTATAATCTGACAAATGGCTGACCCATTACTTTATGCAGCTAATCTTAGTTAGATAGGTACTACACAAGTTGTCTTACAACTTGAATGTCAGTTCTGCATCCATGTCTTACAATTTGCAACTTGAAATGTCTGCAGCAATTTAGGGTAATAAATAAGTAACTGGTATTGGTCACAAACACTTTGTGCAGTAAATCAAATCATCATCAAATGAAGCACATAAGTCATGCTGTCATAGCAGTTACTTAATATATGTTAATAACTACAGTATTGTATTCCAAGGTTGTGCCTCTTCCTTGACTTACTGCACCAGACTATGGTGATGAGATTGCCATAGAGCTGAGGAGCAGCGCCGGAGCTCCGGTGGAGATCCCACACAACTTTCAGGTCGACTTTGTGTGGAAGTCCACTTCCTTTGACAGGTATTCACAAGAAAAGTCGCACACTCTTGTCTCTAACAGTGATATGTGTGAGCAAGTCCTGAAACTCAACTTTATGTATCAGTTAAACTCGTCTTAAGTTGAGAGTAGACGCACACAGCCAGATATTCCAGCTTTAAACTGAGAGGCTACAGATCAATTTCCTGTTTAAGGTTATGCAATAGTTAATGAATATTTAGTGAAGAATGGCTTTAAAGAGCTTTGTGCATTTCACCACTACAGTGAGTCTGGTGTCTGAAGCTTTTCATTGTGTCGACTTTGCTCTGTATTCAGTGTAGTATTTTAGTGACACAGTTTGTTGAGAAAGTAAATTGAAATCTTGTCGGCAAAGTCCCTCATCAGTAGAATAATTTGAGGCTTTTGGGTTCAGCAAAGGTTTTCTACGAAATGATGCACCTTGTTTTTAGAAAGCAGGCGAAAGCTAGCCAAGTAGTTGTCACGCAGCAGCTTTCTGTAGCAGATATCTATAACAGACAAGGTTTGCTGAAGGCACGGTCGATCTTGGCCAGCTCTAACCACCCACTTCTGGAGGAATTCATTTCTTCTCCCTTTTTGGCAGACAGACAGAGTCCCCAGGGTAAAAAGCAATAGGTTTAAATTTTCCTTTGTGCCAAGTGCAATAAATGCGTTTAATTTGGACTAAACCTTGACTGGACTGCTCAGTCAATGCTACCTTCCAATGCTTAATGAACAGATGCATCTTTTTTATTTGGTTGTTTGCTGTAACTGTTTTGATAAATGTTCCATGTCCTCTTGCATGCTGTGTTTGTGTGTTTGACCCTTACTGTAAATCAAATTTACCCTCGAGGGACAATAAAGAACTGAACCGAACCAGATCCAGCTTTAAACTGTCTGTCAATATTCCTGTCTTCATCATTCAGGATGCAGAGTGCCCTGAAGACGTTTGCCGTGGACGAGACCTCAGTGTCTGGTTACATCTACCATAAACTGCTGGGACATGAGGTAGAGGATGTGGTCATCAAGTGTCAGCTGCCCAAACGCTTCACCGCTCAAGGCCTGCCTGACCTTAACCACTCACAGGTGAGTAAGTGTGACGGGAAAAATGTCAGTGAGAGACTTTTTCAGCATAGAATCAGAAAAGTTGCACCTACCTGACATTACAAATCACACAAACAACATGACAGAGATCATACAGTTTTGAGAGTTCTTTCACACTTACCCGTGGTTTCTCAGCACAAGTTCAAGGGATATACCTGTTTCTTATAGAGACTATATGAGACATGGATTCAGATTTATATGGTTTGTTGTAATGCAGGTGTATGCTGTGAAGACGGTGCTGCAGCGTCCCCTCAGTCTGATCCAGGGTCCTCCGGGCACAGGGAAGACAGTAACCTCTGCGACCATTGTCTACCACCTGGCTAGACAGGGCAACGGGTAAGACACATACAGAAGACTTTTATTACTCTTTTGTTTTCAAAGGAAGCCCTGGCTAAGTGTCATGATTCCTAATGGTATTGTGTCATTTCTCCTTCTAGGCCAGTGCTGGTGTGCGCACCCAGCAACATCGCCGTCGACCAGCTGACAGAGAAGATCCACCAGACAGGCCTCAAGGTGGTGAGGCTGTGCGCCAAGAGCAGGGAGGCCATAGACTCGCCTGTGTCCTTCCTGGCTCTGCACAACCAGACTCGTAACATGGACAGGTAACATATAACCGTTTATGAGTTATAATAATTTTGCAAGGCCTTTTTTGTGCGTGTGTGTGGTTAAATGTGAGCATCAGACATGCTTATACTTGTATACACACCATCACTCAGAAAAATGTGTCTTTGAGAAAAAGTCAGTTATTGTTCCAATAATAATTAATGTCTTAAGTAGGATAATGTTGTTAAGCAGTCTCATCTCTAATAAGTCCTGTCAGAGCAACATTGGCGTGGGTTTAATACTGTGAAGCAACACAAGGAAATCCAGGAATTACAAACCCCTTAGTAATACAGCCATTACAGTTGTAAGTCTTTGCTCACAAGCACACCATTAAACTCCACTATTGAAATGATTTTATACCTGCAGTATGCCAGAACTTCAGAAGCTTCAGCAGCTGAAGGACGAGACTGGAGAGCTGTCCTCCTCAGATGAGAAGCGCTACAGAGCTCTGAGACGCACCGCTGAGAGGGAGCTGCTTATGGTATGAAGTCGGGTCTTCCTGAGCTCACTGTGCTAGTAAATATTTTCCTTTTCCTATTGTCTACTTTATTCCTTTGCTCTTCCCCAGAATGCTGACGTGATCTGCTGTACCTGTGTCGGGGCGGGCGATCCTCGTCTGGCCAAGATGCAGTTCCGCTCAATCCTGATTGATGAGAGCACCCAGGCCACCGAACCAGAGTGCATGGTGCCTGTCGTCCTGGGGGCCAAACAGGTAAGAGCTTCATGAGTTGAAGTACATCTGCTGAAACTGCTGCCATCTGCTGTCCATTAGTATTTATTGTGTCTTGATGACTTGTACTCTTAACTTTGTAATCATCTGTTTGTTCTGTAGTTGATTCTGGTGGGTGATCACTGCCAGCTGGGCCCTGTGGTGATGTGTAAGAAGGCAGCTAAAGCAGGCCTGTCCCAGTCTCTGTTTGAGCGTCTGGTAGTTTTGGGGATCCGGCCAATCCGTCTGCAGGTTCAGTACCGTATGCACCCGGCTCTCAGCGCCTTCCCCTCCAACATCTTCTATGAGGGCTCTCTGCAGAACGGAGTCACTGCAGGTAAGATGAGAATAAACCTTTTTAAGAATCAATTTTGTGATGCTCAGTTTCTTGGCCTTCCCTTTTTTAGACAGTTAAAGCTTTTCTGCCCCCAGACAGTTTGAAAAAGACCTTTATTGTCCTGTGACCCTGTTAGATGTTGGAAACATTAATAAATCTGTTTAAGAATGTGTAGAGAAACACATTTACCTCATGTTTTTCCTTGTTGTTTCCATGCAGTCCAGCGTAATGTTTTACTTTTTCCTGTTTGTATCCATATGAACATGAAGTCTGGAGCTGATCCTGTCAGACTTATTCCACTTAAGTCAGTGTACACTTGTCCTGAGTCCTATCCCTTTGTCTTTCACAGCGGACCGCGTGAAGAAAGGTTTTGACTTCCAGTGGCCACAGCCTGACAAGCCGATGTTCTTTTACGTCACCCAGGGCCAAGAGGAAATAGCAAGCTCTGGGACATCCTATCTCAACAGGTTTCAACGTTTCTGATCATTATGTTGAACTGATATTTACATTTGTCCTGCAGTTTTATAGTTAGCAGTAACATTTGACAGTTCAGTCATCAGCTGATTTGAAAGTACATTAATTTATTTGTGGTGGCCCGTCGCAATATCAACATTGACAGCTACATATTGCAATTTTTTACGACTTAAAATGGGTAAAATCTTACTTCACTGTAGAACTAAGCGCAGCACATTTATTCGCTTAGCCCGTCCTTGCCCTGCCTGATGAGACATGCTAAATGAGATAAGCTGACTAGCTGGTGCACCCTGTGGTCCCTCTGCTTCACTCCCCACTGCTTGGAGACTACTTTGGGAGGAGAGCGGACGGCAGCTCCAGAGACAGAAATTGAGGTTGCAGGATTTAAGAAGCTGATTGAAACTCCAGGGTAGACTGTTCCTAAAAGAGACACCATTGCAAAAAAGGGAACAAATGGTCGAATCTTGTATTGGACAGCCAGATTCTGATACAGTAGTACAGCCATATCTCAAGTTAATCTTGAGAGATTTTTACAGAACAGCAGTATTTCAGTCAAGCACAATTAATTTCTGCACTAATGTCAAATAATATAAAATGTTCTTGTCTTGTAATCACGCTGCTTGTCTGTGCAGGACTGAGGCAGCCAATGTGGAGAAAATAACCACAAGGTTGCTAAAGGCCGGAGCGAAACCTGATCAGATTGGCATCATTACGCCCTATGAGGGACAGCGGTCCTACCTGGTCCAGTACATGCAGTTCAGCGGCTCCCTCCACACCAAACTCTACCAGGTATGGTTACAAATATGTTTGCAGCTGAAATATTGTATTTTGCACTTCATCAGAAAAAGTTCAAGCATAAGGCTCTACAGGCAAAGTAAAAGTTAGAGTGTAGAACGTGAAAAATTATTTGGGCAAAATATGTGGGTTTGCGTTTTATGTTTAAGACAGAAAATGAGGAAAAGCATAATAAGTCCCCTTTAAGAGGAGGCTAAAATGGCTCCATAAACCTATAGTCTGGAGCCATTTGCCTTAAACAATACCACATTATGAAATTATATATTATAATTAGTAAATATATTATTCTACATTAATTAGTTTTTTTCTCCACAACTAAATTCTCTTTCTTCTTTGGGTAGGAGGTTGAAATAGCCAGTGTGGACGCCTTTCAAGGCAGAGAGAAGGACTTCATCATCCTGTCCTGTGTGAGGGCCAATGAGCACCAGGGAATCGGCTTCCTCAATGATCCCAGACGTCTCAATGTGGCACTCACGAGGGCCAGGTAAAACTGAAGCCCCACTGGGCCCTCTGTGTCTAATTTCATCACTGTGTTTATATTCTATACATTTAGCATTTTTTGCATATTAAATATGCTTTCACACTGTTTTTATTCTTGATTTCTCTTAAGTATATTGATATTTTGATATCACACACATGATCCTACACATTCTCAACTATAACTTTGAAACAATAAGTCATCTCCTGCTCATGTCACGTAGGTATGGTGTGATAATTGTGGGAAACCCTAAGGCCCTGTCCAAGCAGCCTCTGTGGAACCACCTGTTGAACTACTACAAGGAGCAGAAGGTCCTGGTTGAAGGCCCCCTGAACAACCTGAGAGAGAGCCTCATGCAATTCAGCAAGCCACGCAAGCTTGTCAACACCATCAACCCTGTGAGTTTAGTGTGTGTGTGTGTGTGTGTGTGTGTGTGTGTGTGTGTGTGTGTGTGTGTGTTCCATACAGGGAGCATATAGAACACTGAAATCTGAGTTTCTTAATTGGGTCATTAATATGTTATTTTTGGCGGGGCATGTGAAGAATATATAATGAAAATCAAAATTTATTTATGCTCTTAGGATGAGTACTTTAAAGAAAGCAGGGTAATAAATCAGCGTACATGTAGGAAATAATGAGGCATGTCCTAAAAACACTCAAAATAGCATTGCTTGTCCTTTTGTTTTGCAGGGGGGTCGATTCATGAGCACAGCCATGTATGATGCCAGGGAGGCTCTCATTCCTGGATCTGTTTATGACCGCAGCAGCAACGGTGAGAAGCTGTTAACAAAACACTCATTTTCATTTCAATTGTTGGACAAATTCTTACTAATAAACCCCATTACGAAGGACATGCACTGTATCTGCTCTGGTAGTTCATTGCAAACAGGACGAAAGGACTTGACATAGTAGCCATGTGTACAGAAATGTGTGACAAAACTAGCTCTGCACACCACCATATATTTTAAAAGGAAGTAAAATTAACCTGTACTTCTTTCCACCACAGGCCGTTCATCCAATATGTATTTCCAAACCCATGATCAGATCGGTATGATTGGCACAGGCCCCAGTCCCATGACTTCCCTGAACATCCCCATCCCCTTCAACCTCGTGATGCCCCCCATACCTCCACCTGGGTACATGGGACAGGTCAATGGACCCTCAGCAGGTGAGTTAGACATAAAACCGTGTCATAAAAACCAAGTCACGATAAGTGTAGAGTTTGTTAAGGCCTACATGACATGTGAAAGCTGCTATGAAACACTTATACAGGTTTCCATGGTCATTTAATTTCTGGAAAAGTTACGATGTTTGAAAAACTGTTTTTCAGGCCTGGAAATTGTTTAAAAAGTTTTGATTATACATTGTCTTGGTTGTCATACGATATGCAAAATGCATTCCTTGTGTTGCTAATTTAAAATCCAGTGTTGCGTTTTGTGACCATTGAAGCGTCACTGTCTGTAAGACAAACGTTTGTTGAACTAGAAATAAATGAATACAAACAGTCAACGTTTGTTGAACTAGAAATAAATGAATACAAACAGTCAATCCAAAAAGGGGTGTGGCCTTGAGGTTTTCCAAAATACTCGTATGTGATGGTCTGGTCCATTAAGACAGAGCAAATTGTGACATACTTGGAAAACCACACCCACTGGGGGCTTTACAGCACCATGATATGCTACTAAGGGCTGAGACGCTAACAAAGTGGCTGCAGCTCAGCAAAAACGTTGAATATCAGCATGTCAAAGGATTGTTTTGGGACCTTATGTCTACCAGAGAGGAAAAGTTACACTGATAAACTTAATTTTGTTGGTCTATCTCAGTGTCCCCTCTCCTTACCTTGCTTATCTTGGGATTTTTCTTGCCTCATGTCTCACTGCTTAAAAGCACAGTTTTTTGGTTTGGCAGCTTGTAAAAACTCAGCTCTGGGTTCTCTACCCTTTGGCAGTGCATCCCACCATAAAGCAGCTTCTAGGTATTTTTGTGTTGTTGGCTAGCAGATGTAAATGACAAGGAGGCACTTGTCACACAATTCAAAGTCAGTGATGAGGGATGCATTGTTTTCCCCTCAGGTGGGGGTGGGTCTTAAATGTGCTCTGTCTCTATTAGCATATGCAGCTTGTTGGCAGCAGGAATGTCTAATGAGCAAGTAAAGTTAACAAGCACTATCAGTTTGCTTATCTGTAAATGCCTGGGAAGTGTCTTTAATAATGTGTGGCTACATTGCTACATAGGCTTACCCATTTTAAACTACCTAAAAACAGTCATGGAAATGGGGTAAAATATTATTGGAAAGATTTTAAATGTATTGGTAACAATGTGTGGGAACACTGCTTATAACCCTGACAACTGACATGTTTCCTTCAGGTCGTGGTGGAGGCATGAAAGGCAAGGCAGGCAGTGGAGGAGGCGGCGGGACTCGAGGTGGGCGTCAAAGAAACCGCGGCAACATGGGGAACCACAGCGGAGGAGACCGGCATGGAGGCCACATGAGTGGCAGCCAGGCCAGCCAGGACCTGGGCTCCCAGCCCTTCTCACAGGGGCCTCTGACGCAGGGCTACATCAACATGAGCCAGCCATCTCAGATGAGCCAGCCCGGGCTCTCCCAGCCTGAACTCTCACAGGTTTGTTCACTGAACTGTCAACCATTGTGAATAAATCTTAATTTAAGTAATGAAGTGCTAAGTAGGTGCTCTTTATGTAGCAACATTTTTGTAGTCTGTTTATTCATAGCAATTAGGACCCAATGCCAGGGCTGTTAGCACATATATTCCAAGTGTTTGTCCAGGTTTCCTCCTCAAGTAAAGACTTCAACTTGTCCAAAACCACTTATTCCTTTTCTGCCTGGAAAAAAATAACTTGACTGGTGTCTGTCGCTTTTTGTTTGTCCCATTATAGGACAGTTACCTAGGAGACGAGTTCAAGTCCCAGATTGATGTGGCTTTGTCCCAGGACTCCACCTACCAGGGGGAGCGGGCCTACCAGCACGGTGTGACTGGACTGTCCCAGTACTAGACTGTAAGTAATTCCACTGTGGACTAAGATGACTCATTGAACTTAAAGGAATAGTTCGACATTTTGGGAAATAAGCTTATTAGCCTTCTTGCCAAGATTTAAAGGGATAGTTTGGATTTTTGAAGTGGGGTAGTACGAGGTAGTTATCCATTGTCAGTGTATTACTTTCAGTAGATGGCGGTTGAAGCACCCCCAGTTTGGAGAAGCAGACAGGAGTACCACCACGGAAGCTAAGCAATGAACTGCTGTGGATGGGGGCAGCAGCAAAACGTATTTTAGCCACCTCAAAAAAAAGACGGGAGTTGCTGGTCTATCTCTGCCTCGATTTGTTAGTTTGCCTTCTTGGGTGACTTTGGTGAATCCAAACTAACCCTTGTAAACACCAAAGTAAAAAAATAATTCTTACATGAAACTGCTCACAAGGTCTGTGGATTATCTTGAGTGACTGGGTCATGATTTCTGGAAAGAGACTTTGCTGTTGAGTTTTTCAGAAGTATTTTTTGGCGCTTTGAGCAACACAAGCCGAGTGCCATCTAATGTCATTGTATTGGAGAGACAGCAGACATCTCTACAGTGATATCTCCAGCACTCAGCAACTCAGAGCAAAACAATCTAAACTGATAAACAGCAGAGGTAAGAGGAAAAGTGTATTTTTGAGCTTGAGGTAAACTGTCCCTTTAAGGACGTCACTGTTCCAGACCAGAAATAGTCCAGATAGGGAGCTTTTAAAGTGCTGATATGCAGATTTTGATACCTAGCTAGCTGTTTCCCTCAGATTTCAGTCTCTGAAGCTAGAGCTAGTTACCTTTCCTTATCACAGTTACTATATTGACATGAGTGTAAACAGTCTTCTCATCTAATTCTCTGCAAGAAAGACAATAAGGCATTCTCCAAAACATGGAACTATTCCTTTAAATAAAAAGTTAATCTTTTATTATGTTGAAATGACGAATGAGTATCTCCTCGAACAAGTCTTAATGTTGATGTTGTTTGTGTTTGTCTGACAGGTTGTTGGAAAGGAGCTAGGCCTGTGTGAAGCTTAGTTCAATGGTATTTTAATCTGGGTAATAACAAAAAAGAACAAACATGGATACCCGTTTTCCACTGCTACAACCGAAGCACCACTGTGTGAAAGTAACAGGAGAGAGACCGTGAGAAACCAACCAATCACAAGAGTGAGAGCAAAAATGGGAGTAGAGCTGGACAGGAAGAGAGCAAGAGACGAGACGAGACGAGCGGGAGGCTGGTGGAGGAGAGAAGGCACTGCTGCTCACACGCGAAGACGTGGCGTAGGAGAAAGCTGTCGTTGTCGGAGCAGCGCAGTTGGAGAGGCGAGACCTTCGACGGGTCGAGGAGGGAGAAAGGTCCGAACGAGTCTGGAAGGGGTGGGGCGACTATGTCATCTTGTCCCCCGCGTGCCCCTGAATCCTCGGGGAGCTCCAGGCAGTATGGTTGGGAATCTTGCTCCAAAAGCTGAGAAAGATGGAGAAAAGGTGTCTCACACATATGTCCTCCAAGCTAACTCAACAGGACGTCTTCTGTGACTTGGAGAGAGAGAGAAAGAGAGAAAACAAAAGGGGACACAACTCTTGAAGCAGTTGATATGGCAACTTTTTTAAACTCAAAGCTTGATTTGAGGCTCTGCATCTGATCACATCTAAGCATCCAGGAGAGAAGAGCGTGAAAAAAACTGTTTGGCTATTCAAGTGAACTCAAAAGTGCTTGTGGTGTTGTGCCTCAAAGAGCTCAAATGAAATTTGAGGATTACATAGCCACGGATCACTCGCTTTTCTTTCTCAGCTTTGAGTTGGAAAGTTTTCTGAATAAAGGCTGTTTTCATTGAGGTTTTTCAGTGATGTAAGCTAGTGTAGTCGGCCGTCTTTCTAGGCAGGTCTTTCTCGAGGTGCTCTGCAAAGAACAAGTGGTGGAATTAGCTCTTAAAAATATAAAAGAAAAACATCTTTGTCTCCAGATCTGAAGAGGTGGGCGCCAGACATCTGAGTATAGGGAGACAATTTTGTTTTTGTTCTTCTAAATGTATCTTCTTAGTAGTGCAAAAGAGTGAACGTGAACACCATAGCCAGCTTATAACTGAATGAAGCTGTCATTCTTTCCTGCTGACCCTGAAGCCACTGAAGCTAGCAGACAGGGATCATCTTGAGCATATATAGTGAAATGCATCAAATAAGCCAAATCAAGAGGGCGGTAAACCCCAAAGACCCTTCTCAAAAAGTAAATGCAAAGTTAAAAAACATGCATACACTGAGATTATTTAGTGATTATCACAGTAGAGTGAAGTTTGAAATCACTTGTATAAAAGAAGTATTCAGTTTTGACATGAATACACCGCACAAAGGATGATGAAAACTTTTAGAGCCCTATCTTATAAATGTGTAGAAGGTGAACTTGATCATAGATTTTCACCATGTCAGACTGTGGTGAAAGCATTTTAGAAATCCCATGTGCATATTTGCACGCTGAAATTAGGCATGAAGACCTTTAAATTATTACGACAGAATGACCCCAGTGTAACGTTTCCTTCCCCTTGTTTCTTTATTTTGGTCTTTTGTTGTCCTAAAGTCTTTAACTTAAGTGTGAAACTGTCACAAATAGTAGCTCATTGTGTCAAGAGCAGAGCAACTTTAATGAGTATTAGTGAACTTTGTGTCTTAGTTTCAAAGCTCTGCATGTGTTAGTTCTCAGTTCACATGCGTTAGTGATGTTCACGTGCAGCTTGTTTTTATCAGTGTCTAGTTTTCTTATTAGGTGTACTAATTCTGCTGTCATTTTCATGTCATGGAAACACATAACGCTGGAAAAAAAGTCAAACCAGTAGCAGGCCACGTTACCTCTGACTTAAAGCTGGGTGGAATATGTCTAATATCCCGTCATGTATGCTTTTTGGAGCCGTCAGTGGCTAGTGTTGTCACAATACTGGAATTTCTAACTTTGATATGACACCTTGAAGTCAGTACCACAGAGAAAAATTGACGTTGAGGGCATAAAATACATTTTTAAGTTAAAAGATAGATAAAACATGACGACAGCAACGTTTCCTGGTTAGTAGCAGAGAACGGCAGAGTGACTATAAACAGTAACAGCTGCAATACTGCGGAAAATGAGCATTGAAACCGCTTCAGATATTCAGAATCTTCTTATCGATAAATGGATAACTTTGACAACACTTCTTGTGGCACCTGGCACTTGCTGAAAAGTGCTCAGAGGAGAAGGACTTAAATATGTTTCTGTCACTAACGAGCTATTTTACATGTTCATACTACCACAATAATGACTTAGCATAACCAATCCAGGTGAGCCAACTGCAGCTGTGCAGGACATCAAATAATTTCTGTATAAATCACCTGTAGATTAGTGTCCATTTGCTCCCTAAAATGTACGTGACACCCCACCATTGCTAGCTACATGCACCTGTTCATCGATGTATTCAAAGACTGTCATGCATTTCTTTAAATTAAATTCCCAGTAAATGACCACCCCATGACTTCCCAACACATTTACACTAGTCTGTCCATGTCCTATGACTAGAAGGTAACTTTTTGAGTTGTTTTCCTCTTCTATACTTTTGCAGTGAAAATCTTTGTTTGGCTTATTGCTGTTTAGAACTGAAAATGAAGTTTTGTGTTGGCACCATTTTGTATTTCTGCCCACTGATCGATGTTAGTAGTTGACTAAAACTATGCTCACTAAGATTCTCCTGTTGATGATCTTGGAAAATTAAAGTTTTGCTTCTTTTTTTGCTCCTTCATCTCGATGTCACTGTTGTCTTTCTGTCACAGGTGCTCATTATAAGCATGCAAAGCACTTTCAAATCAGAAGTACTTGCAGTTGAAGGTATATGAGGGTAAAAAAAAACATATTACAGTTGTACTTGTCGTAAATGGGCTGTAGTATGACTCTTACGAAGTCTTTTTAGGTCAGGACTTTCCCTTCGGGACTATATTTCATTAAGCCTTGAAACTGGCAGCAATGAGCAGACCTATAAGATCCACTTTGCAGTATGCACACATGCAGGCTCATTGGCTGCAGGCAAGTTGACACAGTTTCCCTGCCTCACTGCCTCATGCAGCTGTAGCGGCTGCTCGGAGCCTGTAGAGCCAGCAGGTGGTACTCTACCGTCGGCTGTGTCCGACTGTTGAATGCGTGCAGCCGGCTGGATGAAGAGCTGAGAACTAGAGAGCGGAGCAGAGACCACCGGGACGAGGTCAGGGAGAGAAAAAGCAAAGCTGCTGCTGCTGCTTCAGCGGAGGATGGACACACACCGGAGCGCGGTCACTTCAGTCACCGAGGTCAGCAGCTCTGCCTCCGCCGCTGGGTTGTGACTCTCCGGTGCTCCGCAGAGGTGATCGCTGGACGCCGGTGGCCGGGATAGGACAGACACTTTGCAGGCTGCAGCAGTCTGTGTGCAGCGCCTTGCAGTGAAACCTCCCCCCCCTGGAGAATAAAGCATCTGGTAGCAGAAAGAAAGAGGAGACTGGGACAGCGACAGCAGCGCGGAATTAATGTGAGATACAACACAGGCTCACCGAGGGCTTACACCGACATGGGGTGAGTGTGGCTGGGTTGCACGTAGCTTTAATTAGGCTTCACATGCAATTTGAGAGCAAAGAGTTTGTTGTTAAATCTGCGGATCCAGCTCAAAAAAAAGAAAAAAATCTGCTTACATTAGGGCAGAGAACAAGTAGTACTAGAACTACTGCTCCAACTCTGTCTCCTCTTTTTGTAGAAAAGAAGTCACAGTCACCTTTTAAGATGTATCCTCACCACAGAGAAAGGTAAGTGAACATTTAACAACTTGTGACATGACATTTAATTCTTGTACTTGTGCCCTTACAATGCCAACCACTCCACAAAAACCTTAAATTAAAAAAAAAAGATAATTTAAAATGATAATAATACTTAAACACATTTAGGAAACTCTTCACATGAAGGATTTTTCTGTGCGCACATGTGGAGCAATGTTGTAGCTTCTCTCCCCTCATTTCAGACTTTAATAGATCTGTTAAATTAAGTCCTTCATCTCCTGTAATGTTTTTTTCTGTGTTGCCCCAGAGTCTTCATATTATTTGATCCATAATTCACAGCAATGACTCTGCTTAGGATGCTTGTATTGCAGTTGGAACTAAGAAAAGACAGAAGAGCGATTGCAAAGAGCATCACAGCGGAGTGAGGTGGCTCAAACTTCTGCCTGATTTGTTAAATATGTGTACTAACAAGTATGTGAGTATTAATCCGCAGTAGGACAGCTGTGAACTGCCACAGATTGTTGTGTTGTCAGATATTGGTGCACTGCTTTATTTAGATGGATTATTTAAAGATTATGTAGTTGCACTTCCTTTCTTTACGCACAACTGAAACTGGAGCGTTATTGGTGCTGAATGAAAGTAGCAACGTTGCATTCATGTAGAGATCTGTCTTCCTGATGTTTAACATCTGCGTATAAAAGATTTAGATGGATCGGATCAGATCAGAAACCCAGTAAAGCAGATTGTGATGGATACGTTAGATTGTAGTCGGAATTAGTGGAGTTGTTCGTCATGAGGTGCAGCACCAACCCCCATGTAATCACTACCAAGCTTTGTTATGCTTACAGACCTCCATTAAACCCTACAGGCCACATCCATCTGCTGAGGATGAAGGTCGAGTGGCTGAACATCCTTGAGAAGTGCGAGGGCAGTTAACAGAGAAACATGAGCACACGCACTGTTCTTTTACGCCACCAGAGTGTGTCTCAACAACAATTTTCTCACACAGGAAGGAACAAGTATTGACAGATACACACACACACACACTTGCAGCCAACCATTCTCTGTCCAAACATGACTGTGTTACATCTAACTCCACCATAGGGAGTTACAGGTTTTGATTGCTGTTCGGGGGGGGACAGTGAGGCTGAACATGTTACATCACATGTTTCATGTTAAGTAGCAGAACACATGCACTAAACCTGAGGCAAGGTCAAACAGGCAGTGATGGAATAACTTTACAAACTTTACAATGTGTGGAGTGTGGAGCCTCTCTCCACTGCCCTCTGGGACCATGTGACTGAAGTCATGAGTGGATTACTGAACGAGCCTACAAGGCACAGGCCCAGGGGCCCCCCTGGCCTTCACCTGCAAAATGTCACTCAAATTAACATGTACTGACCAGGGGTAGACACAAAATGACAACAAGGAGACACAAAATGACAAAAAATACGCAAAATGATGTCAAATTAACATGTACTGACCAGGGGTAGACATAAAATGACTACAAAGTGTCAGAAAAAGACCAAAAAAGACACAAAATGATCCCATAGAGACAAAAAATGATCCCAAAGAGACACAACATGACCTCAGAGACACAACATGATTTCAAAGAGACACAAAATGATCCCATAGAGACACAAAATGATCCCAAAGAGACACAAAATGATCCCATGGAGACACGAAATGATCCCATAGAGACACGAAATGATCCCACAGAGACACAAAATGATCCCACGGAGACACGAAATGATCCCACAGAGATGCAAAATTATCCCAAAGAGACACAAAATGATCCCATAGAGACACAAAATTATCTCAAAGAGACACGAAATGATCCCATAGAGACACAAAATGATCTCAAAGAGACACAAAATGATCTCAGAGAGACACAAAATGACTTCAAAGAGACACAAAAAGATCCCATAGAGACACAAAATTATCTCAAAGAGACACAAAAAGATCCCATAGAGACACGAAATGACCTTAAAGAGACACAGAATGACCTCAGAGACACAAAATGACTACAAGGTGACATAAAAAGACCACAGACACAAAAAGACCACAAAGGAGTTGGAGTTTTCATAGAGTTTTAAAGATGAGGACATTGCCAGGCAGGAAGGATCTAACAAAAGACACTGCTGAATTTCATTATGGGAACTGTAGCATCCTGTATATTTGATGCTTTATACCTTCATATCAGGGAGTATAAATCAAGATGTCTCGACCACTGCTGCTTCAAATTTCATCATGTTTATTTTAATCTGCCACCCAAGTCGCCCCAACTTTATGAGTGCAAAGGAGTGCCCCTTTAAAATAGTTGAGGCGGCTTTAGGTTGCACTGCTTCCCTGTTTCTTCTCATATGACAGTTAAATCTATGTCAATAGAAAGCCAGAGGACAACTCTTACTCCCAGCGTCTTCAGATCAGCGTTTCAGTGGTTGCAGCAGGAGATCCACCGACAACAGGGAGGATTACTGCAAGATGAGAAGGAGAATCATAGGGTGGGTTATTATCAGACTTGGTCAGCCATCAAAGTGCTGACGACATTCATATCAACACCTTCACAGCCAGTCCTTGAAACACGGTGTATGTACAGGTCCATCTAATGTTTCTTTTTATCATGTTCTCTCACGCTGAGAAGCACACAGAGAAGCCATTACTGGATTTGTGTGTCACTAATGGGGTCAGATATAAATGTACAATGATTGGCCAAAATAATACAGTTCTACTGGGAACAGCAGCCGCGGCAGCTTACAATACTAGAAAGAAGAAGAAGTGTCCTGGATTTTATCATTTTAAGTTTTAGCTTCTATTAGGCAACATTTTTGATGAGACACAAAGATAAGATTGATGATTCTTGAGTCTGATCAATGTCTGCACTGTCTGAAAAAACATAAGCATTGGGTTAAAAGTCTGTCTGCCATAAATTAAAGACATTTCAGAAAGAAGATGCTTACAGTCCTCAGTCCTGTATGTCTGGAGCTCATTGTGTGCCATGTTTGTTAAGATGGGATGGACTGTCAGTTCAGTCTTTGTTCGGACTCCGTATCTGCATTTATCTGTGACCTTGTCAGTGATTTCTGCTGTAGCAAGTTATTCAAGTTGTTAGCGGTGTGGCCCTGAGTGTCAATCAACTGGTCTGTTTGGGGGTCAGTCCTTTGTTACTAGGGTCCTATGTTCTCCAGACTTATATGGCACATACTGTACAGGAACATGACAAAGTGTCCTATGTTCCCAAGGTGCTGTATTTCCTAGCTCTATGTATCACATAATGGGAACCAGACAAAGATGTTCTCCACCTCTGCAGCCACTTAAAATGACACGAGCTAGAGTTAAGTTAGAGGACTGTAATCATGACTAATAGTTACTCTTTTTGCATGGAGAACAACTCCCAAACATATTTCAGCCCTAAATTTAAGATAATATAAGTTAGTCAACCAATAATTAACCAATTAAATGAGAGGAAGAAAAGCAAAATGAAAAAAGGAAGGTAAAAAAACATTGTAGGGTCAGGAAATCGGCAGCAGTTGAAAATTGCCATTTCCAAACAGGTTAAGATTAAGGAAGAGGACGAGGGTCAGGTTAGTTTATTTCACCCATTCTTGAGAATTGAGACAAATAATGTCCTACCAAAAAAAGCCTTAAAATTCTAACTTACTGATTGATTGACACTAACTTATCAACACACTAATTCTGTCTTTAGGCTGAAATGTTATTCTTAAAAGTTTTTTTTCTATGAAATAAATATGAATTATTAAATATTTTTATCTACTTCCATTTTTTTAAGTTTGAACTTGCCCCGTGTCAGAAAACACCCTTTTCCAGACAAGAACTTCAAACAGTTAAAAAATGTGTTAAAAGCCTTCAAAATCAAAGTCAAAAATGGTGTTAAAATGTACTGCTATAGTCAACTTTTTTTTGGAAATATATTTTTTGTGACGATATTGGACCTTTAAAGATGTGTCCTGTCAACTCTGTCAATTCTTACAAAAACCTTATTTAAGGCATAAAAGGGGTCAGCTATATCTCAAGGACTCCTGTCTCACTTCCTGGTTTCCAAAAAGGTGAGAATGTTGCTGTGCTGGTAAGCTTTTCATTTTTTTTGATAAATTCTTTAGATAATATTGCTATCAAGTGTGTCTCAACCATAGCAAGTGAACTCCGTCACCCCTCTTAATCCAAACTAAATCATAATTATGGTTTATAAATAAGTATTTCGATTAGCATTAAGAAAACTCTTAGCAACTTTGAAAAATGAAATGGCTGCTCACTACAACTGCTATGAAATTAATAAATATCTAACTTTTTGTCAACTCTGTAAGACATCAGCTCCATCAGATCTTACCACTGACATCGATCTTGTATTCTATTCAAAACATAAAAAACCACTGGGTAGTTTGGCTCATTACGAGGTTTAATAGGCAAAACTTTGACCTTTCAAAATATATTTTCACAGCCAAATTGAGGAGTAAAAATTTAGATTAAACTAGGGTTTTGAACCAGTTCTCTAGAATGGGTGATTGATGAAATATTTTAACTTGGAAAAAGGTCAAGTTTGACTCGAACACAATAGAAGGGTTAATGTGTGAAAACATAATATTGAACAATATTGAAGTTGGGATCACAGATACAATCCCACCACTTGCTGCAGATTGAAACAACTCAACAACTATGTAAAGGTCTGCCATTAAAAATTTAGCACACATGCTCATGGTCCTCAGAGGATATATCCTGTTGACTTTGGCAATCCCCTGACTTTGCCTTTAGCGCTACCATGAGGTCAAGATTTTAATACTCTGGTTTAATGTAATACCATCACCCTTGGCTGTACTGTGTTAAATTCTTATTAGCAAATGTTTGTGTGTCACCACGCCCAAAGTAAGATGGTGAACATGGTAAACATTATACCTGGTATAAATCAACATGTGAGCATTGTCATTGTGAGCAGGTTTGCATGCTGACGTTAGCATTTACCACAAAGCCCTGCTGTGCCAAAGGGCAGCCTCACAGGGTTGATGGCATGACTGTTGACTCTTGTTTTGTCTTGTTTTTGTCTTTGCATTATTTTGAATTTCAATTTCTACCAAGCAGAAAACAAACTAACAGACTGATAGCCTACACTGTGACATCAGTGAGTTTCAGAGTAAAATTTGGTTGCATATTTAGACTGATGCATAAATTTTACTATTATATCTTTTTTCATACGCACACTGTTTTATTGTAAAAGTCAGAATCAGAAATACTTTATCGATCCCCTGAGGGAGTTTTGTCAAGTTATAGTTGGTCTTATATATACACATAAAGAAATTATGAGGAAAATAAGATACAAAAACATGTGCATAATGCTACAGTATATAAAAAAGAAATATGTGTGTCATACTACAATATATAAGCACATTGTAAACATTAAAAATGCAGGGAAATTAGGTCTTTAAGTGTATTAAATATAAATGCAAAGTGTGGGAATACACAGTGCTGTAAAGGGACTGACTGGACACCGGCTGAAGAGGAACAAGGGAGCCGTAAAGAAAGAGAGACCTTAAGCAGTCTTGCTATTCATACCACATGACCGTGGCTAAACCACCTCCCAACACTAGGGACTTTGTTGCTTTGATATATTTACCTCGTATCCAGGATACATCTCTGCAAATACTGGCAGGAGCAGAGCAGAGGGTGGAGGGTGAACGGCTTGGGAGAGGGTTCACAGCGTTTTAGTCAACATCATTTGCCAGCTAAGTCACAGCCCTGTATGGCGAATGACGCAGGAGAAAGTGTGGGAGAAAGCCAAAGGATGATTCCAGCATCTGTCCCTGGATGGCAAAGAGACAGATGGAGATGTACCATTGGGAAAATAATGAAGGATTTCCTTTTTAAACAAAAGAGAAGCACCATTTGGACAGAGCTGCATCATGATGGGGTTTAATGGAGGATGTAAATGTGTTGGTGCTCAAATCATAAGCAGAAACACACTCTAAATGATGCAAAAAGCTTTTTGTGTTAGGATTTAAAAATGTCCAGAACTTCCTGCTCTTCACACAAAGTTAACTACATCATAATCCTTTACTCCTAAACCATTGTTGTTAAACCTGAAGTCTGTGAAAGGGTTTGTTCTTCAACATTTTCTTATTCAGAAGCAATTTTCCCATCATCATCCCTGTGCTTCCTCCTCCAGGGAGCAGCCGATATTCAGCGCCCGGGCCCATGTTTTCCAGATTGACCCCGCCACCAAGAGGAACTGGATCCCCGCCAGCAAACATGCCGTCACCGTGTCCTTCTTCTATGATGCCAACCGTAACGTCTACCGCATCATCAGCGTGGGTGGGACCAAGGTGAGGAAAATGGTAATAATGATGATAATATGGACAGTAGAGTAAGTCATAAAGTCAACATAAAAACTATACTACAATACATAGATGGATTACTGAATGGGCCTACCAGGCACAGGCCCAGGAGCATGAGGTGTCAGGGGGCCTCCTGACCTTCACCTGCAAAATGTCTCTCGAATTAACATGTACTGATCAGGAGGAGACTCAAAATGACCACAAGAAGACACAAACTAACCATAAAGAGATGCAAAGGAACAGCAAAGAGAGACAAAATAACTACAAAACGGGCAAAACAACCACAAAGAGATGCGAAATGACCACAAAGAGATGCAAAGGACCTACATAGAGACAAAAAAAAATAACTACAAAAACAAGCAAAAAAGCCATAAAGGGATTAAAAAATGGCAGAAAAAGGACATAAAATGACCACAAAGAGATACGAAGGAACTGCAATGAGACACAAAATAATTACTAAAACGGGTAAAAAAAACCCCAGAAAGAGACGAGAAATGATCTGAAAAAGGACATAAAACGACCACAAAGTGACACAAAAAGACCACAAAGAGATGCGAACAAACTCCAGAGACACAAAATAATTGCCAAAACAGACAAATATGCCAGAAAGAGATGAAAAATGACCTGAAAAAGGACATAAAACGACCACAAAGAGACACAAAAAGACAACAAAGTGATGCTAAGGATTTTTAGAGACACAAAATATTTACAAAAACAGGCAAAAAAGCCAGAAAGAGATGAAAAATGACAGAAAATGACCACAAAGAGACACAAAAAACACCATGAAATCTGTGTTTTGCACCGATGTCGGAGAGTTGGTGGGGCCTTTTGCATATCTGTGTCCAGGGCCCTATTGTCTCATAATCTGCCCCTGCTAAAATTACATAATGTATGGAAAACGCAACTTGTAGTTCCAGTGGATGTAATATCCAGAGCTAAACTGTGAACCATGTATCTTTGATAATTAAAACACCCGGTTTCTGAAGGCTTTTCTTAAAGTAGTGTTTTTCTGCTTGATTGCAGTGAGGACGGTGGCCTTGGCAACAAAAGAAAAGAGGCTATTCAGTATCTGTAACAAAAGCAGCCTCACATTAATGTTCCTCTTCACCAGCCACCCTCCTGCCAGAAAATCTGTAAGGTTAAGAAATAGAGAGTGAACAAAACCACAGTGGGTGTCAACGAATCAGCAGCCAGTGCGTCTTCCTCACAGGCCTGTGGATTTAGATTATGAGGAAGAGGCCACATCAATCGCTGTGGAGGAGGGGGGGGTCTATCTGATCTCTTCTTAGCACCTCTGGTCTGACCCACATTTCTGCCTCCCAGAAGGCTGTGCGGGGTGGCAGTTGGTCGTTCAGCAGCCCAATCCTGCCAGGACTGGTGTCTGGCTCCATGGTAATCTTCACTGCTGTCGCCACCGTCCAACATATTATGTCAAACATGTCAGCGCAGAAACGGAGACCGTGGAGTTCATGTAATCATTTGTTGGAGGGGAGAGAAGGACGAAAAAGCTTCCTCCTAAGCTGCCATTGCCCTGCAATTCTGGGATTTTAAATCAGGTCCATTATTGTAAGGCTGGAGATGACGTAAAAAGGTTTATAAATAGGTCCGCTCTAATAATTTTTTTTCATGTGCTCAGTCTGAGAGAGGTGGTTTTGGCCACTTCTCTCAGACTGAGGTGATGAACCTGGTGGATGTGCTGCGTTTGTTTCTTCTCTTTGACAGTAAATGTGATTTAAATTGGTCTCTGCTCTGAATGTACTTTGAACAATAAGAGTGTGTGACATGGCAGAGCTGTGGTGTTTGTATTGTGTTCAAAACACAGACTGTATATTAAATTGGACAATGCTGAAACTAAAATATCCCGCATACAGCCACTGCTTTCTTGTGCTGGTGACATTATTTGGTGCCAGAGTCTGCACAGCAGCGATCACAGCAGTATTTAGACCCCACCCATACAGCTATTCAGTAAATTGTGAGCAGCGCCAGTGATCCAGATCGCACCAATGGGTGCACACAGCTGTCAATCGTTGTCAAACTCCCTTTTTTGGCATCAAGTAGCTAGTTAAAAACCAACCTTACCAGAAAAGTGAAGACTTGAATATAGGGATAGACCGATATGGATTTTTTAGAGCCGATGCCGATACCGATTTTTTTCCATCACCCTTAGCCGATGACCGATTATGGACTGCCGATTTTCTTGAGCCGATATTGCTTTTGCTCCCTCAATTTACATAAAAAAAATGACACAATGATAACAAATATTACAGGTCTCAAGTTTAAAATAAGAAACATTTATTGAACAGTAAAAAATACTAAAACAAGATGGAAAGTTGAGGTAGAACAGGTAGAATATTATTATTATTATTATTATTATACATTCAAATAAAAAAAAGAGTTCAGTGCTCTTAAATCTTCCAGTAATGTCTTTATAAAATAAACAAATATTTAAGCTGAAGCATAAATAAAACAACAACTACTGTACACAGTAGGATTCGCTGCATGTGCGCTGCAGGGTCTTCCGGCAACACAGAGCTGCCCGTGGATGCCTGTCTGTAAATCATGCCAGGGAAAAATTAATCCGCGAACCCACGCGCGTATCGGCCGATGCCGATACAAGTAAAAAACTCAAATATCGGCCCGATATATCAGCCAGCCGATGTATCGCTCTATCCTTACTTGAATATACAGCAGTGTGATAAGAACTACCTAGAATGACAGGAAAATGTATTTAGCGTGCACTTAAATCTTTTAGTTTCGTTAGGTGATTGTCAGGAATCCCAGAGGAACATTAATGCTTCACCAATGAGTCACAATGAGCAAACATGTCAAATATGAAGTGTTGACAAGGTTCATGGAGGTTTTGTGTCCAAACAATGACACAAAATTACTGATGACACTGCTACTAAATGAATAATTTAGCTTTAACAACAGCTTTTGTCATTTACTGCTGCAGAATCCAAAAGGTGAAATCCACCATTTTAAAAATGTGAATGTTCATTCAAAATTATTTCTATATTTACAATACAGCAACATTTTTACGTAACTAAATCAGGTATTATGATGGAAAGATATAAATTGTAACTTTTCTGCATTAGAATGTCAAAAACTACTGAACCAATGTTATATATTATATATTTCTATGACTTGTGTACTTACAATATCCCAATTTTTTCCAACAATGTGCCTTTTACCTGTAAACCCAGAGAAATTTGTAATCTCAATCAAGGACGCAGTCCACGTCATTTGGTCGCCATTGCCTGTCAATGGCGTTATATGCCCTTTGCGTGTGTGTCAGGTTTGTGCTTGCCTGATCGAAACTATCATTAATTGACCTTTTACCCAGTTTTAAACCACGTTTTTACAAAACACTTTGTAGATCTTGGTCGTTTTTAATTATATGTTTAAATTGTATGAAGTCAAGCGTAAGCAGACGCTGCTGTTCCAAACAGCATGTAACATGTAACTCCTTTATTCAGTATTTTTACCGGCTTGAATCTCCTGCCCCATCTGGTTTGGAGAGGAAGGGACCTCTGTGGATACTCTGCTCCCGCTTAAAACCTCCTCAACAATGAACACTGAGGAAATCCTAACCGGGAGAAACTGACTGCAAGGATGGCATTTCTCCGTCTTTTATTAGTGTTTTGACTGAGAGATCCCCCGGAAAATATATTCTTTTTATATCCTTTTGTATCTTAAAGTGGAATAAAAGTAGGCATAGGGAGAGTAAAGGGGCACTTCAGCAATGTTACGTTTTTGACGCCTCTAAAGGAGTTGTGTCAAGTCTGAGAAAATAACCCTCATGGTGATGTCACAGACTCTTAAAATGTATTACAAACTGGGGCTGTGGAGTTTGACAGATGTTAGCATGTAGGGGGCAGGTTGACTGATATCAGACAGAACTGTCAACTTTTTTAACTGTTTCCATCTTCAGTCAACTCCAACTTAGTGGAGTGGGTGGATTGAAAGTTCTGGACCCAGGCAAGGAGGCAGGCAGAGTCTAACAAGATGCTGTCAGTTGAAAAATCTGCAATCTAATGTGTCTGGAGTTTTACTCAGACTGAGGGGTACGGAAGTTCAACACTAAACCACTGGAGTAACCTTTAAATTAAAATTGCCACGCCAAATTTGCACCCATCATCATTCTTTTGGCTTGTGTACCTTACTTAAGGGTCTAGAATCACAATGCAAAGTATAGGCAGGGCCTGAAGTAATGCAAGTTAAAATAAGGAAGGTAATACAAATACCTCGACTAATACCAATTAATAGTTTCAAGTGATTTGTTTAATCTGGATTCCTGAATCTGCTGCTGAACTACAGACCCTTCCTGAAGGGACGATCATCTTTGTTTCCTCTGCATTTGCAGGCAATCATCAACTGCACCGTCACACCCAGCATGACATTTACCAAGACGTCCCAGAAGTTCGGTCAGTGGGCAGACAGCAGGGCCAACACTGTGTACGGTCTTGGTTTTGCCACTGAGCAGCAGCTGCATCAGGTAAACGGAGGTCAAAGCGCTGATAAATACTTCAGGAAATCTTCTTTATTCATCAAAACCTCTCAATCATTGTACATTTGCGGAGGTTAATGAGTGCTGCATTATTAATGTTTAATTACCTGAAACAGTCTGTCCTCCTTTGAAAAGTTCTCCGAGAAGTTCAAGGAGGTGAAAGATGCAGCTCGTCTGGCTCGAGAGAAGTCGCAGGATAAAGAACTGGCCAACACGGCACTCAGCATCGCTGCTCCTCAGGTGAGGAAAAAAAACGTGAACGTGAAAGTAGAGCAAGCCTCTGCAGGTATCAGGCAGAAAGTGTAGACGTGAGAACAGTGTCATGATCCACAGAAGCATCCAGTGATGCATTGTGGGCATTTTTAGGAGTGAGTGTGAGCACAGGCCAAGGTTAGATGGATGCACCTGTGTTACTTTGCAGCAGTTCAACTACTAGACGCTGTTATTAAATCAAAGGATGGATAGAGAGGGAGAAAAGGAGGCAGAGGAAAGATGAGCTGGGTCACTTGTCTCGGAGGGAAGAGAAAGTGAGGAAAACTAGGGCAATGGTAAAATTATCCCGTGCCACTCAGCGGTGTGCCACATCCACTGCCACCGAGAAGCCTCTGATTCAAAGAGTGTAATGATGAAACTGTAGTCAGCTCAGGGCTTTTTTGATCAATAGAGAATAATTACCCATCAGTTACATCTGCTTGGTCATGAGGAACATGCCCGTTTCCTTTTAATTCTACGGCTGAACAGATTCCAAGTGATGTCTCACGCTCCACGTCTTTATCGATTTAATGAACATGTTGGAGAAGGTCCAGACAGTTGCCAACCGCGTCAATTAATAGTGCTTGATTCTTGCTAAGTAGCACCGCGCTGCATTACTGCTAATGGTTGTGATATTGTTGGAAAGGTGATTAAGTGTGGGGAGCTTTGTGATGACATGTTTCTCTGTCTGTTCTTTCCACCTGATGGATTTCCTCCATAGTTCTCACAGGTGAGTCTGTCATTGTTGTAGTATTATTATATGTGTGCAAATTGCCTTTTTGTCTGTCCCTGAATCTATTTCAACCTGCAGTGTTGGGCTGATAGCTCTTATTTTATCAGACCAAAACAAGCACCATAATAGGTTCAGTTCTCATCACCATGAGTCCATCAGAGAGAGAGAGAAAAGAACTTCTGCTACATAACTTAACTTCATTTCTATGTTTTTTTAATTTAAACATTGAGCAGTCTTTATTGGACTTTAATGTGAATGAGATTTTTAAGCTTTGACAGTAAATTCATGATAGACGCAGCCCCTCTCTCGTCTATGAATAACCCATTTGCTGTTGAGATGCGGCGTGTTGTGTCGCTGTGTGCGTTATCAGGAGAGTCCATTTACTGATGTGTTTCTCAGGACCTCTCGGATGAACTCCAGTCTCCACCGGTGATGTGTGTGAACGGGCCCGAGGACAAGCTGTTCCGCAGCCAGAGCGCGGACATCACCCTGTCTTCTGAGAAGGAGCGCATTAAAAAGATGCTCTCTGAGGGGTAACTGAGTTATACACACCCACCAAAACACACACACACATCAGCAGATTGGAAACTGAGGAGGTGAACTCCTCTTCTCTGAGTCTAATCTCACTTTCTGTCCAAACACCTTAAGGGACAGTTCACCCCAAAATCAAAAATACATATTCTTCCTCTTACCCATAGTGCTGTTTATCAGTCTATGCTGTTGTGGTGTGAGGTGCTGGAGATATCAGCCGTAGATATGTCTGCCTTCTCTCTGGTATAACGGAACTAGATGGCACTCAGCTTGTGGTGCTCAAAGTGACAAAAGCATACAATAATGTCTCTTTCCAGAAACCATGACCCAGTTACTCAAGATAATCCACAGACCTTGTTGTGAGCAGTTTCATTCAGGAACTATTTTCTTTCTACAGAACTACACCCAACAGCTGTATCATTGCACAGAAGGAAGCGTGCATCGACATATGAACAAGAGGCTCGTGCTTGTGACAGTGCGAGATGTAAACATTAATGGCGTTCTCCTTGGCTGAGCTCTAATGTTAGCTAGCTCAGTGGTGCGAGGTGAGCTAGCAGTAGATGCATGCTTCCTTCTGTGCTGTGATTTGGTTGGTGGGTAAGGTTTGGTAGAAAGAAAATAGTTCCTACACGAAACTGCTCACAACAAGGTCTGTGGATTATCTTGAGTAACTGGGTCATGATTTCTGGAAAGAGACATTGCTGTTGAGTTTTTCAAATGTATTTTTTTGTCACTTTGAGCAACACAAGCCGAGTGCCATCTAGATTTAGTGCCATCATACTGGAGAGAAGGCAGACCGATAGGCTACTCAAGAGGCAGGCCAATATCTCCAACACTCGACAACTCACCCACCCACAGTGTTTCCAAGTGGTATTATTGTTGTCGCTGCCGCAACGACAACGTGACTGCTTTCCGTTTTGTTTTGTTTTTTTCAGAGCCAAGCAACTACCACAGTTTCCACCGTTACTTTATTTGTTTCACCGTCCACCATTTCCATTACAGGGGATAGAAACTGCAAATAACTTCCACTGATTCTCTTCGGTAACTGGGATAGCTACCAATAGCAACCTCTGAAAACAAAAGCATTTTCCTCTTCCTGTTCAGTTGCGCAATGGTTGATGCACTTCCTTTGCGTCATACAATGAGCCTTAATTTCCCTGATCATACCCGGTGGCAGACAGAATTACAGAGTGAAAGTGACGCTTATTGGGAACCAGACTGAACGCAGATAGTGTCATTCTATAGCCATTACATTGTGCAGTCAAAATGTACTTCATAATCATAAGTTTAAGCAAAAAATGTGTCTATTTCCACTTTGAAGTCTGTGATAATTATCGCTTTGTAGAATGCTTGTTTTGTGTAGATATTAAGAATCTGATGTCAATTCAGTGTTTATGTGTCTACTTGTCCTTTAAAAATCGTGATTGTAGGCTCTCAGTTTCACTGTTCATCTACTCTGCTGCACACAAAGTTCAAACTTGGTTTGAAACAAGATGAAAAACTCAAAGTTATCTCTCATTTTATCAAGTGCTCACAAACATGAATAGAGCTGAGCTTGACAGTTTATCATTGACCATGGAGATACAGTAGTTAAACAAAAAGGCACAAGGTCTGTTTTCTAAAAAATTCTGTAGCTTTCAGCCACAGCTCATGGCCTTCATTGGTGGAGTGGAGCTGTTACTTATCACATGACCTTAGTATGGAATTTCAGTCACATGGTAACAGGTGATAACTATCTGAGCAATGTTGCTTAAAGCTTCCAGAAATGTTCAGTAAATGGAGCTCTTTTTATAGTGAGAAATAAGCTTATTCACTTTCTTGCCCACAGTTGGATGAGGAGATTGACACACTCTCAGTAAAACAGGCCTCCTCCTAGATTATGTGTGCATTTACATGCTATGATAAATAATATGCACGATTCTATGAATTACATAAGAGACATGAAGTCATTACATGTTAACAGTTTCAATCAATTTTGGTTCAGTCTGCAGAAAAGATCAGTCAGATTCTCTCTCCATCCTCGATCCATCGCCTTTGTTCGGAGCCTCTTCATCTTGAAAGCTTGAGGTTGTCCCATGGCAACAGTTTACCATGGCAACCATTAAGGAGCCGCTTTCTGTTGTAATAATTGGACCATAGGATTTAAAAGCATTGTGGGTGGCTCACACCGACTGAATGAAGAGATGCTTACAAGCGTTATTTGATGTGTATGAGTCAACACCTCAACAATGGCCCCTTCACTTCCTAGAAGACCTAAATTAAATGACGTCAAACTGTAATTAACCTTGGAAATTAAAACCATGTCAGTGAACCCTGAAAAAGGTAATGGATTACCTGCTCAACTGTAATCAATAGTATTAATTAAATGAAATATGTGGCGACCTCATGCAGTCGAGCTTATGATCGAATCAGTGTGTCCAAACTCATTTGTTTTCCAAACTGCAGTGTAAATACAAGCAGCATCACAGGGATGATTAATCTGCTTGTTCAGCTGTTTATGGGTATAAAATTGCTAATTACTACTAGCAATAAATCTAAGCTAACCATCTACCGACTGTAGCTTAACACTTAACATATAGACGTGTGTGTATACATTGAATGTATCACGTATTGGGACTAAACACATTTTAAATTCAGTCCCAAGTAATAGTCAGCTTAAAGCCAAACAGATGATGACACTTTATGTACAGAAGATTTGATCTGCAGCCAAAGTCAGTGTGATAGTATCACTAAAAGAGAAAAAAAATTAAACCACACAAAAGACTTTACAACCGCCTCGGTCAATGACGGCTATTTTCTGCTTCTTTGTTCCCTGGTGCTTCCAAAGTAAATTAAACTTTTAAAAAACATGTCAGCACTCTAATTTCCTGGGGAGAAAGGAAGTAGTCTTTCAGTGTCACATTCATTCTTTTGATGAAAATGACTTTTAGATAGTCAACTCTCCAGGATTAGAGGATCACTGTGGGAACAGTTTGGCCTTGTTGTTTGCACTCGGGGCATTTTAATGAGTGTATCTTTGCTTTGTTGTAAGACCTGTGAAATGACCTTCAGTTGGGGCAGTAACTGTGCTGCTGCAGGCTGCAGTCCTTACAGAGTTCTTAATGCTGTTACAGTAGCTTGTTGCTTGTGTTAACCAGGCCAGCAGTTTTTCATCATGTTCTAAACTCTTTGCAGCAGTAAAATCTGGGTTGTTACTACACAGCCATAGTATCCAGTAAACATAGATATTAGACTGTTGGCTTCAAGGATGTAGAATAATTATGTGCAATATAAGCCATAGCATCATAACGCTTGTATTTACTGTGTCATATATGTCATGTAAAGTGTGTCACAGGTTTACAGTTTTGCGTTTGTGTTGTTCAGGTCGATCTGTGAGATGAACCTGGAGGCCGAGCTCTTCACTCTGCAGGACAGCAACACCAAACTGGTGGCAGCTTTGCATGAGGCTAATGCTAATGTGGAACAGTGGAAGAAACAGCTGGCAGCGTATCAGGAGGAGACAGACAGGCTCAGAGAGCAGGTGAGACGCTACTGGCTTCAGTCTGACACTCAGGTACAGAGGGCACTTTGAAGATGCTCTATCTGAGGGTGCTTACCATCAACACTGAATTAGCCATTATCAAGATATTAATTCTAAAGCAAAACTCAAGTCTGTGTCAATCACAGTGAGTTAAAAGCACAGTTCAACCCAAAATCTAAAATACACAGTTTTCCTCTTACCTGTAGTGCTGTTTATCAGTCTAGATTGTTTTGGTGTGAGTTGCTGAGTGTTGGCTATATCAGCCGTAGAGATGTCTGCCTTCTCTCCAATTTAATGGAACTACATTAGCCTGGAAATCCAGACTCAAATCTAGAAAGATTTTGAGTCTGGCCCTCACCGATACACCCTTCCTACCCAAGGGGCGGCACTAACTGAGGCATTTCAAATGCCGCCGCACGCAATTGGAAAGCACGATGGCCAATCAGAGCAAAAAAACAAGGTGACATACTCATTGCACTAAGCCCCATTTGTTTGCTGAACAGTGGGGCTAACTGATATATTATGCTTTTGCTGTATCCTGTCGGCAAAACGGCAAAAACGTCCTTCCTGGGAACGAAGGCTTCTAGGGCAGTCTTCTGTTCCTCTCTCAAAGAAAAAGATAAGTGTAGTTGGCCTAGCGTTTCTTCCAAAGCTAAATTGAATGGACGTCTTGGCTGTTTACTTTTCGACTCCTACGGCGCAGCGCTGTCGTCATCATGTTACGCCCGCCCAGAGCCCACCTCTGTCATATAGACTGATCTGATTGGTCCAATTGGCAATTCATCGGGCTCTGCTCGTCGGGGCCAGATTCCCGTGCAGTGCAAATTCGAATTTGCTAGGGGCGGGGCATCTGGATTTCCAGGTTAGAACTACATGGCACTCAGCTTGTGGTGCTCAGTGCACCAAAAAATGTTTGTGAAAGCAGCAATGTCTCTCTCCAGAAATCATGATACTCAAGATAACCCACAGACCTTGTTGTGAGCAGTTTCATGTAGGAATTTTTTCTTTCTACTGAACTACACCCACCAACCATATCACCACACAGAAGGAAGCGTGCATCTACTCATGGATGAGAGGATTGTGCCTGTGACGGTGCAAGATATAAACATTAATGGCGTCTCGTCTTCAAGTTATAACGTTAGCTAACTCACTGGTGTTAGGGGAGCTAGCAGAAGATGCACACTTCCTTCTGCATGGTTTGACCGTTGGCGAGTATAGTTTGATACAGTTAAGCGGCACTTACCTCGGCACTACAGGTAAGAGGCAAAATATGTAATCTTGATTTTGGGTTGAACTGTCCCTTTAACTTACACAGCTCCATATCAGCCATCTCCAAACTAAGTAGCAAACAACAGCCATAAACTTACTCCGAACAACATACTTTAATGTTCTAAAGCAGTGGTTCCCAACTGGTCCAGCCATGGGGCCCAGATTTCTTCTTAGTCATCAGTTCAAGGTCCACACAGTTTAATTTATTCAGCATCATCCTTGCATTTGGCCATGTTGTCGAGCTAGTTTTCCGTCTCTGTTAAGTAGCTATCTGATATTCATCCACTCTACAGCAGGAAACCGCACTTCAGAATAAAAGCGCTGTCGGAAATTCACTGTACTTCAAAATAATGTGTTTTTACAAACTTGACACATTTGTGAGTCACTTGTGGTCCATTCAGAATGGACCCACGACCCATTTTAGACTTCAACCCACCAGTTGGGAACCACTGTTCTAAAGCCTTCATTAGCAGGTTTAGAAGTACATTCTCTCAGGTTGTACTTCAGGAGTGTGGAGATAAAGATTTTCGCTGCCTTCCTCCTCATACACTCCAACTTCTAAATTTAAAAGTAATTCAATTGATCTTGTCACATATTAAATTAGCTTTACTCGAGAAAAAAATACACGGATGTTTAATCTTAAGTGTCATTTTTAAAAACTCAGGAACCTAAAAGGTGCCTGGGTATCATACGTATTATGTAAAATTCAATGTGAAGATTATATCAACATTTATCATCTTCAGGTGAACAGGAAAGAGAAGAATTTCCTTTTTTTAATGCAGAGAAAGTGTTGGGCCTACGTTTTTTTTAAACAGTATGTTGTTCCTCTTTAAAGTTACACTATGCAGGATTGTCAGTTACTGTCTGTAAACACGCTCGCCAACAAAAATGAAGGTAAAAGCTAACTCCAGACTGACTCTTGTTTGGCATTTCGCCTCACTACATACATGCTGCTTATGGCTTAGCAGCTGGTCACTACCTTTTTATAAAGCCCCGACCTCACCTGAGCATACTGAGGCCACATGGGCATAGATGTCCCGGACAGCAAAAATAAGATGGAAATAAAAAAAAAATACAGGCAGAGGGCAGAGTCTCGGTAGAAAAACCACAGACTACTGACTGTGTTAACAGCTATACATAATTAAAGTTTAAGACCCGAGTCGTCCGAGCACTTGCTGTGATAGCCTGGTGACTTGTCCAGGAAGTACCCTGCCTCTCATCCAATGCACGCTGAAAAGGATAAGCGGTTTATATGAATGGATGGATGGTTGATGGATGGATTAACTGTTACATGAAAAGCTTTGTGGGAAAGTTGACCTCAAACTCTACAGCTACATATTTCATGTATTATAGAGAGCTCTTAATAGTGTTTCTGAGCAGAGGTGAGTGTTGAAACCATGGTCTGTGTAAAAAAAAGTGGGTGATGTCACCCATTCAGCATTTCAGCTGTCGCCATCTTGGATTTTTGGGGCCAGAAGTGACCATATTTGGAAGAGAGTTTGGAGCTATGGAGGAGTGAGGGGTGGATCTGACTCTCAGACTGTCACTCAAGCAGCCCTGCGCTTAAATATTAAACTTTAAGCCTTAATAAAATATAAATTGAAGAGTTATATAAAGATCCACCCACGTAAAATTGTCATGAATGTTGAGATTAGCTACAGAGAGTAAAACCATTTTTGTACCAGGCTGGAAACGTGTTAATTTCTGTTTTAATGCTGGGCGTTTTAACATGGGGATCTATGGGAGTGTTTGGAGCCAGCCTCCAGTGGCCATTTAAGGAACTGCAGTTTTTGGCACCTCTCGTGTTGGCTTCATTTTCAGCCCCGGAGGTTGCGGCTTGGTTGAAACAGATTTGTTCAAAGATGAAAGACTGCTAGTTAATGAAAAGTTAAATCAGGCCAAAAACCCTCCATGCATTAGAGTCAAACACTGAAAAGTAGTTGTTCTCTCTTGTGGTGCAGTCAAGTCCTTATTCATTCTGTTGTAACCTGCAGGGCAGAAGCTGATGGTTAAGGTCACACCTAATTATCAATGCTGGAGCTGTGAAGCTCTGCAGGAGGAGCAGTCACTCAGATTATTGGTGAAGTAAAGCCTCGCTCAAACAAGGCTGGTGGGATTCTGTCATTCTGTTGCTCTCAGTAACACTGAGTCGCACGTCTTTCTCTGCTGAGAGAGGTCATGCTTTTTTTTATTGGCTTAATTTCCTCGGTTTGAAAGCACTTGTTCAGCAAAATAAAAAAAGGACAAGTTAGTCAGGCTGGCAACACTTCATCATTCTTTGACATGACTTGCGCTGTGGGCGTTTTCCCTCCAACGCTTTAATCAAGGTGTTCCCTGCCGGTTGAACCGGTTCACCATGCACACGTTAATGTAGCATTTCACCACAAGGGAATTCGGTCTAAACACCCTGAGCCTCAGGAGAGTTTCACACATGAATTACCTCGTAGGTTCCAGTGAACGCAGATGCCTGTGCCCTCCCTCTCCTCGCTCATCAATAAAAGGTATTTTCACATTTGCTGGTAGCTGATTCCACTGGGAGCGACCTCGCCTCAGGCTGACAATTACAAACCTCTCTGATTCAATGCTTTAATACCTTGATCCTTTTCCATTATAGCCCAGCTTTACAGTATCGATCACTGCTCTTTAATTCTGCCCCACACGCCTGGTATTTCAAACACCGTTTTGGTCCACATCAACAAATTAATTCATACAAGTGAGAACTCTGTCTCCTTTGGACCGAGCTCGTTCCCTCTATCTGAGGAAGGGGACCAGGTGGCTGAAAATGGTTCACGTCTCTGGGGTGGTGTGGGAGGGAGAGGGGTTTGTAGGACAGCAATATCCTACTTTCAATGCCCCAGTTAGGAAAAAATGAAAAATCACCAGAGGGAGCTGGCATCCACTCGGTTCTCGCTTTTTTTTTCCTTCCTTCTACCGCTCCTTCTCGTCTCAACCATACATGGTTTAAAATAATCCAGCCTGTCTCTTTCAGACAGGGGGGCATTTTTAGAGGTTGTGCTTCTGCTTTTTTTCTGATTCATGAAGCCAAGATGACGAAGCAGCAAGGATTTCACTCCTGCGTACCTGATAATGACATGACTCACTCATCTGCCTGTTGATCAGTCTTGTTAAAGTTGTAGCGTGTTTTAACTTGTAGATAAAGGGAAGAAAAAAAGTCATGATGTGCAGATAAAATTGAAAGCATAGATCCACACAAAAGAACATCAGACAGATAGTCTGTAAAAAACAGGTTCCTTCTCACACTCCTGCTTTTAATGGCATTTGCTAGAATCTACCCCAGCTCACCGCACACAACCAGTCAGAGCCGAGGGGTCTCTAACGCTGCTGTCAGTCATGTCAATCACTGCTCATAAGCTGCGTTCACAGTCAAACTATCAAACAAGGCAGCACTGATCAAATATAAATCAAGATTATGTTACTGCATTGCCTGTTTCTCACCTCAGATGTTTTCAGGATCTTATTTTAGTGTACTGTTTAGCTGTGAAATGAGACAGCTTCGTCTGGCTGGTGCTTTGTTTTGGCTTGACTGTTTTCAACGTGGCGGCATGGTCACAAACCTCATTTCGCAGCACAAAATTATGTTTCTGATCGCTGTTTGATCAGCACTGCCTAGTTTGACAGTTTTAGAGCACAAGCAGTAACTGACATGATTGACAGCTGCTTCCTTTGAAAATGACCTTAGATTGGCCAAAGTCTCCGGTCACGGCCTAGATTTTCTAAAACCAAGTGGAGGTACAGAAGTTGAGTGTTCTCTCAAACCACTTGAATTGACCCTTCGCTAAATCCCGCCCCAGGAGGCAGACTGGCCAATCGTAACGTAGCATCGGCCGGCTCAGACCAGGGTCCAACAACAACACAGCTGTGCTCCATTGACTCTAATGCAGTCGTTTCAGATTTCCTTCATTTTCAGGCTGGTTTTGTGGATTTGGAGCTAAATGTTGTGCCTGGGGCACGTTGTGTATTAATGATACTCATTGCCTGGAGAGGTTGGAAAAAGATATACGTTTCTTCCCTGTTCCAAAACCAAAATCAAACCCTGAAAAGTGTAGGGTTAGCTAGCTAGCTACTGAAGATATAGCCTACTGAATGGATACACATGCATGAAGGGAAGTGGGGAAACTTTGCTGATATTCAACCAGCTGTGTGTCATCGCATTGTGCGCAGATGAATGTTGTTTGACTTCCCCTGGAGATCCCAGAGGTCCGGGTACTGGCAGCGGCACTAGAAGCCAAACACTGTTCATCTGCACACACTGCGATGCCACACAGCTGGTTCGATGTCAGCAAAGTTTCCCTTTATCTTCATTGTCTTGTGTGGCGATCAGCAGTGATGTGGTGGTTCACTTTTACACTGTGATCTGTAGCCTATAGTTCAGCTTTAGCTTCTAACTGTCTTTGTCTTTTTAACCTGTTGTTGCTGCTGAGTCAGTTTGACTTCCTGGATATATCCTTCAAACACAGACTGTAGACCCCTTTGTCTGCTTCTCTCTGGAATCACTGTTTCATTTTTCCAAAAACATGTTAATATTTCTTCAGGAGCAGCTTGTCGGACCATCACAAAGGAGTGGGGCTTAGCAAAAGGTCAATAACAATATGCTCTCAATATTTAAGAATACTGAATGCCAAGGTTTTCGTGTGAAGCTATGTCCCACATGTTGAACGTGATTTAATGTAGTGTGTCTGTGTGTGTGTGTGTGTGTGTGTGTGTGTGTGTATTAAGGTGGCTGAGTTAGAAGCCCATGGAGGCCACGGCCCCAGTGACATGCTGAAGGATGAGCTGACCCAGTCCCTGGAGGAGCTGGAGGCCCTGCTGAAGGCCAAAGATGAGGTTGGTGTTCTTTGTTCCACTTTCATCCTCAGCTAGGGTCAGAGGCCGGAAGCTGCAGGGTTCATCACAGGTGTTAATGATGAAAGATTCAGCTGCTGAAACGCCTTCAAATCTTTTCCAGGAAATCCACATTTTGCAAAATAAGAAAGCCGAGTACCACGAGATGGAACACGACAGAGAGGAGGCCATTCACAGATTACGGGTAGGAGGGAGATTACAGCAATGTGGTATGCTTTTATAATTTATGTAGTGGTTTGCAAGGTTTGAGCTGTGCCTTTGCACTGTCCTTTGATTGTCTTCTTTTCTGGTGTGGTGAAAGCATAGTGCAGCGAGAGAGGACCTGCACAGAGAGAACAAAAAGAGAATCAGACTAGTGTCTGGATTTTAAATGCTTCTATTTGATAAATTACAGGACGACACAGACAGTGGGAAAATGTGCAAAATGCAAACGTTCCAGTCCATGTTGAACTTTCCTCAGTGCAAAATGAGGCATGCATGATGAGTCACCCTGTATGCAGCTCACTCTACAGGTGCACCTAGTCCATCATATAGAGCCTGTGTGTTTGTAATGAGTCGGCCTGCTGGCAGCTGGCTTCATGTGTGTTCAATCACATCCTAAATGAGGTGCACCTTTAGAGTAGCTCACATATAGGGTGGCTCATCACGCATGCTTCATTTTGCACTGTGGAAAGTCCAATAAGCACAGAAGCATTTGCACTCCTTGCACTGACAATGCTTACATGCACACTGATATTCCAGTATTATTTCAAATGTGACAATATTCTTTATGTGATACAGGTCATGTAAACAGCATATTCTGTTTGTAGTGTTTGAATGTAGCGTTTTCTGATTAAGACGTGGCATTTTTGCCAGCAGTAGTTGAAATTTAGGAGCTTTCCTAGGACGTGTATATAGCACATTCAGAATATAGCCCCATTTCCACCAAACACTTTCAGTATGGTACCTTTCGAACCAAAAGTAACCCTTCAGACATGGTACCTAGACCCTAGTGTTTCCACTGCAAACAGTACTCTTAAATGTGGGCGGGGTTGTTGTCACTCACTGCTCCGTCCAGCACTCACTGTAAGTCTGCACCTTGTTTATCGACTGCACACTGACATTTTCAGAACAAAATAAAACAGGCTGCAGTGAGAGTGTCTCTCCATGGGTTATTTAAAAATAGTCCATTTGTGCATTTAGTCCTTCTCAGGCAAGCTCAGGGGTTTAGTGTTACAGTGAAATTTAAGGTGTGTTGATGGATTCATGTCGTCACCTCGTGAACTGAGTAACATTACAAGTAAATTTTCCACCTTAAAAGTTGCTGGCAGTTGGCCCGATGAATTAAGTTATTTTTGTCCGACTCCAGCTGCTGTGAGAGGCAGTAAAACATCCTTTCATTTTATAGTCACAGTCTACTAATAAAACTATTTACAGTATGAACAGTGGTTACATGAGCCTCACTATTGACCAATCAACAGACTGCAGTGTTCACAGCTCCACCTTTTAGTACCAGATCTGTGTGCTAGGTACCCCAACAGAGGGGGGACCAAGCATGGGGATGTATGGAAGAGTTCCATTGGTACCATCCACAACTTTTCACATACTGAACTGAACCGCACCGTACTGCTCGGTGAAAACGGGGCTTATGAGTCTCAGTTAAGGCACGTGGCCTCTTTCCTGTTTACTGTCAGCTCTGTGTGTTTTCAGGGATGCTTTATACACAAACTAACTCACCAGCAGTTTGCGAGGCTGGGATCCAGATTTTCCTCAGATCATGTGCAATACTACTTCTTACTGTTATAACGCTGATTATCAGGTGCAATCTGCTTTTCTCCACCATTTTAATTAATTTTCAGTAACTCTTGTACTTATCTTACTGAATACACTTCTTATCTTGTATATTATATTACAAGATATTTAATACTCTATTGTTTCTAAAACTGGGCCCAGTGAGTGACCCTGACCCAGGGGAACCCACTGGTTGTTTTGGTTGTTACTGGTTACTGGTTGTCAACATTTAGCGTTACTGTAATTTGAAGGATTCTCTGGCACAAGAATTTCCTTTGGGATAAATAAAGTTCTATTGAATTGATGTGAACTGAAACACAAAGCCAAAAGAAAAACCCACATTTCTCGGAAGAAGAAACAAACCTGCTTTTTGGAGATGTCCAAATATCCCAACACCAACCTTTTCAAGAAGGGGGTTGAATGAATGAAAGAAGGAGGCTGTGTTCGCACAGTCGAATTAGTCCATCACTGGTAGAGGGCACGTTAATCAGTGTATGCACGGCTGCATGTTAACTGGAATATTAGTGGAATATTCATTTTCATTAGCTATTTCAACAGCTTAGTAGGAATATTGTCTTTTTTGGAATAAGGGCAAAAACCAGAATATTTCGTGCATGTTAACATAGTCACTGTTTGTACAGCCCTGTGATGTTTTAAATAGTAGCATTTAATTAAAAGTTAAACTGACAACAGCCTCTTCTTCTCTGCAGGAGACAGAGATGCGCAATGTAGAGCTGGAGCGTCGCATCCAGAACACAGAGCAGAACCTGAGCAACTCTCTGGAGGAACGGGATCGCATGGACTCTGAGATCCAGAGGGCCATCGAAATTCTGGACATCAAGATCTTTGACCTTAATGACCTTCGCCAGAGCCTGGTGAAACTCATCGACAAATAAGAAGGTGAAAACCCAACCCGACAGAGAAAGAGATGTGACAGGGTTAAATTTGACGTGGCCTATGCAGTGGGGGGGAGCAAACAAAACAAGATGGAGCTGGTCCACGTCCTCTTCAAGCACAAGAACCACCTCGGCTGCAGGGAGGTCGCTCCGTGTCTGTGTTGCGGTTGCGGTGGCTGTGCTGTACTCAACAACATACTGCAGGTGTTGGCCTACGCAGCAGCATATAGTACATGGTTTCGCTTGTCCAATCTAATGTAAACGCTTCGTGTTGCTTTCAAGGGTAACATTCAATGCAATAAACCAACTTTAAGGTAAGTGCTTAACACTGCTAGACACTTAATATTGAGAACTGGTGCTTGTAGTTTTTCATAACTTTTGTACACAAAACGGCGATGCAGTGTCAATATGAATAAGAGGCCTTGTTTGTTTTTTGTTTTTCAACTTGCAGATGATATTTAAACATCTTAACGAGTCCATGAAGTGAATGCAGATTAAGAAAAGTGCACACAGCAAGATTGCTTTTAAGAGATCTGCGTATTTAACAGCCTGCATACAACATAATTATTCCTAAATTAACAGTTAAGGTCTTGTAGTTGCCCGTTCATACAATAGCAGCTGTGTAAAGTCAAGGACAAACTGGTTGTAGTCCTTCCCCACTGGAATAAGCAAAGACACGTTCAAGGTCAGTAGAAAAATAAGCTAATAGTGTTTTATATTTGGGTAAGGCATGGACACACAACTTAAACATTAGATCTGAATACGGACACCAACAGAGCAGACTCATCCGCAGCTTGTCTATTATCACATCTTCATTTAAGCTCGTAAGAAACCTTTAAATCTAAGATATGTGACAGTAACCTGCAAAGCACATTTTAGATAAGATATATCAAGTAATCACATTTAGGCTCAATAAGTATTTTCCACATGATATAAATCAATAATGCAGTTGAACACAGGAAGTCTTCAGTTAGTACTACAGATAAGTTTAACTGGTCGTCCCGTGCATCATCTCTTAACAAACCACCGACTTAGGAGCTTATTTATGATATTTACGACGCATTCGAGGAAATTAAAGAGCGATTTTCTGCCTTCTGTCATTTCTCAGCACGTTACCTTTAGCTGTGGACGGTGTGCCACGCGCCTTCAGAGTGTGGCTGAACTGTACGAAGAGTGAATTTATTTAAAAACACAGATTGTCTTTTATCACACAGACTGTATTGTTTAACATGATGCTGTGTCTGCATTATTTTTTCAAGCCTTATTGTTCTATTCTGTTCATCCAAGGATGGTTGGTGGTAGTCATGCCAGCTCTGTGTGTCAAACTGTGAGCTGTTGTCATGGCGGTTTGGAAATAAAAGCAAAGAATACAGTAGTTTTAATGTACTTCTTTCTTGTGTTGACAGTTACCTGTGGGCCATCTGATTTATTTCTACCATTGCATTAATCCAACAGGGTGTCTACAGGTATCAGAAACTTACATTTAATGGTTTTTAAGACCTTTTCAAGATGATTTTTAACATCAGATTTTTAGACAAATCATATTTTTCTGATTCAATCATTGCAGGTAGGTGTGAAGGTAAGTAGTATATATATAGTCATAGGTTTCATGTAGGAATATGGTTATTAGAGTGCAATAGGTTAATCTATATTTGTTAATCTATATTTTGTCAACAGCTAAGTAAAAGTATGAAGTAAAATGACAGTATTCGGTTCAGTGGTAGGTTTAAAGATTTATATGATTAGAAATGTGGATTTTTACACAGAAGAGCTTGACTCATTTTGACAGGAAGAAATTAAAAGTTGGATAAATAAACTTAAATAAATGTCTGTGCCACTTAAGACCTCAGATTTAAGTTTGAGGCTATTTAATGACTTTTAAGGGATAATATTTAAATAATTGAATTCACAACATTTTGACTTTTGTTGATTGATAGAATTGATTTATATTACCTTTACCTTCAGGCTGCAAAATCCAAATTTAAAAGCCAAATTATTGAGTTTGTTTGTCACTTTTTTGGTCATGCTCTACAGGTACTGTCATGGAAACGTGAGATAGCTAAGACAACCAAGTTTGTGACCACAGTATTGCAGGTTTGATCCCCGAACCTGCAGGATAAACGTGGGTGGGGAGAGTGAAACTGCGGTGCTTCCACTGAGGTGCCCCCGAGCAAGGTCCCCACCTCTGACTACTCCAGTGACGGATGCTATGTGGCTGACAGATCAGACTGGTTGTACTGGGCTGCTTCAAAGTGTGAATGAGCGCAAGTGCTTGAGTTTGAAGTTGGCGTTCCTAGAAAAAGAGAGCCTGGCTCTCAGTTAAATGTGCCTGAATAAAAGAAGCGGCCTTTTTTTTTTAAGTAGATCGGTAACTTTGAAAAATATGGTGTCAAATTTTAGATTATAAAAAGTACAATAACCCACTGGAACCAGAGGATCAGGCGTTGAAGTACACTGCAGTTCGTTCCAGATATGTGGTGCAAAGAATCTAAAAGCAATCGGGGGCCTGCAGCACTAACCAGCCCTGCCAGCGTGTGTTATGTGTTACAGCTCTCAAGCTAATAAGTGACGTCAAAAATGAGTGCAATTTTAAACCAAATGTTGGTCCCTTCTAATAGAAAAAGAAGGCCAAGTCACTTTCACAATGTGTCTTCTGATCGTCTGTAGCTACAGAACATGTCTACTGGTCTGAATTTGATGCAGTCACACAAACCAGGAAGATATTCTGAAGAGGACTTTAAGTAAGAAACCATCTACTAATCAATCGTGCTTGTCAGAATGTTTTATTGACAATACTGATCATTGATTCCAGCTGTTTACTTCAGCTTCTTCTTGGGTCTGAGGTGGTCGGTGTGTCCGCACTTCTTCTTGCGGCAGTTTGTGGCACGTGCATGTAGTCGAGCGTAGCACCTGAGCACGAGAGGAACAAAGTGTTAGATCACAATAACCATCATCATCGTGTCACTCTCACCCAACAATGTTCCAGTGCCTTTGTTTTTCTTTTTTCTTAAGCACACAACTAATACGAAGTACTTTGTTCAGTGTTTTTATCTCCACCTTCTCACTGAGCGGTAGTCCCTGTTTTATTAAGCTACACTTTAATGACACAAATCTACAGACACAATCTGTCAGTTTTTTCAGTCGTTAACAATATTGAAAAAGTCAAAGTGATTATTTTGTTAAAAGAATACTAGCCCCATGTTATGTTGAATTTGTTTGGGGTTTTTTGGGGCATTTTTTAAGTGTGAGAGTGAGAGAGAGAGAGAGAGAGAGAGAGAGAGAGAGAGAGAGAGGGGATGATGACATGCAGCAAAGGGCCACAGGCTGGGCTCGAACCTGAGCCACTGCGGCAACAGCCTTGTGCATGGGGCGCCTGCTCTACCACTAAGCCACCGACACCCCTGTTATGTTGAATTTGTGAAGAAAAAACTTTTTCAAATGCCTCCGGAGAATGAAGAATCCAAAAGCCAAGAAATTATTGATGAATGAATGAGTGAGTTCTTGAGGTATTATGTGACTTTGCTGAATCCAAACTGACCCTTTAAAACACCAAAGTCAAGGCCTTCACACTAAGTCTGTGTTTTTCTGGATGCATTTTTTTAATCCGTCATCTGAAAAAATTATGTTGACTGATTCTGATACGTTTTATTGGTCTGTTCAGTGTGAAAATTTGCAATAAGTGACAAAAAATAAATAAATTAAAAAGACGCATTTCCTCCTTTGCCTCTCTCATCTCATCTGTCTGTCCTCCACATTTTGTGTGCGGTCCACATCCTCCTCCTCTTTGTCATCATCCACCTGAATATTACTGTCTGACCGTAGTTATAAAATGAATCTGTCTTGTCACAGATATGTTCCGCCATCACATTATCTTCACTGATTCCTGGTCAAACGTCTCTAAAGGCTCTGACAGATGTGAAAAACACAGAAAATCAAACCATTTTTTATCATGGACGAACGTTTCGGACTCAGTGTGCAAACGTTACACAATAATCCAAACTACCTCACTTACTGAGGCAGCAGTAGACCAGCAGCTCTGTTCAGCAAGGTAAAAGTCATGTTTTTGTCAATGGAGTCTGGCTTTGAAGAGAGAACATTCACTTTTAGTTTAGTTTGGATTCATTGTTCAGCGGAGGCATGGGAGATTTAAAGCGTAACACGGGGTGAGTAACTGATATACAAATGGTCATTTTGGGGGATGAATTATTCCTTTCAAAAACATTATCAGAAACACCAACTGCATTCATCCCCCAGTTTGAGAACACTGGGTTAGGCAGCTTTACACATCAGGATAAGCCAGCCAACGTCACAGAATCCTATTTTGACAAGTTTCAATATGAGATATATAAACATTTCTTGTGGTGTCAGCTCAGTCATATTCTCCCTTCCTGCTGTCTCTGAGGACAAATCCAGCCTCACCAGTATGACACTGTACTGTGTTTGCATACATACTTGCGGCACACCATCTTGTCACAGTTGTACTTCTGAGCCAGCATTTTCATAGAGGGCTCGATGATGCCCCCTCTCAGACGCAGCACCAGGTGGAGGGTGGACTCTGGGGAAGGAGAGAAATCATATAACAATCATGATGCATCAACGATAACAAAAGGCAGTCTTATAACATCTGTCTTATAACGTCGGTGATGGTTCGCCACGGTGGAGGTGCAACATACCCTTCTGGATGTTGTAGTCGGACAAGGTGCGTCCATCCTCCAGCTGTTTCCCGGCAAAGATGAGACGCTGCTGATCAGGGGGGATACCTGGGAAAAAGTGCCACAACTGTGAATTGATGCTTGAGCCAGATGTGGAAAACCATTTCGTGTTTACAGCTGCCACTCAAATCATATCTCAGCAGTAGGTAAATACATAATAGGCGTACTTCTGATACTAATCTGACCCTTCGTTCATGTACATGTGCTCTTACATGAAATACATAGTATCCTTAATATATTTAAGTATGGACTGACTTTCAAGGAAACTTCCTACATCATCATATTAATGTGTATATTACAGATAAAGTGATTGATCACAGAAAACTAGTGTATTTAAATGCTCTTTGGGTTGTTTCAGATGTTAGAGTTGACACTGTGACACTGAATACACCATTCAACCACTAATTCGCCTGGATATCTGGAGGGAATCCTCATGGAGAAATCCCATTCATTTCTTTGTTGTTGTTTTTCAATTATGCTTTTTATTGTTTCCTCGAGAAAGACGAATAACGAAAAATGAAAAGTCTGCAGCAACCTACAGCATAACAACACATAGTTACTTGTACATATTATAACAAATTTCCAGACTGTATAAGTATATCAAAGAACACATTATTCATTAAAGAAAATAAAAGTAAAAAATAGAAATAAATAAGTAAGTAATAATAATGATAATAGTAATAATAAAAAATAATAAATAAATAAATACTAATAATAATAATAAGAAGAACAACAATCTGATTCTTCTCTTTATTAAACCGAAACTAGACTACAAGAAGCACAGCTAGAAAGACAATGGAAGAAATGGACTCTATGCAAGACTCAGAAAGACGACACTAGACCAGAATAATAATCAATAGATAAATGAATCCTTAAGGCTGTAGAAATGCATTTTTACCCAAGCAGGTTTTGTTTCGTAAGCTCTTATTATTTTTCAATTATTTTATTATGCTGTTGTAACTGATGTGTCAGTGTCACACAAGCTGTTTTAATAAAGATTTAAGTGAAAAAATAAAGAAATTGTGACACTATACAAAAATCTATTGATAGCATGTAAGGGCAAAGATGGGCAAAACAGAAAATAGGAAAATATATATGAAAAAAAAATACAGCAGCTTTTGTCAGACAAGATGTAATTTCATATCTCTACCTAGACTGAGAAAGCTGAGCTTATAGTGTCCAACCATGTTTATGTAAAAATATAATTTCTATAAGGTTTTGGTAAGATTGATAAAACAACTAGTCTGAGCAGTTTATATATATATTGTATATTGTATGGCAGTAGGACCTCTGAGCCATCAATTTGTTACTGAGAATTCAGAGTTACACAGGAATTTGTGCATGGAGGAAAATAAAACAATATGCCACCCTAGTTGATGACACTATACATGAATTATATCAGCCCTGTTAATGATCTATAGGACAAATTATCATTGATTTTACCTTCCTTGTCCTGGATTTTGGCCTTGACGTTGTCGATGGTGTCACTGGGCTCCACCTCGAGGGTAATGGTTTTACCCGTCAGCGTTTTCACAAAGATCTGCATTTTGGCTCACTGGAAAGAAAGAAAATGTGTCAGACTAACTAAAATGGACTAACAAGTACAGCAAAAGTCAACTGAGAACAGAGGGCTTATCTTGTGCTTTTGATAAGTTACTTCCTCATATTTGTAATCAAGTATCCAGGTACAAGTATTTGCTATGCTTCAGTGTTTTCAGCAGGTTCTTTTCAACAACCAGTGTGCCAGGACAATAGGCCTACTTAAAATGTAGAAAAACAGGAGTTTAAAGACTAGCTACTTTAAACACGTGTAAGGTGAAATGCCTATTGGACACAGCCGAAACAGACCACATAGATAACTACTGCAGTTAAACCGACTGCTGACTAGATTTGAGCGCATCTCCCGTGATATAATAAAGAAATAATGGGAATAAAGAAAACGATTTATTTAGAAGTTTAAATAAATCTGTACTCACGTCGTGACCATTCACCAGCCCCAGTGAGGCAAAACAGGAACGTGATGAGCCCGGTCCTGTGCTTAAGTAAGGGAAACAAGCTCATCCAGTTTTTAATAATCTGGTCCGGTGACACATCTGCACGGATGGAGGAGGGTTGGTGTGTTGATCGCAGGCGCTGACATGTTGAAGATTAATTAGCGGGGCACGATCTGATGTGTTTAAACGATTCACATGCATACGGTTGCTCTCAATTAGTGAAAGAGACTGAGGAAATAAATGTTTATATCGAAAAAAGAGAAAAGAAAACGAAAAACATATCGTCCCTGGGTGGGCTCGAACCACCAACCTTTCGGTTAACAGCCGAACGCGCTAACCGATTGCGCCACAGAGACAACCATACACATATATCTCAGCTCGAAAAATTTGAAATATCACATTGTACATATTGTACATACATTTATATGTCATTACGTTGTTCACAGATGCACGGGCGCCATCTTGTGGCAGCGCCGGCACGCCAATCGCGTTAACCTCACGCGAGAGCATGTGTTGTTTTTCACCGCTAGGTGGCTAATCAAATCCAAAACATACAAATATAAAAAAGTAATTAAAAGAGATAAAAGCATACGAGACATTAAAGGATATCGGCTGACAAGAAGCAAGACAAACATTAAAAGAAGGTAATGATGAACTTTTTTTTATCTTATCACACTGTCGAAAAACAGCTAACGTTAGCTTAGCGTTAGCGCTAACTTACTGCGTCATAGCCATAGCTAATTTAAGTTACTGAGACAAAGGTATTGTATTACACTCGGTAAATTAGTGACAGTTAACTTAAGTGTAGCCAACAAAGGCATTTAATATGAACCAATAATTGACTGATATAATGTTTACTTGTGTTATTACAAATTAAACGATAAAGCCTCAACCAGTTAGCTAATGTTAGCAAAGTTAACCGTTACATTAGCATTGGCATGAGGAAAGGTGTTCGGAGGTATAACTTAGCTAACATTACCGTTAGCCTAATTACAATGTACTCTTTGTTTACGGTTGCTTTAAAGTTGTTTGTCTAAAGTGTGTTTCACAATATATAACAACTAGTTAGGACAAAGTTAGCGAAAACTCACTTCTAAAGAGAAAGCCATCAAATAAAAGCACAAAATCACTCCATCTGTCATCATGACTGAGGACCAGTAATGCCACTTATTGAGCAAGTAAGATTTTTGATCATGTTTGAGTGGTAAAGGTGCAGCTCCAACCCCACTGACGATATTTAGCAATATTCAAACAAACACAAAGTACGTTTATTCAGCTTATCTCTTAAATTTGCCCCATTTACACTGTTTTTGATGCTATTGGTTACATTTCAGGATGGGACCCAGCATATTAGTGTCATCCTGGTGACAGCCAGCAGATGGCACTGTGGTACAGAAGAAGCTGTACAGCATGTAGTATGTGACATGATATAACTTAATTTATCCAAAGGGAAATTACTGTGCAGCTAATAGTAAGAGTACAAATATAACAATCTGAAATTACAAGGATGGATGGAAAATAACAACATGCAAATTCAAAATAAATATAATATTTGCACTGTTAAAAAAAAACAGGTTAACAGTATGAACAGGTAAACAGTAAGGACCAAAAAGGTAGAGCCTCTAGAATAATTGTTAGAAAACAATTGATAAAAAATAAGTTACGTTTTAAGTTACATACACTCAACCTGTGAAATGATAGTGCAAGTGTAATTTATGTAACAAATGAAACAATTTAATTCTACTGAATCACAAATCAAAACTGTTTGTGTCTAAAAATCATCACAAGAAACATACATAGAAAGAGTAAAGTTATGACTTTATTTCCTTCATTTAAATGTCTACTGCATGTTATGTAACAATTTCATGATTTTACAATATTAAACAACCACTTCTGTCTGTACTGGGTTTTACATCAGCAAGTTTACATCTATTTTTGCTATTATGCTATTTCTTAGTCACAATCTCTTTTTGTCTACAAATGTGCTTTGAGAACTTGCTGTGTGACAAACAATGTAAACAATTTGTGGGCTGTAATGAAGAGAAACATCAGGCAGATACCTTCACAATTTCCAGATTTTACTACACACACAGGCCCTGTTTGCACCTGGTATTAACACTTGTCCTGGGTGACTGGATCACAAGTGGATACAGTATGTCTAATGTCTAAATGCGGTGTGAATGCAGCAAATGTGCCTCAATGCGTCTTGAGATCTGAGCACTCAGACCACATTTGGAGGTGGTCTGGACTGTATATGGCCACAGTGTTTCAGCAGTGTATACTGTAATGTGGGTTTCCAGCTTTGGGGCACTTCCTGGTGCTTCATCATCCTGTCTGAACCCAGCATCCACCCAGGTGTGCTCTTACGTACTGAAATTTGGCACTAATTTATTTGGAACAGTATCAATGTAATTCCATCAGTACCCTTAAAGCACCAAGTTCAGTACCTGACCATACTCAAGGTGCACACAGAGACTCATTCTAACAAAAGGTGTGAAGAGACGGACTTACAGCTGTCCACTTGTGATTGGATCACCCAAGACAAACATTAATACCAGGTGTAAACTGGGCCACAGACTACCATTCCATAAATAAGTTAGTTAAAAAGGTCCACATTGTCAGTGTTACAGTCACTAAATAATGAATCATTCACAGTGGTTTCACAGCAGGTGAGGAAGCCCCAGTGGCCTAATGGATAAGGCACTGGCCTCCTAAGCCAGGGATTGTGGGTTTGAGTCCCATCTGGGTTGCATAGCAGAGTGGCGCAGCGGAAGCGTGCTGGGCCCATAACCCAGAGGTCGATAGATCGAAACTATCCTCTGCTATCTAAACATTTTACAAACATTAATCATCAAACTCTCCCTGCTTTACTCGACTAATTCCACTCTCTGTTAAATGTGGAGCACAGTGGCCTCAAGTTCAGTACCTGACCATACTCAAGATGCACACAGAGACTCATTCTAACAAAAGATATGAACAGACAGACTTACAGCTGTCCACTTGTGATTGGATCACCCAAGACAAACATTAATACCTGGCATAAACTGGGCCACAAACTACCATTCTGTCCATGTTAGTTAAAAGGTCCACATTGTCAGTGTTACAGTCACTGAACAATGAATTGTTCACAGTGGTTTCACAATCGCTACGAAAGCCCCAGTGGCCTAATGGATAAGGCACTGGCCTCCTAAGCCAGGGATTGTGGGTTCGAGTCCCATCTGGGGTGCATAGCAGAGTGGCGCAGCGGAAGCGTGCTGGGCCCATAACCCAGAGGTCGATAGATCGAAACTATCCTCTGCTATCTAAACATTTTACAAACACTAATCAAACTCTTATAGCTTTACCTGTCTATTTACACGCTTCGTTAAATGTAAAGCACAGTGGCCTCAGCATACAGAAACTGTGGTGAGGAGTCTAAAAGATCACATCCATCAAATGTCACTCTACATGTAAACCATGGCTGTTTATTTTGGGACACAAAAACTGGGACTTTATGTAAATGAAAAACATCAAGACTTTACTGAGCGAATCCTGTCAGCTACAGATGCCCTGTGGTTGGTCAAATTATTGAGGACGCAACTGTTGGTCAACATAGACAGTTTGTTGTTCAAGGTGTCTTTACTTCTCTCCCAACAATAATCTCCTCCTTGATCCATATTTTCCTCTCCTCCTCTATCGTCCCCTTCGTCTTCAACCTCGCTCTCTTCATCACTGCGCACATCTTTATCCAGCTGGAGACAGAAGCAGATACAAGGTTTGATCTAATCTAATCTTAGATTTTAATGTAGGAATTGACACCACATCTTTCTCTATGAATGCTACCATGCAGTGCAAGTTGATTTTACAGCTGATTCTCACCTTGCCTGTCAGGAATTTATAAACCATGCGTAAGATTAAGCCAGCCCAGAAGATGTGAAGACCCTGCAGCACCATCAGGAGGACGTTGAAAAAGTAGTAGCCAGCAAAAGGTTCAAACATCTCCATGGACAGCACCAGGGTGGTATGGATGATTCTGCAAGTAATCAAATAATTGCAATAACATTAGAGAAACTGTTACAAGTCAGCCATGCTGCATTAAAGGTTCAGTGGGTGGGCAGCCGCAGTAGCAGTGGCATCTAGCAAAACAAGGCCTATCAAAAGAAAACAAGCTTTGCAAAGAAGAGCAAAAGGAGAGTGATAAAAGAAGAGGAAAAACAATACTAAACCTCAGTCAGGCGTTCAAGAGATGAAGGGAGCTCCGTGACCAAAGAGGCTTCAAAACTGATGCCTTCTTTCTAATGGATCAGTAAGTAACACGGCTAAATGTTAGATAGACGAGAGATGACTGTACTGTACTGGCTGCTAGTTTATTCCTAGCTGGCCAGCATTGCAAATCGCCGCAACCAGGGACCAGGTAGCGAGTGTTGGTCAGCTGACATCCTCGTTGCCATTCTACGGCAGCCCTTGGACAGTGATACCCCCCTCCCTTCCGTCTGTTCTCTTCTCACAGAGGCAGCTATCGACGGACATCGCCCAGCTAAGTTACGCCCACCTAAGTGACGCCCACCTAAGTGAACACTGAACTTTGTTTCCCATTCAATTTGAGCTCCAACCGGATGCATCATTTCCATACGGTACCGTTTATTCTAGAATCGGGACTGTTTACATGTGCATGTTGGTATAATTCCACTGTGTCCACTGTTGTTTGTACTGGTACTGTACATACTGGTATAATTTACTGTGAGTTGTTTGTACTGGTACTGTACATATTGGTATAATTTACTGTGAGTTGTTTGTACTGGTACTGTACATATTGGTATAATTTACTGTGAGTTGTTTGTACTGGTGCTGTGCATTCTGGTATAATTATTTGCATTACTAATTGTTTTTTTCTTCAGATAAATCTGATAATTGTTGCTCGGTCTCTTTTCTCATTTATTTAGCAGAGTGTCCACACACCTTCTCATTCTACATAGAGGTATACCGGTGGCTTTACAGCCTACATTTTATTGATTATCTCTGATCCCCAAGGTCAATTTGGTTGTTGCCACAGTGCAACGCAACATCACTCACAATAGGTGGCGCCAAGCTAAAAAAAGACGAATCCTATCTGTTGCCTCTTTAAGGTGGAATATTAACTTGTAATGTTACTCAGTGTTTGAGTTAATGACATGAATCCATCAGCACACCTTAAGTGTTTGAAAACATATATTAATTTTGACCAAATCATGTGAACTGTACTGTATGTGTCACTTGCAGGAAAAAAAGCACGTTGGAGCGTTGTTCCTGTGGGCTCCAGCAACACTGCGCTTGCCTTAGAAGGACTTAAAGCACAAACCTGCTAGAGGTGCAGACTGATAAAGGAGGAAATGCAGTGAGTGCTGGACGGAACAGTGAGTGACAACAACCCTGCTGTCATGAAAGAGTACTGTTTGTGGTAGCAACGCTGTGGTCTAGGTACCCTGTCTGAAGGGTTACTGTTGGTTCCAAAGTATCATACCAAAAGTGTTTGGTGGAAACAGGGCTCTTAATTTGTCCATTCTAGGCTACTGTAGAAAGATATGGCGGACTCTATTAGAGAGGACATACTCGGTATGTAAATACCAGTGGCTCATTCTAAGGTAACAAAAGCACAACAATTCTTATTTTCAAGTGATGATAAACTAATGAAAACATAGTTATGAATATTATATACCATTTCTGCCAATTGATGCCCCTCAATCCTACACACTGGACCTTCAAGTTGTTGAAAAATGAAAATGACACCTCAAGGGTAAACCTTACCTGCTGGGGAAAATCACCAGTCGAGTCACGAGGAAGACCGTAGTAAACACAACAAACAGTGTGTCACACGTTTTCCTCCAGCCAGTGCCGTAGTTGAACATCTTGGCAGACTGCAAAAATACAAATGATTGTATTCATCAAACAAATACAAACCACAATTGAAGCTGTATGTAAAGCACAGTCACCACACTGAACAGAACATTATTTAAGCTTTATGCAAAAAGGGCTACTGAGCCAAGGCTGGGGATTAGGATAATGGGTCAACAGGAAAACATGTCTTCAACAAGGGGAAACTAAAAATGAACATGCATGTCAGTTCAGTCCATGATGAGACTGTAACTGTAAATGTTATCAGCATCATCTTTCCTGTTGTTTTCTTCTACACGTCTTACTGAGTTTACTTAGTAAAAAAAAAAAAGAGCTTTTTCTTTTTTAATATTCATTATATTCTTATGTACAATCGATTGTTTTGTTCAGGTAAACAGGGCATCATGGGCTGCTAAAGTGCTTTTAGCTATCAGGACTCAGTCACAGGATCTGCCTGCTGACCGCTCACAATAGACACTTCTTTTCTAAGAACAACCTCAAGCACAAAGTGAACCTCTGGATATAATTTACAAAATTTAGACTCACTTTGGTAGGGCTACACAGAGGCAGAAAAAAGGCCAACAGGGAAGTGAATCTATGGTGACATGCCCTGAGGAGATCAGTTATATGTTTAAGGTCCCGTGTGACTGTTTGGCTCAGGCCCTAGAGTCTGAATAGATGGCAAGAGATGCTTAATGTACAAGTTGTTCTTTTGAGTCCCACCAATGTTACATGAAAGCAGCATGGCAGGTGATATTACCTCCAGTAGAATGTCAGCAGAGTCATGAAGCAGCATGACCAAGGTGCCGATGCGAATGTAGTTGGCACAGTAGGAGAAACTGAGCAGGAAGATGGTAGCCAAATGATGGATCACCTGTTCTTTAAAATCCTGGCAAAGTACACATACAGTAAATGTAACATCAGTGAAATAAAATGACCTTCGTCTGTCAACGGAATGATTTAAATTCCTGCCCTCAAAGTAACTTATTAACCCTGTGTTAAGTGAAATTTCTCATTAATGCAGAAGTGCAAGCCATCAAGTATTAAATACGACTAGGCTTAAGCAAACACAAGGCTAATACCTTCACTCATGTCCTTCTCTAAAGGGCAAATGTGTTGTGAGGCAGTGTAGATTAAAAACTCAGTTGTGTAACATTTATGCGTGAATGGATGTTGAGGTCCTCACCTTCCTCTTGATGTCCACATAGATCCGGAGGAGCAAAGAGCCATAAAAACCCAACTCCAGCATGTAGTACCAGTAATGAGCTTTCTCCATGGGCTGGGGACAAACATCATTCAATAGTCATTAAAAAGTCAAACAAAAAGACCTGGATATTTACTGGTGAATGTAAAAGTAGGTAAAAGTACACATTTTCACTATTGCCTGTAGTGCTTTTTATTAATCTAGATTGATTTGGTGTGAGTTGCTGAGCGTTGGAGATATCAGTCGTAGAGATGTCTGCCTTCTCTTCACTATAATAGCACTCAGCTTTGGTGCTCAAAGCGTCGAAAAAATACATTTGAAAAACCCAGCAGCAATGTCTCTTTCCAGAAATCATGACTGGGTTGCTCATGATAATCCACAGACCTTGTTGTGAGCAGTTTCATGTAGGCACTATTTTCTTTCTACTGTACTACACTTGCCAACCATATCACTGCGAAGAAGGAAGTGTGCATCTACGGCTAGCTCATCTAGCACCATTGAGCTAGCTAATGTTACAGCTCAGTTGAGGAGGACGCTACTAATGTTTACATATCCCACTGTCACCAGCACGAGCCTGTCATCCATGAGTAGATGCAAGTTTTCTTCTGTGCAGTGATACAGTTTGCGGGTGTGGTTAGGTAGAAAGAACAAATTACAATGAAGAGAAACATGAGACAGGCACTGCATGCTTTCACAATACCCTGGTTTCACTTCACACACAGACTAACATCCTGCCCATAAAAAGCTTTTATAGAGTTTATGTTACAGTCACTGAACACTGAATCGGTCACAGTGTTGTTGTTTTTTACCTACAGAAGCCCCAGTGGCCTAATGGATAAGGCACTGGCCTCCTAAGCCAGGGATTGTGGGTTCGAGTCCCATCTGGGGTGCATAGCAGAGTGGCGCAGCGGAAGCGTGCTGGGCCCATAACCCAGAGGTCGATAGATCGAAACTATCCTCTGCTATCTAAACATTTTACATACACTAATCATCATACTCTTCACTGCTTGTCTAATTCCACTCCCCATTAAACATGAAGCAAAGTGGCTTCAGCATACAAAACCATTAGTGAATTACTTGAGTACTTGATCAACAGAACATTAATTAGAAATTAATCTATAATTGATGAATCCATCTTTTAATTGAAAAGGCCAAACATTTGCTGGTTCTAGCCTTTTTAGTCTTCTGTGATACTAAACTAAATCTAAATATCTTTTGTTTTTCAGACTTTTGTCTGGACAAAGACATCTCCCTGGGCTTTGTGAAACAGTAAGAGGCATTTTCACTTATTTCTGACATTTTATCGAGCAAACAATTAGTCTGCAGTAAACGCTACAATGAACAGCAGGCAGGCACTGAACACTTTCATGATTCAATGATTCTACTTCACACAAATGCAGAAGAAGATTATCTCAAAAAGGATTATAGTGCCAGTGTTCCTGTCACTGATGTGTGCACAGTGGCTTCCCAGCAGCCCCAGAGGCCTGTCAGGGATAAAACAATGGCCTCCGCAATTCTTTGGCACCGAGCCTTATGGGAGATGTGAAGCAGAGTGGCGCAGTGGAAGCGTGCTGGGCCCATAACCCAGAGGACGATGGATCGAAACCATCCTCTGCTATAGGAATGATGCTTTTAAAAGAAAAGCCCTGAATGTTTTTTGGTATTGGAGTGTTGATTGGATTAAATAAATGTTTGATGTCATCGGTTTGGGGCAGAGTTGCTCTTGATGTAAAAACACTTAGAGTTAAATATCAATATATATGAAGCGCTAAAGAAGCACCTATATTCATAACAGTCTTAATTGCAATCATTTAAATGGCATGAGGATATTCTGGCAAAAAATTAACATAAAATAGAAATAAAGAGTACATCATTGTTCTTTCCTTCCTAACCATGGTATTCTTCCATGAACTGAGACAGAATATGCATTGTTCTAATGAGAATGAGGAAAAAGATGTGCTTGTTTAACAATTCCTCTTTTAAACAAATGCAATCTGTTTCCTTCAAACTCAGAGTTCAGTCACACTTGAACACTAACAGCTTCCACACAAAACAAGGCTTTCCTTATGATGTTGTAATACAGGACAAACCCTGACATGAATGAAGTCATGAAATAGGACACACTAACTATCCAAAGGAGTGAGATGATGCTGTGTTTTTACCTGATATGGATATTGCCTCCAACATTCCCTGTGGTCCCAGAACCATGGTCTCTGTAGATAAAAGACAAAGACAGTGTTAAAGCTGTAAGACTTACATGGCAATGTTATTGCTTTAAAAACTTTTTTGAAACTCATACTCACATCTATCAAACAGGCGAGTCCACCTATGAAGGCTGTGAGGTAGAAAAAGAACCTCCAACTGCAAAATAAAACACATTAAAACAGATAAATCAACATAGCTTCAAAGTGTGTCTCTTTGTGCGGTGGCAATTCTTTAAAACAAGTTCTCAGGTGATTTCTTTCCCCTGATGTCTCTAGATTTTGCAGTGAACGCTGATTAAAGTCTTCTTGCGGGAAGTCTTCTGTTAATCGAACGATAGAAGGGTTGAGCACTTACGCAGCTTCACCAAACTTCTTGGATCGACAGGGCCTGTCTTGATTCCTGCGAAGTCTGAACCAGGTCTCGATCTGCCTCTGGGTTTTGCCACACAGCGACATCAAAGTCACAATTTCACTCTGGAACGACAATAGAAGGGAGAAATCGATTAAATGAAGAGGAATAGAAAGCAGAAAGTGGTCTTGGAAGACACAGAGTACAATGTAATTAGAAATGGAAAGCATAAAGGAGGAAATGACAAAGGGGAGAAACAGACGCAGGCAGAGAGATCATCCTAACTTCATCTTGGGATCATCTTAACTTCCCAAAGTGTTGTCAAAGCAAAATGTAAAAGTGTTTGCTGAATAAGTGAAGTTATTCTTGTGTGTTGTGTTTTTAATGTCTCCTGCAGCAGATTAATGATCATCTGTAGGGTTGGTACAAACAGGCCTGCTGGGATTAATTAAATTTGGTTGTGTGATGCAGTAAAAGTTTTATAGTCTGTGTTATTATTTTATATATACATAGAGAGAAATAAATGTGAGTAACTTTTTAGGAGCATTACTAGTTTATCCAAAAGCTGAGAGAGAATAGTGTAAATGGCTTCTGTAAATGTGATGTTCCCCCAGGCTAAGTGTTTTAGGAACAAAGAAGTGTTAAAATCACAGTGTTCATGTACCGCTGTGCTTTTCACCGGGAACTATCCCAACAGCAAACAAACAAGTAAATGCTTAAAATGAGCATTTGAGAAATTTAACAACCCGTTGCCTTGATCCTTTTGTAACTTCTTCCAGATGACATAAAAACATGCTACAAATGGAGCTGAGCTGCATGCATGCTGAGGCCTTTTCAGACTAACTTGTGTTGGCTGTCTGCTCCTCTGGGTGTAAAACGACTCCAGCTTTGGGGAGGGGGCAGCAGTCACTTGTCTTCTATACCTCAACCCCACACATCTGCCCATGGGTGGGGCCAAAAACCTGGAGGCAACAAAAGACAAATGATTACACAAATGATAATACACCAGTAACACCCATTGAGAGACAGTCAGGGCGCCAGCCTGCAGTTGTTTAGCCAGACTCACTGTACAAGCTGAAACGGTCTAAAGCAAACAGTTTGCTTGGATAACTGAAGGCTGTACTGTATGCTTCCATTCAGACAGCCAACAAAGCAGTGTGTGTGCATGTCCGTGTGTATGGGTGTATAGTATTACCACTAAGCTTGATAGATATTTGCATTTAAGATAACATGATATAAGAATTTTGCTGATTTCCAGGAGAGAAAATTTGCATAAAATCACAAGATACAGTCGAGAGAAGTGGAAAAATATATAAAATATAACAAAGTTAGAAAACTATATACTTTACATTGCTCAAACCAGTATGTAGTAGTGAGATAAAATAGGGAGCACTGCACTGTGTTAAGGCTGTGTGTAGTTCATTGTAAAACAATCAGGTGCTCCTCAAGGATGGGGCAAAGAGTCACTCAAAGATAAAAACTTGCCAGCTCACTCAATGTTAAAGTCCATCGTACAAGCAGACAGTCCAAAAATGCATCCGAGACACACTTTGAATAACTATGTTAATTATTTACAGTATACATTCATATAGTTTTCATGTAATTTCTGTCAATATGTTTTGTCCAGTAGGGTTACACCAATATATCATGTGACCTGTGTCACATGACCCTCATATGAGGTCTTAAATTGCACACCTGTGTCCAATGCATTTTACACCCCAATGAAGACTCTTTAGTCAAAACATGTTGGTTATCCATATACTAAAAAAGGATTTTTAACTACAGCCAGGGTACCTCAGATGCATTTTTGGACTGCCTGCTTGTGCTATGGACTTTTACACTGAGTGAGCCGGCCAGTGGCTGTTTTTTATCTGTAAGTATATCATAGTGTTGTCACAAAACTGGAATTTCTAACTTGGACACAAGACCTTGAGAAAATACCAATATTCAATGCCATTTTCGATACCACAGGGAAAAACTGATATTGAGGGCATACAAGATAAATATAGCAAAGCTATACCATGACAACGACGACTTTTCTGTTCTTGGTTAGTAGCAGAGAACAGCAGAATGACTGAAACATAACATGGACAGTATTTATTAACAATATCTGCTATAGTAAAAGATACCAGAATAAATTAGCATAGTATTGGAACAATAACAATGACATTTAACTGGGTTTAACGAGCCATTTGATTCCACTGCTGTGAATATTATAATGGTTAACACTCTGGAGATGTAATCAACCAATCAAACCCCTGAAGACAACCTGTGTATGTGTAAAAAGTGCCTAAGAGGCTTGTTATGCACTCCTAACAAGCTGGACCTATAGTATGCAACTACCTATAGTTTCCCTTTTAAGTTGATAACTGAGCATGTGTTTTATTAGATTTTGGAAATAAACTAAAAAGCATCAAATGAGGGAAAAGCATTTCATGCAAACAGAATTTGGTTTTTAACTATAATTTAAAATAACTTTCACTGAAAAGGAACATTTCCTATACTGTCTGTCTTTCTGTCTAGTCCCCAAAGGCCACTTTTGTCCTGATGATAACAATGCCTGCTCTGCCGAAACACCTGCTCACTCACCCACAGGAAATGCTGAAAATACAGAATGATATTTATTAAATGAGGGTTGTCAGTGTTATTTCAGCTTAGGCAGGATAAATATTTATCTTCCTGTAAAACCGACACATCCCAAACACATCACTCAGATCTTTACAGAACAAAGAGATTAGGTGTATTTTACCTCTCAAACACGTAGCGAAGGGCAACAAAGCCCAGTGCGAGAGGCAGGGCTATGAGAAGGTCCTGGGGTAATGGTCGGTCTGAGTCTGACAACTGTTCCACGTCTCTCCAGGTCACACCTGGAGGAAGCCAGTAGTCCTCCCTCCAGAAGTCAGGCAGCAGGTCCATTCTGCTGCGGATTGACAGGAATTTTAGGAAACAGAGTGAAGATGATGTTTAAAACAGAGATTTCCTCATAGTTAAGCTTCAGCCCAATCCAATGTGATTTCATCAAGGTAAACCCAGTCTGGAAAGTCTCCAACTTGAATTTAGGTAAGCAGTGACTAGAGTAAGACGTCAGAGGCTGTGTTTGTACGTGTGTTTGTACAGTATGAAGGCATAGTGGCATGTCAAAGAGAGATAAAGAGGGAATACTATGATGGCATATCATAAACAGGTAGAGCAGGTCGGCTAATCCTAAAATCTGCAGTTCAATCCCCAGCTCCAGTCTGCATGTTGAAGTATCCTTGGGCAAGTTAATGAACCCCATATTGCTCCCAATGGCTGTTCCATTGGTGTATGAGTCAGTATGAATAGTTAACTAAGGTAGCAGGTGGCACTTTATAAGGTAGCCTTGACCTCCAGTGTATTAATGTGTGTCTGTGAATGAATGAGACTATGTTTTTTTTTTTTCAGCACCTTCAACACCATTAAGCCCCTCATACTGAAAGACAAGGTAACAGTGATGATGGTGGACTCACATCTTGTGACCTGAGGGGAAATGCAAATCAGTGTGACTTGGTGTGGCCATAAGTGACAATGGGAAAGGCCCACTGGATCACAGACTACTTCACAGGGAGGTCAAAAGTATGTCAGGCTGAAGGACTGCTTCCCTGAGACTTTGGTCAGCAGTACTGGCACACCACAGGGGACTGTGCTTGGCCCTGTCTTGTTTACTCTTTACACTTCTGCTTTCAAGCGCAACTCGAGTCATGCTGCATGCAGAAGTTGTCAGGTGACACTGCAACACTGGGGTGTATTAGGGGTGGACAGGAGGATGAGTACAGGAGCCTGGTTTAGGACTTTGTGTCATGGTGGTGGCGGCCAAATCATCCAAAGCTGAACACCTCACAGGGAAACTACCTCACAGGGAGACCACAGTATGTCAGGTTGAGGGACTGATTCTCTGAGACTGTAGTCAGTAGCACTGACACCCAATAGGGACTGTGCTTTGCCCAGTCTTGTTTACTTTTTACACTTCTGTTTTCAAGCACAACACTGAGTCATGCCACATGCAGAAGTTCTCAGATGACACTGCAATTGTGGGGTGAACTAGGGGCAAACAGGAGGGGGAGGACAGAACCCTGGTGGATGACTTAACGACATCATACAGGTCGAACCATCTACAGCTAAACATCTCCCAGACAAAAGAGATGGTGATGGCCCCATCTGCAACTAGTCTCCAATGAGGTACTATTTCCTGAGGAGGCTGAGGTCCTTCAACATCTGAAGGAAACTACTGCTGATGTTCTACCACTCAGTTGTCACCAGCCTTTTCGTCTATGCTGTGATGTGCTGAGGTGGCAAACTCATACAAACTAAACTTCTGGTAGCCTACTAGAATAATAAAATCAACTGTTTTTCCTAAATTTTGCTGCAATAAAAATGACTTACATGAAATGAACAGACTGAAAACTTTATCTCAATAGATAGAACAGACATTGACAAAGTTTGGGGACATTATTTGCAGTTGAAAAAAAGGTAATAAATTGCAGTATATGTTATGACAGTACACAACCACTACTTTTAAATTGAATTAATATTCTGTTGTGACTTAAGTATCGTGATTACCTCATGTTGTGGGGCCTCTGGGGATTCTATCTATCTATCTATCTATCTATCTATCTATCTTTTAATGATATACTGCCAAGCCTCATACTATTACTAAGTCACAGCAGAACTATAAACAACACATTATATCCTTTAGGAATATTACTTAATCTGTCAATAATGCCATAAAACAATGATACATGTAAAACTGTCAAACAAAATAAACTAAAATATTACTTCATGTTATAAATAGCAGAATACAAAGACTAAGCTCAACTAAAGAGATCACAAGTATACAGCCTATGCAGAAATAGAGAGATGTCCTATATCTTCCCTTTGTTGAAAACCAGCCAGTAGTTCAGTAGATTATCATCATTAACACGGTGAAACGCACAAAGTCGAAGTTTAACTGTTAAAAGAAATTTGGACTCACCTTGCGGAGCTGTATGCAAATGATGAACTGATCGATCCTGAGGATGAAGGAGGAATAAAGTCCAACTTGTTTCAGCCTGATGTGGCTGATGATGCGCCTCAGCACCGCTAAATCCCTCCTGACTACCAGACAGAAGTGAGTCGTTCAGTCACCGCGTCTCAGGCGTCAAGTTAGTCAGAGGAGCTGCTGCTGATTTCAAAATAAAAGCCGCTTGTAGAGAGCCTTAAAGTTTGCAGTGATTTCAGGCACCAAAATGAAAACATGGGTGCAAAACAGAGCTCTGTTTATGTTTTCCATGGCACGTTTGCCTGTTTCTCCCTTAAAAAAGTAAATTTAATCAAATTTAATCACGTTGCTCTACAGTTTTGCACAGACACTCGACAGTAACTGCCTGTAAAGGTAACTCAGGTCTACTTTTATTCTGAAAGTTTCCGGTACATGCGTCCTTATGTAACAGGAGGATGTAACTTGATGGTTGAGCGGCTATTGAAACACAAGGGGCGTCTCCTGCTCATAGCGACGGTCCACAGCCCATTAACTCAGCGTGGGTAACAAAGGGAACTAACAACAAAAACTGAAATGTTAAAGGCTAAAAATTTGGGTTATATAGCCTCTTTAACCTACCCCAAACTTGTTTAGCCTATATTGAGTTAGGTATTACATGCTACAAGTAAAACATTTGTAAAAACTAAGGTTAGAGATGAATTTTTTTGTCCAGCTGCCACTGTGGTTGATGGATTAAAAAATCTACCAACCACTCAGTAGAACATCATTGTATTTTGGCTGGTGAGTGAAATAAATCCAGCAGACACTTGCATATTTACCAGCTGATTTCTAACCCTGGTATCAGCAGTTAAATTATGCAACTTCACACTGGCTCCCAGTATCTTTTAGGGTAGATTTTAAGATTTTACTGATCACTTTTAAGGCTCTTCATGGTCTCTCCCCCAGTTATATCTCTGACCTCTTAGTTAGTAGGTCCTCTGGCAGAGGTCTTTTGTCTTTTCCAGAGACAGAGCGTTTGTTGTCAGAGCCCTAAAAGTATGCCCGAGGAAATCAGGTCAGCCAAGTCAGTGATCTCATTAAAGTCCCTTCTTAAAACATACTTTTATCAGAGAGCCTTTCCTGATTTGACTTGAGTTTTAAGTTCATTTAAACTCCCTTTTACTTCCTTAGTTTTTGTATAGCCTACCAAAGTTTTCTTATCAGGTCTTGTAAAGCATTTTGTAACTCTGTTTTGAAAAGCGTATTACAGATAAAGATTATCATTATTATTTTAAGTGTTTTGCATCAACTTGTAATTGCTAATTGTGGCCATATTGGCAACTTTAAAGCACCGTTTACATGTCTAATTTCCTTATATTCTAACAGAAGTTGAACTCTAAAGTAATCATAAAATCTGTGACACATCTTAAACAGGAAATACTCAATATATCTTATTACATTTCCTTATACTCCAATGTAGGTTATGCACCTGGCAGACGTCTCCTGGGGTTACAGCTCTCCAGGAAAGCAGCTGATGACACACATAGCAACAATCCGGGACACTTCCAGGACTCCACAGTCCGAAGGTAAACACACCTTGCCAAGTGTGTGCACAGCCACACAAACTTTACTACAAACAAATGTGCTGTCATGGAGGGCTTTGTATTTGACTGTTATAACACAAACTCTAATGGCACACACTCCCTTAAAACATACACACACAGGCACACACTTCTCTCTTAAAGCCATGTGCACACACACACACACACACACACACACACACCAGTCCTCCTCTTACCATCCTCCTCTTCAACCAGCACTCTCAGCTGATAGTATTGTCATGGAGGGAGATAAGCTGGCAGACTGCAGATAACATCACCACAGTTATGCAGATGAGCTATTCTTTTTTGTCATGCTCATGCGTCAGGGCCACAGCTGTGTTATGTGTAAAGCATAGTTGTATTATCCAGTCACATTAAGTGCGTGATAAATGTGTTTAGGAGACTTAGTAGGAGACACTGTGGCAAAGGGAAAGAGTTTGTGTGCGTTTTACAACAGACAAACCTGATTTGCATGTCTGTGGATGTGGGCTGTGTTTATCTTCCGTTGGTGTTTGTGTGTGTGGTGTCTGTGTGTGGGGAGTTGTGTGTGCAAGCGCCTTTCTGGGCATTTCTAGGGGATGGAGTCAGAGCACCACAACATGAGCCTGCCCAGATTCAGGAAGGTATTTACATACTGTGTGCACCTGCCTTGTCCGTGAACTGAGACAGAGACACAGGTGTTTTAGTCCTGCATGTAAAATACAAGAGAGCGAGAAGTAATCAAATCAGCTGAGCCTGCAACACCAGCCATTACAGTAACTGACTTTTAACTCTGCATTTACCAAGGTGGAGAGGACTGTCTTAAATGTCTTTTATATTTTTGTTGTTGTTGAAATTATATTAACAACAGTAACAGTAATAAGTATTTACTCCCATAACCCCAGCAATATTGAAGTGTCACATACAGTATGGTTACAAAGAGCAGTTTCTGCCAGGCATGTCGGGCCTGGGGTCATGTTTTTCCTGTGATCCAGCCTCATTTGCATATCTGTGTGCACATGCACAAGTGTGTGTGCGAGAGACAGGGTGATGGGAACTGAGTGCCCTTGTTATTTTATCAAGGAAATAAATTGTCAGGACCCAGTGAAGCAAAATCTTTCCTGTTAATTGCCGGACAAATGAGGTGGGAGTGGTAACGCTGTGTTTCCAACCGTCTGTTGGAGCCCGATGAGCTGTAAACTGCAGAGGGCTGTTTAAGTCCAGTTGGTCTGGCTGTGCTGTGTTGGTGCCAGGTTTATGACCCAAGATAACTTCCCTTGACTAATTTCCTCACAAACTGATAGTCAAAAATAATATTAACTTTATATTTAATGCTTCATGTCATCATTTAAGTGCAATACATGCAATAGTATGCATTAATACAATGTTTAACGCTTTTAGCAATTCAGTTAGAGGTTTGAGATAGGAATGATGTCACACCCAAGTTGACCATGTTCCGGTAAAACAAGTCGGGAAATCAAGATGATGTTAGCAATAACAGTTCAAGCCAGGCTAGCTGTTATTTGCAATACCAGTTAAAAACAAACATTACACTGTACAAACACTGAACCAGCATGTCCACAGATAGATGTTGGACAGGACTGTGTGTATGGCTGTTTAAGTTAGACACAAAAAAGACAGTAGTGCAAGTAAACAGCATGTCACTACAACTTTCACCACTGTTAATGCACAGAGCAGCCATGTTAGATTTTGAGGTCAGCGTTGGTGAGGTTCCTCCGACTTCAGGAGGCGTTCCAGTTGAAGTTTTCGACTGGAAACTGGGAAATTCCGACTTTCCAGTACAAATGGAACACACCATTAGAGCTTGGAGCTAAATGCTAACATCATACAAACATGTTTAGAATGACAAAGCTAACATGCTGATTTTTAGCACATATAATCTTTGCTTTGTTCACCATCTTAGTTTAGCATATTAGCATGCTAAGATTTGCTAATTAGCACTAATCAAGACTATTCAAGAGAAGGCTGAGACACGGGGTCAAACATGGGGGGATTGCACATGCGCAGTGTAACTTGAGCTGCGATGCTGGAGGGTGACAGCAGGGGCGCTAGATAAAAAGCGCAGGATCCGCTCAGGCGATCAAGGAGTGCGGTCTGCTTGGACTTTTGGACAGCGGCTGCCTGAAGTTGTTGGAATTGCATCTCTGTCATTCTCACCCACAACGCAGGCCACCAGTGACAGTCCAATAATAAGCTGTGAAAATGGCATGCATGCACATCCCCCTTATTCCGCGGTCTCATGCCATCTACTGAGCCTTTGAGGAAGTGTGAGACCAGATTTTACTGCGCATGTGCAATCCCCCCATGTTTGACCCCGTGTCTCAGCCTTCTCTTGAATAGCCTTGATCAAAGTACAGCTGAGGCCGATGGGAATGTCACCAGTTTTGCAAGTATTAGTCATAGATCAAGGTACTGATAACGATGATGGCGCTAGAGGAAAAAGTAGCCAAAGTTACTACAGTTTGTCCTGAAGGAGGCGTAAATGTTTGTACCAGATTTAATGACCATACATAACTTGAATGGTGGCTTGTCTTTAAATAATGAGATACTCTGCTGTAGCTAATATAATATCAGAACAATTCTCAAATTAAAATACCATGGAAATGGACTTTCTATTTAGTTAACGGTCCAGTGTGTGTATATTTATATCTACATACAGAGCAGGTCCTCTTCAACTGAGTCCACCATGATGTTTCTACAGTAGCCCAGAATGGACAAACCAAACACTAGCTCTAGATGGGGACTTTTGTTTTTTCGAGTCGGCCACCTTAGTTCTCCTACACGCTTGGCACTTGGGAGAAGTTTCAGTTGGTTGCAATCTGCAACCTCAACACAAGATGCCGCTAAATCCTGCACACTCAACCTTTAATCATTTAGTCAGCACAATAACTTTTGAGAAAGGGATTGTATGGGTGTTTCCAGTATGCACAAATTTTTACAGTGAGATTTTCTTTAATTAAAAAAAAAACAAAACAAAATGGACTAAACTGTCAATTTTCTCTACATTTCACATACGCTGTATAACCATCCAGCATCCATCTAACATTTTAAAACTCACAGATTTCTTCCTTTTATTTTCCCAAAAGTGAAATCCTTTAATTTCTTTTGTTATGTTTCCCTATAGTGAAGCACATTTGACCACTGACTGATCCCACAGTCATCAGTGGGCTCACAGTTGTAGTACCCAAACAATCCAGAAGAGGTCACAGCAAATCAGATAGCTGAACTCCTGAGAGAGAGTGCTCATCAAGTGAAGCAAAGGCCAGAGGGATCTACCACAAGGGATAAAGCTGAAAAGAGAAATAGGGGGAAATCCCACCAAAAAACCCAAAGCAAAGATGCATTCAGGAAATGTGCCTAAAAACTTTATAACTACAACTGATACAGCTTCCTTTAATGGTTAAGATGGGCACCACTGTCACTGGAGTCCCTTGTAATTCTTACCTATCACTTTGAATATTCTTGTTTAGTACTTGTTGTACTTGTTGTTGTTTAGTTTCTATTCTTTTTATGATGACTGATGTGC